TAATTTAATAAATATTAAAGAATATTTATAACTCTTAATTCTAAAAGAAAGTTAATATAAATAATAATAAAGTTTATAAATAAATATTTAACTTAAAAATAATAAATTCTAAATCCTATAAAGAAATTCTAACTCTTTTAAATCTAAATTTTATATTTTCTTTTATAAAAACTTTATTATAAACTACCTTAAATATAAGAAAAACTTAAACTTAATAATATAGTTAATAAATATTTAAATAAAGAAATTAATTTTATTATTATATATATACTTTAATAATAAAAATAATATAATATTTAATAGTTAGAGTAAATAAAATAAATATAGTAATATATTAATAAAAATAATACTATTCTCTTTATAATACTATTTAAACTCTATTAATATATAGCTTTTATATTTATTTAAAATAAGTATTTAATATTTACCCTTAATTTATTTAATTATATACTTATTAAAATATTAAATTTATTTTAAATTAATCTTATTATTTATCTATCTATTTAAAATAAACTTAATAACCTAACTTAATAAAAACCTAACTCTATTATTTAATTAATAAAGTAATAAATACCTTATATAATAATAAATAATAAAATATATTAACCTTTTATATTAATATATTTAATAACTATTATCTATTCTTAATTTTTAAACTAAATAAATTTAACTTTTATATTAATTAGAATATATAATAATTAAAGTTAAAATTATCTAACTTATTATAAAGTTAGTTTTATTAAAGTTATAAAGGTTATTATTTAAAACTCTATACTTAATTATTATATTATAAAGTAATTAAAACTAATTCCTAATAACCTTTAAATCTTTATAAAAGCCTTTTAATAATTATATAGTTAATTAAACTTAATTTTAAGCTTAATTATATATCTATAAAATATTATATTTAATTCTTATTAATAAACTTACTATTATATAATACTAATAAAAGTTAACTATATCTTTTATACTAAAAGTTATATTAAAATCCTTATATATCTTACTTAATAATATATTAAATAAATATTTATTTTTAATTTAATTAAGTTTATACTTTTAATATATAATTCTTTATAATATAATTAGTTATTTATTTTATTATATAAAATAGTTTAAAAGATACTAAAAATTTAAATAATCTAAGTTATATTTAAAGGTTTTTTAATTTTTTAGAGTTTTTAATTACTTAAAGTATTAGTTTAATTTTCTCCTTTTAAGTAGATTAATATTATAAATATTAATTTCTAGTATATTAAATATTTAAGTAAATAAAGTAATATATAACTAATATAAAAATAGGGATATAATTTATACTAAAATAAACCTATTTATTAAAACTTTAATTTTAAATTAATATTATAATATTATTATACCTTTAAATTAACTATACTAATTAAAAATAAGGAATTTAAAATAGTTAGTATTAATTAGTACTAATTTTAAATAACCTTTTATACCTAATAAGTATTAAGGTTAGCTAAAGTTAGCTAAGTTAGTAAAAAGTGGTAGGTATATAATAATGATAGCTAACTAGTGAACTATATTATTTATAATTTAAATTTAAATTAAAAAAATAATTTTAATATAACTATTAAAGGAGATTTAATATAAATACCTTTTAAATATTATAATAAAGATTATTAAACTTCTTTATAATATTATAAAATTTAAAGTCTATTAATTTACTATATATTAGAAATATTATATTAAAACTTTAATATAAAATTTTTATATATAATTTATATCTATTAATTATTAAATTAAAGTATAAAAATAACTTTAATATTATAATAATATAAATAAATAATACTTTAAACTTAAATACTTTTAAATTTATAAAGTTTTAATAAAAGATTAAAAACTTTTAAATATAAATTAAAATAAATATTAATATTTAATACTCTTTAATTTCTATAAATTATATATTATTAAAGAAAATAATAATATTTATATATATTAAAAATTAAAATATTAAGTTAAAGTTAATTAATATTAAAATATTAAATTATATATAAAATATATAAAATAATATATTTAAAAATATATTTAACTTTTATTTATTAATTAAAATAATATTTAATCTTTTATAATAATATAATTATAAAACTATTTAAAGAAGATTATATTAAATTAAATAAATATTTATAATAATAGATTAATAATTTAAATTATAAACTTTAATTTATATTAATAAATATTATTAAAATTAAGTTTATAATCTTTATAAATAAATTATTTATTAATAATATAAACCTTAACTTATAAATTAGTTTTATAATTACCTTTTTATTAAAAGTTTAATTAAAATAATATTTATTAAAATATAATAAATAATATTATTTATTACTTTTATTAAATATAAAAGTTACTTAAAATATATTAATATTTAAAATTTATAATATAATTAATAACTTTAATATAAATATTATATTTTTATTATACTTAAAAGTTATTAATTATTTAAAGTTACTATAAGTTTTATAATTATTTATATAAATTTATTTTTATAAATACTTTATTAAATTTAAAATAATTAAAAAAGGTAATTAATAATTAATATAATAATACTTTATTAATTATATAAATATAAAAGATTAATAAAATCTATTAAATTAATAGTAAAAATAATTTAATAAATAAAATAATAAAGATTATACTAAATAAAATATTAAAAAAATTATTTTTAATAATAAGTTATAATTTTAAATATAAAACTATATTAATTATAAAGTATTAAATTCTATTAAACTTTAAATATTAATAATATTTAATATATTAAAATATTTACTTTAATAAAATTAAAAGTTATTAAAATTTATAAATAAAATATTAAAAATAATTAAACTTATAAATTAAAAATAAAAATAATAATTAAAAACTAATAAAAATAAAAATATAAAGTTATAATAAAATAAATTAGTAAAAGTTTAAATTTATATTTTATAAATTATCTATATTTAATAATTTATAAATTATATAATAAATTTATAATTAACTTTAAATTTTTTAAAAATAAACCTTATAATTAATATTTAAATTAATAATTTATATTAATAAAGTTAGAAAGTATATATATTATTTATTATTATATAAATATTTAAGTTATTAGTTTATATTTTTATAAATATTTTTAGTTAAGTTTTATAATTATAATATTTATAATAATAAAAAAGAAAGTTATTTTAGTTTAAAGTTATTAAATTATTAAATTATTATATATTAAAGTTTTTAAATCTTAATTTATTTACTTACTTTATAAATAATAGGAGTTAAACTTATATATATATTTAAAAGTAAAAACTTAAATATTTAAATTAATATTTTTAATTAATAATTTTATTAAAATTAAAACTTTATATAAAAAATTAATATAATTATTTTAAACTATTAAATAAATAAATTATTTTAAAATATATAAATTAAATACCTTTAATAATAACTTTAACTTTTAAAGTATACCTTTATTTAATAATACTTTAATAAAAATTACTTTATTATTATAAATTAAAAAAATAAAGGTTTAAGTTTAACTTAACTTAAAGAACTTAAAAGAAATTAGATTTTTTAAAGTAATTATCTAACTATTTAATAAAAGATTATTAATATAAAAATAAAGGTAATTATAATTAATAAATAGTTTAGATTATATAATTTTAATTAATAAACTATAGTAAGGGATTTATTACTAGCTCTTTAAGCCTAGCTTCCTCCCTCTTATATAATCTAACTTAACTAACTAAACTACTCTTTATATATATATATATAATAACTTATACTAATACTTAATATAATTTATTTATATAGTAACTATTTTTAAAGACTTAATTTTATTATATAACTTCTTTATAATAATTAAACTATAAGCTACTTCTATTTATAATTAATATTATTATTAAAATAATACCTTTTAACCTTATTTATATATTATAAGGTTAAGGTTATAAGTATTTATTATATTATAATTATTATTATTAATATTATATTCTTTCTAAGTGTTAGGTTTTAAGTGCTTATTACTATATAAAGGCACTATATATGTCTTTAGATGTATATGGAATAGAAGCGAAACTATATAATGCCTTATCGGCTTTGATGAGGCTCTGGACTCAGTGCATCTCGATGTCAGCAGCTTGAGGGGTTAGGAACATGAAGTCTGCACACAGGCTGCGCCGCTGCTTATCTGCACGCATCCTGTCTCCAGATTAGATAAATATATTTGGGAATATTCAAATGCTGGGCATGAATCATGAATGTGACACTTGCTGTATTGCCTTTTCAAGCATAAAAGGATCGCCCTTAGCGCCCATGTAACTGCTCTCAAACTTAGAAGACACATTTAATCACTTACGCAACCTCTCGCCCTCCAAGATCCAACTTCAGGAATGATTGTTGATGAGGAAAATCACAGGTCACCACACCACCTGACAGCGTCTCTCATTGCTCACACGGCGCAAGGCAGATCATAGGTGCGATGGCCACTTCCGAAGACGCCTCTTCCAATAATGCCTTGCCCGGCATGGCATGGAACTCGCTCATCAACCGCCAGTTTGAAAGCCTGGGCTACACTTGACCGACCGAAGCACCAACTGTCAGAGAGCACTCTACGGGGCTGCACTGGTCTCGATGACCTTCTGACTGAATTTTCGACTGGCATGGGTGGACGTTCAGTTTGGCTTTTCGAAACGAGAGAGGCATTCGTGTTACAGGAAACGATGACTACGTGTCACAGAGGCCAACTAGATAATCATAACCTTGGCCCAGACTTCCCCGGCTTCGTCTTCTACGAGCAGAAGCGACAGTGAGAATAAGGCTGGCCACGAAGAACCGTAGTGGATTTTAAACATGGACAGAACAGGGAAAGTGTGTAGTAGAGACTTGTTATCAAAGAGAATTGAGATGGGACAAATTCCACAACTCCTGTGTTAAGCCAGGTCACCCCAACTTGAGGTGCTGGGTAACTATATCTGGGCCATGGCTTTTTAACCTCAGCCCCATCCCCGTCAAATGATACACACGAGATTTCTCCCAGTTGTTTCGTCATAAAACGCATTCGAGACCTTCTGAGAAGGCCTGAAATTGGAAATGTAGTCCCACGTAGAGTGGTCAAACGTCTCAGATACCTTCGTGTAGCCAACGCGCTTGAAAGTCCACTGCCGATACTCGTCTGGCCATTTCAGGATCTGATCTTCCTCAGGAGATTTTATCAAAAGGAGACAGATGAGATCCGTAGAGCTCGTCAACGACCCATAAGCCATCGGAAGGCAGTAAATATCGTCTGAATTGATGAGCTTGTTGTCTTTGTCATCATCGTTTGGGCAGTCGAGGTAAACGTTGAAGCTTTCCGTGTTGTTCTTCCTTCTTTTGCCAGGACTAGCACTAGTGGTATTGTTGGCAAACAAGGACCAGGAATAGTGCGCTCCCTTTCGTAGCAACTTCACGTGGTGTACCCAGGCCCACAACCGAATGTGACCGCTTTTGACTACACCAAAATTATTGGCCGTCTCATGTGAAGCCCATAAGCTCTGTGTCCATTCCTTTGTGTCCCGTTTAGGCCAATTTTCGTCTTGGTTCTGTGGGATTTCGACAAGAATGTCGTCAGAATTTTGAACATGTCCACAAGTAATACCACCGCTGAACTGGGCATCGACGGAAGCCCAAGAGAAAGATGGTGCTCTGTAATTCTTCGGACGTTTCGACAAGTACTTGAATGTTTCGGAGCTGGAGTCGGAATCGCCTTTGAATACTGGCTCAACATGCCAAAGCAACTGACTGGCAAGGTGCACGCTCCAAAGGCCGGCTATATACCGTATTTGGTCTCGCTGTATCCCCGACTGTGCGATGATGATATCAGCCATGCGTTGAGCTAAGCCCGACAGTGCAATCAGTTTGTCCTGGTCTTGCGTCAAGTCGGTCTTGCAATACACCTCAACAATCCGAGACCACAGCTCAAGTGAATGAACAGTCTTAGTTTCTGGGTCGTTTTCGGTCAAGGCGACGGGCTCGACCGCTCCGCGGAGCTTGCCAAACCGGAGCATTTTGCCATGTTCTCCTGGTTGCAGCCCCTTGATTGGGATCCCCTCATAAACTTCATCCCCAATCAGTCGATAATTGGGCATGTGTGGGGCATGCCCCTCGATGTCTTCAAACTCTGCACACTCCCATGCGATTCGGCCACGGCAGAAATGCAACACTCTGGGGGCCAGTAGTCGCTCCTGGACCACCCACCCACGCGTGTTGACGGGGGCTTGGTTGACTAGTGTCTCCCAGTTTGAAATGTCCACTAGTAGACAGCTTTGTATCTTAGTCACCTGAAGGTGCTCCGAACCGGTGGCAAGGCCGGCTGTATCAGCGGCGTTGGGGCCTCGGTGCTGTGTGGCCGAGTCGGAGTCGTTCCCGTGACGATATACATGTGTCTTCTCTGAGCCTTTATCAAGGCCATCAACATCCAAGAGTACAACCTCCTCCCACAAGTGTTGTGGGACGCGATGTGAGTAGAGGCCCTCGCTACTGTCTTTCGCGGCTGTGGCAGAGATATTCAAGAAGGAGTTGCGGTATACCTCCTGCATGCGGTCAGACTCTATCAACCAGTCTTGCTTGTCGCCCTGGATAATGCACAGAGAGTCAATCCATATGTAGTGGACCCTGTGATCCACGCGGATAGCAAAGTGGATGGCTTCCTGGAAAGTTCGCGGTAAGTCCCCTAGGCGTATACCTTTTCGAAATTCCGCCTCCGTGTCTTTGGTTAGCCGGACTGGTTTATCTGTGCCACCCCATCTGTGACTCAGGGTCACGTATGCCTTGTCTTCCAGCTCATTAGCCCAGTCTAGGTCCTTTGTGTCGACGATTTTGACCATTGTATTTCCTAGCTCATCCGGCCTCAAGTCTCTGTGATATATCCACTTCTCGGCGTCAATTGTGCCTAGTCTCTTCAACTCCGCCAGGTCGATCAGGCGAGTCGGATAATCCTCCCTTTTCAGCACCCTTCCATTCACGCACTTGCAATTATCAAGCCACGTCTTGGCGAGTCCCAGAACTTCAGCATGGGACATATGATCGGAGACCGGCGTTCTCAATGGCAATGCGACATTTTCTGGTATTGTCCACAGTCAGCCAGATACATACATATCTGTGCAAGGAGAGGGTGTTTTAGCTCAGGACTACCTCGAAAGCCTGCCGGTCTGAGCACAAAAGTATGACGAAACTTGGTTCCAGCCACTTCCACTGAGAAATCCAGGCGGTAAACGGGAACAGGGCAATCCGAGGATGAAGGCACAGCAGACGAGTCGGCTCGGCTGAAGACATTCAGGAGGGACGGGTCACGAGCCAATGGCGTGTTGTGTGATTTGACGAAACTGGTCCGAACATCCTCTCCCAGGACGCGACAGATTGAGCAGTCTCGAGCAACGGACTTCCAAAAAGACTCCGCCGAATCATGGTGAACAAAGTGGAGGCTCAGCGTGCCCCCAAAACTCCGTCCACGACGGCCTCGCAACATCCATACACAGACGTCGCAAAGCATATTCCGGGTTGGAGAGGCGACCACCTGTCACCTGGTGGGAAAAGAAAACAACGGCTCATCAGCAGTGATCCAGCTTGACCCTGGGTACCGGGAGATGCCAGAAGCCCTCAACGACTAAGCCACTGTATTTTACAGTTTTCAACTGGAAGGTACAGTAGTTAGCCAATAAAAAACGGTTACTTCAGGTTCAACGGGAGGATTACTGGAAGGTATGGTGGAAAACTGCAGCTACCGTATGGCTCCTTCCTACCGTTATAGGGGGTTTCAACCACAACTTACAGTTTTTAACTATACCTTCCAGTAATCCTCCTGTTGAACCTGAAGTAACCGTTGACAACTGTAATTTACAGTGGGCCAGTCGTTGTGGGCTTCTGACGTCGGCTGATGCGCGATGGCGGGGTTGGAGGAGAGTTGTCAAGACCGTGAAGTGGAGGGTATTCGCACATGGTAGCAACCAATGCGGATCGACCCCTCTTGCATTGCATGTGCATGTGAGACGAAGGAAGCACAGCAACAGACAACAACTACTTGTCAGGTTGATCCATTCAAGGTCGTTGGTTCTGGATAACTGGTTTCACTTCTATTCCGTATACGTCCGAGGACATACATGGCGCCTTCATACGGTGGTAAACGTTCGAGAGTAACGAGTCCCTTCGCAAAGCTGCCACCCTGTTAGCTAGGTGAGGTCTACATTCCAAAAGTACCTCTTGCGCGGAAAATTAGGTCAGAATATGTGCCATTGATAGAGTACATGCAGTGACCGATAATTGTTGATCGACTCTTGGGAACTACCTATTATTACAAGCCCCTCAGGCTGCTGAAATGTCATCACAGTATCAGGTAAAGCGAGCACAAAACCGAAGGCCCAGTAAATATGCCTATCCAGAAGTTGATATTCCCGAGCGTCTTCCTGCCCTTCATCCACTTCGTCCTGCTCAGCTGCACAAGCTTTTGTCAAAAAAAGTCAGCACTTGGGCCTTGTAAAAAGGGCCCCTGGGACCTGTGGGAGAAGGAGTGCGGGCACCCGGGTACTCACCGGAAGCTGTAACATTTGCATGAAGAGCAGGTAGCCCCTCAGCTTCTTGAATATACACCACATGACCAGCTCGTGGACCAGTGCCGACAGGAAGAACGTGATCAGCGTCGCCGTATGCTTGTTGACCCGCACTATTGTGATGACAGTTAGCCACGAGAGTCACAACGGGTAGAGCCACATCTATGTGATGACAAAGGTCTGAGGCGAAACTACCGCGTTGTTGTGAAGTCCCTTGAGAAAGCCAAAACTGCAACATAGGGCTACTTACTGGCACTAATGGAGCTGTGATACACATGCCTCAGCAGGAAGTTATGGACCGGCCGGTTCCAGTCCCTCGCGAACTGGTCCCAGCTGACCGAGTTCCACCAGTCCGAGTAGAACTCCCGGTCGGCAAAATAGGTCAGCTCGCCGAGGAGGTTTAGGATGGCCTCCCAGATGAGATACCACGTGAGGAGATACTCCATCATGAAGGGGAAGATCAGGTCCGACAGCAGCCACGGGAACTCCTTGAAGCGCTCGACCAGCGACAGGCCGGCCTCCTTCATGTGGACCGTCTTCATCACCACGGGATAAATCCAGGCCTGCGAGATGAAGGTCATGACGAAAATAAGCCCGAAGGTCGCGGCTGCCTTTTCTGCCACGTAGGCCCAGTCGATGCTCTCTGACCGGGGGTACTCGAGCTCGTAGACCAGGGTCGGCAGGACGATGTACTCGTAGTGGTTCTGGAAGGTGACATTGTTGGGGTACGCGCGCGAAGGTGTGGTGGCCTTTCCCTGGAGCTCCTCGGTGAGGGAATCTATCTCCCACTTGATGATCTGCTCGAACACGTGGATTTGTTCCAGGTCGAGAGGCTCGTTCGACTGGATGGCTGCTTCGATGCCTTCCAGGTCTTGACTGAACATCTCGTAGCTAGAGTGGAACGACTGGCGCCTCTGCCGGACATCATGTCGTGATGGCCTTCGTGCAAGGTGGTCTGTTGATATGGAAGAGGCTGTCGGCTTGGTCTGAGAGGGCGACTTGACAGCCTCGACGTGCTCGAGCTGCTTGAGCTTCTTTAGCAGCTCCGTCCTCTTCTTGTAGGCGCTAGACAGGTAGCCGTTGTAAAAGGCATAGCTGTGCTGCTTCATGAGCATTATAATCGAGTGCATGACAAAGAATACCGTATGCGACCAAGGCCACTGCCGATGCCGTGTCCATCCGATGGTGGCGCCAACGAATATGGTCTGCCATATATTTTGTAGGATCCATCCAGATGAGTCCCAGTCCAGGTAGTCGTTCTTGATCAAGACTTGCAGCACCCAACTGACGCCCGTGAGACCACACATGACACCGTCGGATGCAAGCAAAACAATGACATCCCTCTTGAACATAGACTTCATGATGTCGTTGGTTCCGAGTGGGCTGCCCGTGTTCTTCCAGTTCTCGGCGCCAATCTTGATCAGCATCATCGCGACAGCGATCCAGAACAGGGTGAAGAAGCCATGGAAGGGACTGTTGGCAGCCACAGCATTCTGCCTGTCGAATGCGGAGAATTTCCTGGTGAAAATGTAGTCACTAAATCGCCCTTTCCGTTTGCCATTCGCCTCGGGTTCTTTGGCCTACAAGCCGTTAGCCATGCTCCGCCGCCGCACCGACGTGCTCCGATGCTCACCCTTTGCAAACCCCTTCTCAGGATTTCTCGAAGCTCCTTGTCATCCGATGCAACTGTGTAGACCTTGGCGCCTCTGAGGGATGTTATGTCTTCAAGAATCACGTTCTCGGAAGACACGTCGCTCGTCGGCGTCGTAACCTCCCCCGTGGCATCGCTCGCCTTGAGCTTGCTGCCAGACGTCGGATTTGTGGTGGCCCCGTCCGTCTCATGACTCTTATTGAGTCGAAGGACGGCAATTGGCTTCTGCGCTTCGTCGTCATAGTCTTCGTCGCTGGCACTCTCGGAGGGCGTCGATATGGCGCCCCGCCCGGCAAGCCGCAGGGCGTCCCTCAGTGCCCGCGGTGATTCGCTGTTTCTTGTGAAGTATGCCTCTTCATTTGACTTGTGATGACCAGGCCTGTCCCCCACCTGCGAATGAGCAGACATTTCTGCCCCGTTGGCGGTCATTTGCTGAGCTGCCGGGGGCTGAGCGGTATATTATGAGCTGAGTGTGAACGACTTGAATGTGTTGCGACGGCAGGCAAGGCCTGAGCTGAGAGTGATGTACTTTCCTCGTGGTCGCTTTATGGCGGCGCAAGACGAGCTAGGACCCAGCGTGATGAGCACCTTGGGCGGGCTTTTCAAGGCGTTGTGAGCTGGATGTATCTCGGTGTAGCTCCCGTCTGGCCGGATCTGGCGGGAGGTTAAGGATCGAGATACATATGTCACCGGGACGGCGTGCACTCCGACCTGCCCGAAGACCGAGAGTTTCTCTGGGTCTTTGCACGAGGCTGAGAAAGAAGGCCGTCCGTCCATCCACTGACGGGACGCTGTCGTTGGTGTTGGGTCCAGATGGGAACTTCTGCCCGCTAGGCAGGACCAGAGGGAAGGGTGCGAGGAAGTCACGCCGGCGTGGTTTCCCCGAGCTGACGGATGATGTGACCTTGGGGAGACGGCAACAGATGGGATGAATAATTGACTTAATGGCAGGGACAACGAGCTGTTTCTCCAGTTCCTTCAGCTTACTGCCTACTACTTCCCAGGGCCGCCCCGACCTCTTACACGGCAAAATGCTCGATGCGGACAAGTTCCAAACAGCGGTACTCGGTACTCAACAACCCCTCAAAAAGCAGCATGGGTTTGTGATATATCATCCCAGCCTGACGTCAAGAGCCCGGGGGAACATCTGCAGCGACGACGTTAAAAAATATGATTTACACTAAAGGGTCCAGCCTTCTGCTCTAGCCCGCCTCACCCAGCTTCCTGGGCGCCATCATCACGAGGCCAAGGTCGAAACTCGAAACGCAAAGGTCCCGGCTCTCTGGGAACATCCAGCACCCCTCCACCCCTTCCTTGCGAGGGTTAGGGGGGCCAGGTGCATGTGCAGCATGTCATCACTTGTGGATTGTGACGCGCTGACGCACCTCGGGAGTGAATCCTCCCTCACATCTTGGACGAGCCTGAAAAGGGCATGATGTTGCGATGGGTGCTCTCGAATGACTTTTTCCTTCTGAACAGGCCGCCTGCAATACATTACAGCGCGAGTCGCCTGCTCCCTGGGCCCGAGCCGAGCCCGAGCCCGAGCCCCGTACGATCCGCCCACCCCACATCGACCTGAAGTCGGAGCTGTGCGGTGCTGTGCTGTGCAGCTAATAAAGCTTGGGCTGCCTGCCTGTTGGGAGCTCCCGGACTATGACAGGCGGTATTTCGCCGATGCCGCCCGTCCCGTCCAATCAGAGGGCCCCAATCCAGAGAAATTCCATCATCGCGCAGGGCCATTGAGCTCGCTCCTTCACTTTTTCCCATCATACGACTGCAACCGACACCGCGCGCCTGGCAAGAGACGAGCCAGCCCGGCTTTACGATTTCTGTCTTGCTCGACGGAAGCCACGGACAGCCAGTCTGGAGGATCCGTCAGTAACAGCCCTGCACAGCGCACCCGCGTCCGTCCTTTCCCGAATAGACACCCGGCACACAGCACGAGACTCGCCACGCCACCGGGTCTGCCGGCGGGAGGCCGTCATCTTTCCAGGGTCTTTGTGTAAACCCCGACAAATCCGCTCCGTTTCCTCCCTGCTGTGCTGGCCGCCATCAGCTTCCTCAGCGAGCGAGACGCACGGGCATTCATCACGGCTCACCCGTTGCGCCGGCTTGCAACCCCGAACCGAATAGCTATTCTGCCCTCCTGCGCTACGCACACCTGCATCACGAGCACGAGTTGACGCCTACGATCACGGCAACGAGACATTGAAATCGGCACGACCATGCTGCGAAGCTCAATGTCGGGGGCGTTCCGCGCCTCGATGCTGGGCCGTCAGCCCACCACGACGTCCTTCGCCGGCGCACCTCTGCGAAGGCTTGTCGCCCCAAGCCTCAGAACACAAGGGGCCCAACCGAGAGCTGCGGGCGGGAAGTTGGTGGCCACGGGCGCTAGGACATTTGGAACCGGGCGGACGACATTCACACGGGGACCCTCGGCGGCCGCGAGGACGGCACAGGGCTTGTTACAGAGAACGCAGAAGCGCAGTTTCAACTGGAGCTGGTCGCGCCGTTCCGGCGGCGCCGGCAAGGGCGCTGGGGCCGAGGGTGAAGCACTGTCGCTGAGCGCGCGCCTGCGAAAACTGTCGCGGGAGTACGGTTGGGCCGCCCTGGGCGTGTACCTAGGCCTCAGCGTGCTCGACTTCCCCTTCTGCTTCCTGCTGGTGCGCATGGTCGGCACCGACCGCATCGCCGAGGTCGAGCGCTGGTTAATGGCCGGCGTTAAGAAAGTTGTGCCCGAGTCTGTAAAGGAGCGCTGGCACGAGTACCGCGCCGCCTTCAAGGATGCTGAGAAGAAGGAACTTGGCGACAACCATGTGAGCGAGGACGTCGAGAAGGTTGGCTGGGGTGTCGAGAAGGCTCAGGAGAGGCACAAGGAGGAAGCGAGTAAGTCAACGCCCATCCTACGCCCCCGCCGCCTTACTTTCCCTTCCACGTGGCGGGTACCTCACGGCCTGTCTTACGAAGTTGATACAAAACTGCTCGCCCTTCCGGACTTTTTGTTTGTCCAGCCTACAGTTGCGCGAGTCTTTGGCGGCCAAGTGGAGCCAAGTGGCCATGGAAGTTAAACATATTCGACTCCCATTCGCCGGGACTTTCCGGGTTAGGAGTGGGGCCACAGATAGAGTTGGCGCATCAGAAGTTCGGGTGTTTCGCCAAGTAAGAGGTCTTTCAGCTGACGCGCGCATGACTCCTTAGGCCTCGCGACACAACTGGCCCTAGCATATGCCATTCACAAGTCGTTCATCTTCATCCGGGTGCCCTTGACGGCAGCCGTGACACCAAAGGTGGTCAAAGTTCTCAGGGGATGGGGCTATCAGATCGGCAAGAGGAAGCCGAAGCCACGGTAGAACAGACGCAACGCAGAGATCGATCTACTGTACCTGACTGACATCAAAGACGCTGCAACCGGGCCTGGCGGTGCGTGCAGTTGAGTCTGATCTGAGGTTCCGGCGCTGGGTGGGCAGGTTCCTGCATTCCGTTGCGCGGCGGTCTCCCCGTGCATGTACAAATTTATTTAGAGTTGCATGGCATTGCATGGAGCATCAGTGGCGAAGGCGCAAACAGGGCGGTAAAGCTGGCGGCATCTGGACAACTCTGCATGTACCTCTGTGTCTCTGGCCGTGAGACGCACAATTACACTTCTCAAATGAACGGGATCCAACAAGAATCCGACTACGCGACGTCAGAGACACCGCTACTCTGGGAGGTACGGTGTATCGCCATCATGACTCTGATACCAAGACCGGCAAGTCAAGAACTTGCGTGCGTATTATCTCGCCTGCTCCACGCCCACCCAGCCTGGCTCCATGGTTGCGCAGACGAAAATGGCATGACGTGGGAAGAGGCGCATGAAAGCCCTGAGGATCATCCAGTGAATGTTGCGGCTTGGAACGACTCGATGGCTTCTGGAAAGATGCACGGAAGGCGAGTAGAACGTGTATCGAAGCTTCTTGGCCGCCGACGCCGCCCAGGCGATGGCGGAACAGGCCAGGTGAGCGGGGGGCGTCCTTGCGGTTGCGCCAGGCCTGGACCGGCCGACCCGGGCTGCGCAGAGGATAACCACGGAACCATCGTGCTAGACCCTTCGGGAACCAGCGAGGGCATTCTGCGGCAGGGCGGGTGATGGACAGCCCTGAGGAGTCGAGCAGGATCTGTAGTCCTCGTCCGCCCAAAATCGCCCCTCGCGCCTGACGCGGAGTATCAGCCCGTGTCTGGAAACCACGAGATCAGCTAGTTGTAACCTGTCGATCCGTTAGTGGTGAGTTTTACCCGGTCAGTGAAACCACCAAGCGGGCGTTCGACACGATAGAGGCGCGGGCAAAGCGTGCGCCTAGGGCTAGTGGCGCCCGGGTCTGAGTGTCTTGGGGCTGAATCGAACGCAAGTCTGGCCTTCTAGAAGGCTGGGCGGGAGACCCTGATCCCAATTCCGTGCAGCCGTTGAGGCGAGACGACTAGTGAGAAGATTGGGATTCGAGGTCGACTTAAGGTTCGAATGACTTGCCATCCAAGACCGCATCTTGTTTGACTGGCCTTCTGAGGCGGACGATAGTAGCCAGCTGGCAGCTCGAGGCGTTTCGAACTGGGGCCGAATCGCCGTCGGATGCCCCTCCAGCGGTAAATTGTTCACGCGGAATCAGCGCCGCGCTGTTACTAGTTTCGTTACCGTTCCCGTGGTATTGCAACGGTCTTCCGAATCAAGATAGGCGAATGCGAATCAGGGTGCTTTTATTACGATGGATGGCCATCTCCGCCATGGGATGTCCAAAGCCGTCGGAGTTGCCCAACAGGCCCTGCTTCATCATGACAGGGTGGATCCACTGGGTCGTCATCAGCTTGGCAGTCGTCATGGCGGAAGTGCTCTCAGTGATGCCGTTGCCGGCCGTGACGACCGTGACTTGCGTAACGGTTGCGAGGGCCCCGAGCCGAGATCCAGCAAGTGACGGGTCGGGGCTGGCGCATCGCCCAAAGTAAGGCATATCTGGATTGTTTTATCTGATGATTGAGTCAACCCCATGGCAGGTGGGCAGGCATTCGAACGCGCACGTTTTGGGAGAAGAGGCCATCGTGACGATACGGCCGTGGGACGGGAACAAGAGCCAGGGAGATGACGACTCAGTCATGGTCACGAACCAGAGGTGAACTGACTCTTGCATCGTCCCGCAGGGGTCCCGATTGAGAAGTTCCGCAGCTTGGGGGATGTCACCGTGGGGCCACGAAAACGGGGCCAGGGTCCAGTTGAAGCCGGCCCTTGCCTCGGAGCATAGACTGAACAGTCCCCACTCTGGACGGCGGGCTGGCGCGGGCAGGCCTGGCAGGGTGGATCCGATGAGATATGCCACAGTGCCGCGTTGTGGGTTACAGGCTGTCGGGAGGGCGGCTGCGGAGGGCGGAATGTGGAACAGCCACGCAGCCACGCAGCCGGGCGGGCTGAACATTTGGGGGCCGGGAACTTCGAGGGATGTGCTGTGTAGGAGGAGGAAACAATAGCCTCTGTCTCGGGGAGCATTGGGATGAGGGCTCATGGCGACGCACCGCCAGCCCGCTATGCGCCGCTATATGCGCTGGGTGAAATAAGCACACCTCAAGGCGGCTGGCGCTGCTCCGGTAGACTCAACAGGACGGACGCGAATTCCTCGTGTGGCCGGCGTGTGGCCGGCGCAGTCGAGTGGCAAGTGCCGCTGAGCCGACCTCGATGTGAGGGCGAGTGAAACAAACTTTGGGCGACGGGAGAGTAGCGCGTCACAAAGGGCACGGAGGAGAAGCCGAAAGGGGAGAAGGAAAACGAGGTCCGAAAGCTTAATCGTGGGAAGTGGGCAATGGGATCGTCTGTGGTCCTCTTGCTGTCTGGAATTGCTGAAGATGCGACGACGAGGGACCCACAAGAGAGGCAAGATTTGCAGTGGTACGTATTCGCAATCGAAGGATCCGTCCCCTGCTCCCAGCCATTAACCAAGGAGAGTGCCCAGGTGCTTGCATCCGATGTCGTGACATGTGGTGGGTGCCGTTGATGTTGGCGGCTGCGTGTGTGCGTGTGAGAGAGAGTACTGTAGTAAGCAGCCGATCAGAAGTTGATTGATGCAGCCTAGCCCGGTCGTATGTACGTACGGCTCTGCTCTTGGCCCACCCCTTCTGCCTGCCTGGCCTGCCTGCAGACACGGTACCTAGGTACCCAGGTACCCAGATAGCCTTGTTCCTTCCCAGCTTCGCGGTCTTACCAGGTACTTTCGCTAGCCTGCAGTGCCCACCACGCTGCGCAGTACCTCGTCATGTTCCTTCCTACCCACTTTCGCGCCTTCGCCCCCTTCCCACCAGTCCACCCTGCCCGACAGCCGCACGGCAGAAATTAAGGTTTGCGCTAGGGAGATGTCAGGCCCCACTAGTGCAGCCTATTCCCGCACACATGTCGGCCTATTTTGGAAGGGGTTGTGAGCTGAGCCCGTGCTGCTAGCACTGTGCTCCGTCCGTTACCGAGTCTTTTGGGGGCTGCACAACCATGTACACTGCCTGGGCATGTACTATGTAGACTACAACTCTTGTCAGAATACATCCCACCTAGGTGATCAACGCCACGGTGGTGGGGCCCATTGAGGATTGGGGATCCTCAGGATCCTCAGGAGGGCAGTCGCGGCTGCTGCTGGTCGTTTTATTACCGTTCCAAGCCCGAATCCCGTTTCCTGTGGGCTGCAACGCCCCTGAACATCGCGCGAGCACTCGCATGTGCACGTACGGAGCAGGTGTGCATGTGTGCAGGTATGCAGGTGTGTGGTGTTGTAGTTCGTGGCATGGGCCGCAATGGCTCGCATCACACTGCCCTCTGCTGCACGAGATCTAGATATCGTGTAGACCTCTACTTGTGTGGTGGCAGGAACAGTACGTACCCGGGGGCAGGTGTCCATTCGTTTGCAATTACCTAGCTGGTGTAACTGGCACGGTCTGTAGTTGCCCACCTCTCGTGACCGATGGGCCCATCAAGTGAACATGACTGCCCAGGTGTGTTGCATGCCAGCTGCGTGCCTCACCATCAAGCCCACACACCCGCACTTGCATGTTGCCCTGCCGGAGCCACCACATGTGAGTGAGCATTGGGTATAACACGGAATTGAACAGCCTTTCCCCAATTCTTCTCTTGCCCTGACCGCGGTACAGTGCCTTGGCGGGACCTTGTACTTGCAGCAGCTAACCCCACCTAGCAGGTACTTGCTTGATCAGGGCAGCCCATGTATACCTAGGTACGGAATAGACACCCTCCACGGGTACCCTTGGGCGTGGTCTGCCCTCACAAGTCATGCTAGCCCTACGCAGGCCCCAAGGCAGACACCTTGCAGGCACACCGGGCTTATCAGAGCAACGGTGAACCTTTTTTTCCCACTGGATCGTCCCCAAGGGTTACCTCTCCCCAAAGGATGCCTCCCCAATGGGGTGCCCCCCCAATAGACTACCTAGCGTGCCATAGTATATTTCGTCACTATCCGCCACCATAACATGGCAAACTTCAAAACTCTATCGTGAGAGATGGATGATTTGAGTTTGAACCCCAATTCTTGTCGCCCCGCCCGACCGTGGGATGGCAAAAGCCTTATTAGCCAACAATAATGCCCCCCCCCCGGTGGAAGCAGCAGAGACGGAGGGCCCAGCTATAGCGTCATCCCTCTTGCGTCCAAACTTTAGGGTTTCCGTCAACCACGTTTCAAGTACGGGGAGCTTTCCTGCTGGGCCTTGAGTCTCGTCCTCGTCCCCCGACGGAGCCTCCGCCCCCCAAGTCGTGGGTGTTTGGGTCAGCCACTTGGTTAGTTTGGCTGATGTGCTGTTGTTCGCCACTTTATTTAGCCACTGTATTTATATTTGGTGACAAAAAGGTCGTGCACGATGTGTCACGACAAAAGGCTGGGAGCAATCAAGCCGGCGCGCGGCGCGGGGCAGCCTTCGAATGTTTGTAATGCCACGGGGGTGCTCGGCGATGGAAACTTGTCGTATCCGAAAACTTTGTCCCAACTATGCCGCCCTCGTGGTCCTTTTCCTTTGGGTTTGGAATCATTTTTGGAATTCAAAAGTAATATAACACGCCATCGTCATAGTATGCCGTGGACGAGCAAAACTAGGCAGCGGCGAAAAGGAAAAGCGTAAAACAGCCACAGAAAACAAGGCCAAGGCCAAAAAAAAAAGTGACTGTCCCGTGCACCTTGGAGACCGGGTGCCAGCCAGGCGTGCTGACTCGGAGCAGAAGCCATTCGTGGATCTGGTCGTGATGGCATAGCCTGATTGGGACCAAACCTTACCGTCGGCTGCAGCACCGATCGACCGCTGGGAACGACATCTCCGGCGGCGCAATTCCACGACCCCCTGGGTTGTCACCACGAGATTATAGTCTGGTGAGCTGATAACCATTCTGGGCAACTTAGGTCGAACCGCGGCGTTAACTATCGGACATGGCAGGGCCTCCAAGGTCCAAAGGGCGTTGGCAAAAAGTTAGACAGCCTTGTCTTCCTGCCCGGCAGTCCGGCAGGTGCCTGAAAGCCGGCGTGGCGTTCCAGCTGATGTGAGTTTGGTGCAGCAGGAGAAATAGGATTGGGACTTTTGTTTATTAAGGTGTTCGTAATGCGGGACGCGTACGTGAGGGTGTGTGACGATAGGGTCCACGATGTGGGCTGCGTCCAGTGCGAGGCCGGGTGCCTCAGGGCTTAGGGAAACCTTATTCTCCCAGTCCAAGCAGAAGAGTCCAGCTGGCAAACCCACTGGCTGGGATGGGCGGTGGGCACTCCGTGAGCGGTATGCACACAGCAGCTTGGGACCCGGGCCGTTGTGTGTACTATGTATGTAGACTAATAAACGACGGTATGGACAAGCCCACACAGAAAGTATGAACCCGTTTCATCTCTGCTGTTGATCTCGGCTCATGACAGACGGCTGGTCTGCACCAAGTGCTGCTGTACCACATGGTACCCACACTCATTTTTTTGTGCCAATGGGTACCTGCACCCGGCGGTGCTCAATGCGCGTACCCACCTGGGCAGTACGGAGGTACATGCCTGCCAGCCCTGCCTCCCTTCATTAATGCGCGCCCTCAAAACGAAAGATTAACATTGCTGTGCTGTGCAGGACAAGCTCAGCACAGCTCAGCGTATGCACATCATCGGCGCTCCTCTCCAACCCCGAGCCCAGATCCAAGCGCCCAAAGACTATCTTGTCTGTTTGTCCGGCCGTCCGTCCGTCCTCCACGACCATGCTAGCGTGTCCTTCGCCCACCACACCCAACCCACGGCGGCGTGCCGTTCGCAGCAATTGTATGGTATGGTGTGTCATGGTACGGTATGGCAGTGTAATGAATCTTGAACAGACGCGCATAGCTCACGCAAGCACAGTACCGTGGCATGTTCGGTACCCGCAAGGCTGTCCGAAACTGGTTTACGGCCAGGGGTGGGCCTCCCACGAAAAGGCGGTACGGATACGCAGACGGGCTTTGCAAGCGCAGATCATCTGGATTAGACTTTGGCAAGAATGTCATTCCCCTTCTGGAAGGAGTGGGGACCAACAGATCACAGATCTGGGCCAGGGGTGGGCCAGTCACTGCAAGCACCCGCAGGCCACGGCCGTATCGTGTGGTCTCTCACCTGTCAAGGGACTCGCCGCCCCGGCAAGATGGGCTGTTGCGCAGTAGTGTAGGTGCGATAATCTGTACTGCAACAAGCCTGGCAACCAGTCAGAGGCGCCGGGACAGGCATGCGGGCAGTTTGTGACCTGCAGAGGCCCAAGGGAGAGGGCTCGGCCGGAAGACCCGTGGCGAGTCGATCCGTCTGATGTTTGTGAATCTGAATCCCAAGGGCCGGAGGTTGTCCACGAAGCTGGTTAGTCCGGCACGGCGCTCATCAGGCTAGGGGTCCCAACCCCCAGATGGAAACGCTGCCTGCCTGCCTGCCTGCCCAGCTCTGCGCATTGTGCTCTGCAATGCGAGCAGCAAAAAGGACCGGCTCCAGGCCCCAGGCCACAGGGCTGCAGGCGCTACAGAGCTATATGCTCAGGGCTATAGGAACCCGCTTGCGAACCTGCTTGCCAATAAAACCTCCGGCTGGGTCGAGTCGAGACGGGTTTGCTGGCAGGCCCAACGCGGCAGCCGGTCCATTGGGCAACGCAAGTGGGATCCCGAGGGCTTCAGGAGGGGCTGGAGCGCCAGTCAGTTCCCACGCTTTCACAAGTCAGAACTCTGGCCCCTCCTTATCAATAATTACATCATCTCTGGGGCGTGGCCTGACGATCCGAGGGGAAATCCCACGGGTGGTGGGCAGCAGACACCACGGTTGCATCACCTGCATGGCCGGCTGCATGTGTCGTTCGTCGGCTGAACACCGGCTCAAAATTGAAGGGCTTGGCGCCCAATCCCCAAGCGATCCGACCTTTGCCTGCCGGGAGTGACTCGTGGGTGCGTGGGTGGGTGCGTGGGAGTGTCGAGGCCCAGAGCAAGTTGTGTCTGTCCCCTGGCAACCTGGCAACTATCCCCCTGGCACCTGTCCCTGGCACCTGTCCCTGGCACCTGGTGACGGGCTGCCAGGCTGCCTTTCTTCCTCTCTCGTCTACCGTCGGGGTCGGATCTGGTTTGGCTTGTTGGTCTGGTCTGGTCTGGTCTGGTCTGGTCTGATCTGATCTGGCTGGATCTGGGTCTGGGTCTGTACTGCTCCTGCACTACTGCAGGCCTGCAGCTCTCACTGCACCACCGACCGCGTGCACCAGCTGCGCGTGCTTCCGGGGCGAGCTGGGAGGACCCGGGCAGCGCCATCTGCAATCAAGATTAGCGATCGGACTTGGTGAGTCTGGACTTTTGTGGTGGAGACCCGGCGAAGAGGGGCCCAGACTTCTCTCACCAGAGACCCCAACATCAATCGAACGACGACGACATGCACCTTTACTACTACATCCACTCATCCATACTCCGTACATACCAACAAACACACCCCTCCCCCAGGAAGAACGATTACGAGCACACGCCGGAGAGTCGTGCGGGTGGGACGGGTTCGCGATTGTCAGGACGCCGCACGTGGTTCAATATCTACTCGGTTCCGTACCTCTCTGTCAGGGCATGATGCCGTCCCGCCCAGCCCAGCCCAGCCCAGCCAGCCAGCCAGCCAGCCAGCCAGCCAGCCAGCCAGCCAGCCAGCCAGCCAGCACCCCCAGCTAGAATGCGCACCAACACGGCACATTTCGGCAACCAACGGCCCCTACCTCGTACCTCGTAGTCGATACGACATTATCGGATAAGCAAATACACGTCGTTGCTAATCCGCCTCCGACCCGGGACTGTCTCGTCTCCGACATGCTCTCTCATGCAAGCCAGCCCAGGCCGCGCACCCGCTTAAGCTCGAAGGCTGTCCAGTCGGTGAGGAAAGCCAAAAAACCAGAACCCCCATCGTGACGATGAGCAAGAGGCGAGAGGGCGGCCGAGCCCGCCTCTGCTTGTGTGGTAATCTGCCTCGACCCGGTTTCAGTCACGATCTGGTCATTGCCTCGGGAATCCTCCGTCGACTCGTCAAATTCCTGAGTCGCCGCGCGAGATGCGAGATGCCGGGCGGGTTATCCGGCCTGGCAAGCCTGCGAGACGGTGGTCCTGGGGTCAAAGCAAACTCTCGAGGGATTCGTCACCGTTTGACTCGTGCGCCCCTCAAATCCTCATTTGACTTTTCCAAGCCCGCCCGCCCGACGCTCCCTGGCTGCCTGGCAAACGCTGCCAGCGCCAGAAGCCCGGCCCAGCCCACCCCCCAGTGCGCCCTGAAAACCAAAAAACGGCCGAGGCAGGACCGTCCACGGCTTTACAACGTATGGGCCACACGGTTGGGACAGGCAGTACATGGCATTTCCCGGCGGGGTGGGACGCGGACGGGGTCGGATTCAGGCGTCGGCCAAAACGAGGGGCTTGGCCCCAGCAGGAACGCGGTCTGTCGTTGCATGCAATCGCTCACTCACTCACGGACGGCACCACAGAGTACTCCGTACAGAGAGTAGCCAAGCACACGCGCGCTATGCCTGGCCGCATGCGCTCGTGTCCGTTACACAGCTAGCCCTACCGTCCGTCGGGTCTAACAAGCTCAGGCCCGCCCGCCCAGGCTGCCGGACCCGATAATAGCAGCAACAATCATGGCCTATACGGCGTCGCCTGAATTCTCACACAGTCCCTACGGCAGCTGCGAGCTATGAGCTGGAGCTGGCCGGCTCGAGCACGGCATCATGCGAGACGAGGCCGTCCCAACTTGTGATCATGGCCTGGGATCCGGACCGCCCAGCTCCCGGCCACTTCCTCCTGTACCGCGCCCCGAATTCCAGCGCCATGCGATAACGACGAACTCAGTATGTGCTCCGTAGCTCCAAACATATCGCCTCATCCTCCCAACCCTAAAAAATTCTGCCAGGCGAAGAGGCGAACACTATCCTGGCTAAGCGCATCTCGCGCCGAATGCGCCTGGTACTGTTGGGCCTGTTGCTTGCATTGCCAATGCTGCTGCTGCTGCTGCTCTACTCCCCCAGCACAGCACGACTGTCCGCTTCCTGCAGACGGGGCTCTGGGCTAGCCGCGCTTTGCTTCCAAGGCAGCGTGGTCCCACCATGTGGGCACACGATGTTGCGTATTAGTGATCGGGAGCATATGGTGTACGGACTACGGAGTACAGACAGGCGCGCTGGCACAGAGGGCCTGGTCGATCATCTGGCCAACTGCCGAGGGTACATTGCCCAAAAAGTATGCCAGCTGAAGCAGCTACATGACCAATACATGACTTATTGTCAAACTTGTCGAGTCTAATCACCATGGCTTTGAGTTTCTAGCCGGTCATGGGTACGGTTTCGCCCCATATAACCCAGCAGTGTAAACTCTGACGGCCAAAGTACTTTTTTGGCCCCTCTCAGCCGACGACCCTCCTTGGCAAGCTTCCCAGCTACCTAGGTAGCTACCTACCTGGCAAAGATTACCTGATGCTACCGTTCTGTCCCCTCCATCCCTCCATTCCTCCAGACCAGTGGGTAGGAGAAACCGAGACCCCCCTCCTATGTACCTCCAAGGTCCAGGTACAGGGGAGCTCCGCCATGGGATTTCCAACAATAGACCAGAAAGCAGAAAGTCCCGTTCCCTAGCCAAAGCTTCTCCAAAATACTCCAAACCGTCAGAGCTACCCTCCCCCAAATCCAAAAAATAATAATACAGAGGAACAAAGGACAGTACATGGCGAAGCTTTGAAGGCGGTCACCGGATTGGTACATACTGCAACCATGCGCACTTGTACAAACACCTTGGACACACAAACACACACACACACACACCAACACGACGGATGTATGTACTAGGCGTGCTAGGCATACCAGGCTGGCTCTGGTCGTGCCGTCCCTTTGACACAACCGTGCCCGTTGGTGCTCGCGCTGTCAAAAGAGCGTTCGCACATATTAGTAGCGGCCGTGCTAGCCGGCCGATGTCGAGTGGGCGAGCATGAGGAGCCGTCGTTTTAGTAGGGCCCGCATGAGAGGTCACTCAAACACCGAGCAAAAGAGCAGTCGAAATTATCTAGCTAGCCGTGAGCCGGAATAGGACAATTCCTCCGCCTGGGTTTGCTTCAGAAACGATTCTGCTCGTCAGTGTCGGCGGGGGCTTAGTAGATCTCTCTGCCAAGAGCCCCCCCCCCTCCAAAAAGCTGGGTGGACGGAGGGGACCCAACAAAGGATCATCAGCAGGTGATAATAGTAGCCACCGTGACCCATGGCCTGCCCAGGCGGAGACCCCTGCCCCCTTGTGCCCTCCTTCCTCCTGCCCTCCCTGCCCCCCTCCCTGGACCCCCTGGCAGGCTGCCCACGGCTAACGGCCTCGACCCTGTCGGAGCCCAGACGGTACCAGAGTCAGGGTAATCTCAGGTTACGGTACGCCACTCGAACCCACTCTGGGTCTGAGCTGTCGGGACGGAACCGCATGGGCATGGGGCGTGTCACTTTGTCACTCTATTATTGCCGCCAGGCATTGGGTCTTAAACTTTGGGACTTGTCGCGATCATTCCGCTCTTGACGACGAGGATTCGTCGAACCTAGTCAGAACAAACTCCAGTGCCAAAGTTCCGACTACGACTTTACTGCCCCTATTGCGTCAGGCCCGATCTGAACTGCATGTATAAGTATCTGACACCCGCCCATCTGCGACTCCCCATCTGGATTACGGCAAGCAAGCAACCAGCCCTATCCATCATCAGCCTCGCCTCGCACCTCCCAGGATCACTCTTGTCAGGCCCAGTACAACATACCACGCACGCCACCAATATACAGGACCAAGAGAACCCACTCTTATCAATACCCGCCGAGCCAGACAAGACGGACAGAGACAGAACTTGACAGACAAGAACAACGCCACCCTCGGCCCCTTGCCCCAAGACCTTGTCCCAGTTAGCAAAAGCAAACACGGCAAATCCTCCCCGTTGATCAACCTATCAACAACGGCCGGGACGTCCAGAACATTTACACTGGGACCAGGACCAGTTTGTGACATATCATTTCTCTCTGCGAAGCACCTGCACCAGGCACGTCGTACAGCATTGAGTACTCTTGACCGGTGTTAATCCTTTTCTCCTCCCTCGCCTCCCTCGCCCTTTCGCCTAGGGAGCATATAACCCTCGACACGCGCCAGACGTTCCTTTCCCCCCGCCTGGTCTCGTCTTCAAGATGTTGTCTCTTCACCCTCAGGACTTCAACTCCAACCCGTGCTACCTGCCCTACCGGTCCTTTGCCGGACCTGCGATCACAGCCGACCACTCAACCTTTGTGCCTTTCACCATGGGCGGCGCCGTACAACCCCCGACGCCACAGCACGAGGACCACATGGAGATGGACGGCCCCGCAGAGCCCCTCAGCCCGCGCACATCCCCTGCCCACACATCATCCCTCCACCAGTCCCAACAGCAGCGCTCAGCCTCCCCGCGCACCTCGCCAGCCGTCCAGCCGCCCTCCGACTTCGGCAACCTGGACCCGAACACCGTGGCCGAGGCCCTGGAGATTGCCCGCGACAGCCCGGACGGTGCGCGGGACCCCGTTGTCAGCGGCATCCTGGAGTCGGCCCTCACCCAGCTGTGGGACCGCGTGACAGCCCAGCCCGAGAGTTACGTCATGTCCACGGGCGAGTTCGCCGTCTTCAACTTCTACCAGCAGCGGTTCGTCGGCAATAAGCTTGCCGTCGCCGCAAGGAGGAGGTACTGGGACAACACGCACGCATGAGCCACAGCCCTACCGCGCAGTTTCATATTTCAGGCTCTCTCAATAGTATCTCGCACGGTGTTTCGGGTGCCTCTGGGGGGAATTGTCACGGCTCTCCTCGACTTTGCTCATCTCGCCCGATAACAGCCGCTGTCCGTCGGACAGTCTCTCGGCCCGCAGCCCTCCTACGTTGTGGAAGATAGGGGGGACACTTTTCATCGGTCAAAGCACGGCCCCCCCGACGCAAATCCAATCAGACGCTCACTACCAATCGCACGGTCTCTGACAGAACGGGATTTCGACCAGATCGTTGAGAAATGACCAGCCATCTGTCCCACCATGAACTGGTGGACATGGATGGCTCGACATTCATCTTCTCAAACGGCTCTGGGAAGCTCTTTCCCCGCCCTGTTCCGCCATTGCGCCACAAGCACACAAAAGGCTGGCGCTACCCCAACGTCCGTGGAAGCTCTTCACGTCAAGGCGCAAATAAGATGTCTTGGCGGCATTGCAGCTCCCAGGACCGGGTCTAGCAGGCTCGGGCGGCGCATACGCCAAGCATGACTACGACCTGCCCGCCTACACAAGGGGCTGCGATATCGAGGTCCCGTCCCTGGCCGTTGCGATTCCGCGGCAAGCCATAGGAATCCGCGTCCTCCCGAGCGTCGGAGCGCCGCCTCGCATGAAAGTGCATCGCTTCAGCTGAAGTGATAGTGTGTCTTTGCGCAAAGAGAGAAGCGAGAGAGAGAGAGAGAGAGAGAGAGAGAGAGAGCCGATGTCTGTACATTGTTTTACCAAAAGGTATTTTCTTACTATTTTATGAAAGGGAAAGCCCAAGGGGCATATACGATACGGGTCTAGCATTTCGGATGGAGTTGGATTTCGGGCGGGTTTTGCCTTCATCATCGCCGCCGCCGCCACCGGCCAACTGTGTTGTCACGGGGCTTGACGGGGTGCACAGAATTATAGGGACGGGCCGCCTTGGTCTGGTTTGAAGTGTCGTCTGCTTGTGGTTTCTCCCAGCTTGAGGTCCCGATATACCGGGTCCCCAAGCCGGAGTGGGCATCTTCTTCGCATTACACACGGAGGGCGTCAAACTTTTTTAGGTTGTTGATACCCGCGTTTACAGTATTTGGTAGCGCAACGAATCTCACAAAGCTTTCAGTCTCGCTTGCAACTTGAGCCTCATCTTCTTGTTGTCGCAACTCACCCACCTCAGATTGTCATGTGCTTGAACGTTTTCCCAGGCTGCCTGTGATTGGTGCTCGACTCGTGTCCCAGGCGGCGATTCCGCTTTCAGAAATCCCACGGCCGTGGTGGTAGGGGGTGGTTGAGCGGCTTGCTCTGCCGCGGGCAATCGGGTCCCTGGGTAGGGGTCCCCGCTTGGGCAGCACAGACGAGGAAAAGGGACAATTCAGCTTGAGTACGTGGCATGACACTGACGCCAGGATTATTGAAGCTTGACGGGAGGACGGCCTATCCGCCCATGTTCCGGATCCGAAATAAGGGACACCCACACGGAGAAGCTGGCGACAAAGCCACCCCAGGTGCCCAGGGCTCGCATCAGATGAAGTTGGGAATCTGGGGCTGACATGACTGACAGGACGTGGACGCGCACGCACACACACATGCACACACATGCAGGAAGGATCGGGCAAGACACGGGAGAGATACCCGGAATTCGCCACCCGCCCTGTCTGTCTGTCTGTAAGTCAGTCATTTGGTTTGTCAACTCAGCACCCAGTCATGCAGCCCTTGCTCGCGACCGAGATCCCAAAAGTAATAAAACCCAGATCGATATCCAACCCACCCCCGCCAATAACGAGCCGGGGCAAAAGCTCCTGGCCCGGGGGGCGGGGACGGGGTTCGAGCTGCCTCTCGCCCGGGAACCCTCCTCCCTGCCGCCCTCCCAAAAGGCCAAAAGACGCGATCCTTCGTGGTGCCGTGGTGCCGCCAACACCCCGTGGCGGCCCTGTTGGGTCGTGCGGAATTAATGCAGCCCAGCAGAGAAGCATTGACCTGGCGTAATTATAGGCTGAAGTGGTGAGAAATCCGGGAAACCATAACCCCTACCTAGTGTGATCTCTAATAAGCCACAGCACGACCAGGTCTAAAAAAGCCCAGCTAGCCGGGCGGATTAGCAGATTAGCAGATGAGATGCTGGGCAGCCGGGGTCCTTTTTTGGCATGCTGCACCTCGGCCCCAGCCAGGGCACGCGGCGACGCAGGGACGCAGGCACGCAGGGACGCAGGCACGCCGCAGGGACGCACGAGACTGACTATCCGTACTCACTACTCCGTACAGTAGCTGAGTAGATACCAAGCCACAGGCATCATCACGTCCCCCCGCGCCCGCATGATCCCGCAGCATGGGCGACCTGTCGAACCGGGCCGTTGCATTTTCCTGGCATTGGCGACTGCACGCAGGGGGAGGGGGATCGGGCTACTGCCGCAGGAGGTAAGCGTTGGTGGTTCAGATGCTGTCTGGCTGTGTGTTGTGCAGCGCAATGTTGGTTTAATTGCACCTCCCATGTTTCCCCCAGCGCCAAGCCGTGGGAGAGTGCTTAGTATAGCATAATGAATCCTACGGCTACGCTTCCCGTTCACCACCACACCAATCTGATCTGCTGCGAGCCTGCGAATCACTTCCCCAACTCGGAACAGCTCTTTGGGCTGGCAGGCTGGCAGGCTGGCGTGCGGGGTTGGTTCACACGCAACAGGCGCACACACATAAGCACACTCACTCGACAACATGGGATTGATAAACAGGTACCGGGGGCCGTTATGCCAGGGACAAGGGGCAGGGCTACCTCAACCAGGGGCAGACGATGAACAGACTTCAGAGTTGCAGTCTCCAAAACTTGCCATTGGCACCCTACCCTGTTGACTGTGCCGCTTCCTGGTGCCTGCTTGCCTGCTTGCCTGCCTGCCCTGCGGTGCAGATAGGTACGTACATCCATATTGTACTATTTATTATTGCTCTTTGATCAGACACAGACATACGAGTAGAACCAGCTGTGCCTGTTGTGCAACGGCAGCTTATGATCAGCTCGCCTAGGTTGTGTCAGGGTCGAACTGTTCCTTTCCCCCGTGCTACATTACCAAGCCCACACCCACCTATAGCGGTGATTGAGCTGCAGATACGGAATAAGTGCATGTGCCTGAGTTTGATGTGCGGTCTATCGGAAGGTACCCATGTACCTTTGCCTGGGTGGTGTAGGTGCAGTTGTACGGAATATGCTCCTGCCCTCTTCTCCCATGCTACCTGTGTAGCCTGCAGCGCACCTCCCCAATCCGTCGTAGGCCCCGTACGGCCTCATCTGTTCATTTGTTGGGGTCGCCTGTCACCTCCCTGCTGCTCCCCTACCCAGGCGTCCATTGCTCCTCTCCCCCCCTCGCCTATCTGGCCCATGCCATGCCATTGCAGATTGCTTGCGCATCTCACCGTCATGGCGTTATCGCGACGGGTCATCGATGCCGTGAGGGGATGGGGTGGGATGAGAGACAGCGACATGCCCCCCTCTCCAATTGCATCCCGTACTTAACCACAACAGCACGCGGCTCGCTCATGCGTGGTCGGTGCCTGGGCGTCTTTTGCACACCAGCTGCAATTCTGCCTCCCAGCTCCTTGCTCGCCCCGGTGCTCAGCAGATATTCTGTCATCCGATTCGAGCTGGGGAAACTTTACTTTTCGGCATCTCTTGTTCCCTGTTGCGGTCGATCGCCCTGCCCGCCACTCTGCCTCCCAGCCTCCCCCAATCTGGTCCAAATATATCCTGATATATGTTGGCAAGCATAATACTCTTGCGTTCTGCAACCTGCTCAAACAGACGCGCACAACCAAGGGGGCTTGGAGCAAGAGCGAAAAGAGTCGTGATCGGCAGACATCCCATCTTCCCCTTGCACCAATTCGCGCCAAGAGGGGGCTTTCCCATCTCCCAGATCAGAGACTGACCGACTGAGTGGGTGAGTGACCGACTGAGCGAACGAGCTGACGAGTGAGTGCTACCCCAACCAAAAAGGTGCCTCTGCAAGGATACAAGCACTTTCTCCCTGGGACTTGGCGACCAGACGACCGTCTCGGGCTGTGTCTGGGGGGTCGCCCTCGTCCAAACTCCACGCACGCCGGCAGTCGTTCCACTCTTTTCCTAACCCCATCGGCAGCCGGCCAGTAAGCCCGCAAGGTGACGAGTCCGGGAGCAGAGTGCAGCCTGCCAGCCTGCCAGCCTGCCAGCCATGGGCCACAAGCCGCAGCCCTGGGGCCTTGGTGGAGGGGAGCATGCCGTTGCGGCTCAGGGTCGTGATCTCCAGCGACTCGGGCTGTTGTCCGAAGAAGGAATGGTCAGACCCCACAGCACTGGCCGACAGCAACGACGACGCTCGACATATGCACCACTCGCCGCGTGTCTCGTCGTGCTTGCGGCTCTGACCGCTCTGGGCCTGTGCCACCACCGCCAGAACCTGCCGTGGCCACAGCCCGTGGCGGCTGTGCCAGCGTGGTCTGAGAGCACGGCACCGTCCGACCGCGACCGGCTGTCAGGTGCTGCTCTTGCTTCTGTTGCTACCGCAGCTGCAGCTGCAGCTTCTCCTCACCACCCGGATGTGACCACTGGTCACGCTGGCAGCGACCAGGCGGAACATGCGGCTGCCGAATCGTCCAGCGTGAGCGTCGCAGTCGGCGTGCCCGGTGTGATCAGACGGCAGACTGCCAATGTGACTACGACATCTGCGACAGCTGCTGCGACAGTTCTAGAAGTCTTCCAGGTCCACCAGCCCGTCCTGACTCCGTCTGGCCCGACTTTGGACGACGCCGCTGCTAGCGACGATGACGAGACGCCCGGCGGGTCGGCGGGCAGTTCTTGCTCCGTGGTGCTGATGGACCACGTCTTCGCCTTCAGCTATGGAACCCCGTTTGTCGGGGCCTACACGCCGCCAGACTGTGACTTCAATCGCGTAGTGATCAACTTTACCGTGGTGAGCGAGGGCAGGCAGTAGTGAGTTCATTGATGCCTGATAGCTTCTGCACACATGCAGACTGCTGACTGCCGCTGACACTGACAATCTGCACCAGTGACCGTCTTGCCCTTATGTACCTTAATGACACCGAGGTTTGGCGGACGTCCACCGCCGAGCCGACGGCGCACCCGGGTATCCACTGGACTTACCTAAAGGACATGACCGAGTACCTCTCTCTGTGGAAGTCCCAGGAGAAAATAATCTTTGACTTGGGTAACCTCGTCAATGATATCTACACAGGATCATTCAACACCACCCTGACAGCTACTTTTTTCAATGACGAGGTTGACGTCGCCACTGCGGCTCCGGCAGACCTCATCATCCCCATCAGTGCGCGCAAGTCCTCATCCGACGGCGTCAGTCAGTTCACGCTGCCCGCAGACAATGCGACCAATACGATCAGCTTCCCCCAGAATGCCAACCGCGCTGTCTTCTCTGTCAGCGCCAACGGCCAGTCCAGTGAGGAATTCTGGTGGTCCAACGTTCTGCAGTCGGACACGGCGGCGTTCTCTGCTACCGCCGGCGACTTCACTGGTTACTCGCCGTGGCGCGAGGTTCAGGTGCTCATAGACGGGCAGCTTGCAGGCGTGCAATGGCCGTTCCCCGTGGTGTTCACAGGTGGTGTCGTCCCCTCGCTGCATCGGCCGGTCGTTGGCCCAGACGCCTTCGACTTGAAGGAGCACGAGATTGACATCACGCCTTGGCTTCCTCTGCTCTGTGACGGGAACAGCCACACTTTCACCATTTATGTGGCTGGCCTGGTCGACGACGGTGGGTCCGAGGCAAGTATCACACAGACTGTAGCAGCTAGCTGGTACGTCACTGGCAAGGTGTTTGTGTGGCTTGACGAGGAAGGCAGCGTGACAACCGGCTCAGCGCCAGTCGTTGACGCGTCGCAGCCGAGCATCTCGGTGTCATCGGTGCTCACGCAGAACTCCACTGGCGCCAACGAGACACTCACGTACAACACGGAGGTTTCGCGTGCTTTCACGGTCACCTCGACTGTTGTCTCGCGCAACGCCTCGGGGACCGTCAGCTGGACACAAGACCTGTCTTATAGTAACAAAGGCTTTGTCTCGGACTACGGCTTCGCGCAGGTTAACGACTTCCTGATCTCTGGGACCGACCACGCGAGCTCCTCATCGTCGGCCGTGGGGGCAGATTACAAGACCGAGTACAAGTACCCCTTGTGGTGCAATTCGACCTATGGGTACTCGCCCGAAGGTAATCTGACACTGTACGGGCGGCTGATTCAGGGGCAGAAAGTCTACGTTGAGGGCGCAGCCGTGTTTCCAGATGGCCTGGAGGCCTTTTCTGAAGGGGCAAGCCAGAAGTACACCGGATCACTGGTCGACACAACAAAAGACGGTACGGCTTACTTCTTCCAATATGCGGACCGGACGAACAGCTCTGGGTATGGCTCGACGGACCAGGTCTTCAGCTTTGGCGGCTTCACCGCACCAGACGGGTCCGTGGACGCCACCCCCGACCAGGAGCTGTACCGCCGGCACGTAGCGGCTACAAACTCGACCGTCACGCGTGATGAGGAAGTCGTGGCTGACGGCGGCGCAACTGTGACTTCAACGGGAACTGGTCTGGCCTTGTCCAACGAAGCCTATGCTCGGGCGCCGCTCGACGGTGGCAACGGAGGCCCAAGGTTATTCATGTACCGGCAGGGCGACAATGAACTGTAATAAGCGAAGTTGCACCCAGCCATATACTGGCCTGACTGGGTCTTGGCTTTGAGGGCAGCTGTGGTGATAGCTTATCCGCTGGTCACCTGTGGTCGGCGATCGGCGACTGCAGAGGCTCCGGTCAGCGCGGCACCTAAGCCGAGCATCACGACCGAGCGCCAGGCCCGTGGGTTGTCATCCCTTTGAAGCTGCCTGTCATTGGGGAAGTCCCGTAATGTACAGCATATAGTACGGACCCAATAGGAAAACCTTGGACGATCTGCCATGTACGTCTGCCATGTTTTCAGATACTCTAATATACGAACATCGCTACGTCCCCACCGCCTCCCCAGTCTGTGCGGGCGGTGTGTATGCTTTTACCCAAGGCATACTGCAGTGAACAGGGACTCGGACACCGGCATTCACGGGGTATTTTGGAATGCGACTGGTAAGCTTGGCGAGCGTTGACATACGAGCAATCAGACGATGGCATTTCTCCATGGGGCAAAAAGGGAGAAAGGGGGGAAAAGCAAGAATGAGGGATCAAAAAGCTTCGCCGGGCGCTCAACCGGCGTTAGGACATCCGGCAGCGCGGCCCCGATTGGAGAGCGAGGCCCCCTGCCGTCGTCGCCTACAGGTGCAGCACCCACGCGCCCTTCCAACCCTACCGCAGGGCGGTCGCATGGCGTAGGATTTTAGCCTCGCGAGAAGATACCTAGGTATATAGAGCCCCATCTAATCAATTGGGCCTGGGTAATCTGCCTGATTTTGCCTCTTGGCTCTCAAGGGGTCGGGGGATGACATGGAGGGTGGCCTGATGGGCTGATGGGCTGACGGGCTGGAGGGAGGCGTTAAGGTTGGTGAGGTTGGTGGGATATCTTTGTCGATGTGTTGTTAGCTGCTGATCAATTTATTGAACCTTTTTCAGCCTCATCATGCCTCTCAACCCCAAAGAGGGGAAGGGATGGGATGGGATGGGGGGCGGGCCCCCGGGGAGCCGCCATACCCCATTTCCCTAACGTGCATATGTCAAGGCCCGGCAGCGGGCCCCGACCCAGAAAGGGGGCGAATCTTGGCTGCTGCTGCTGCTGCTGCTGCTGATGCACATGTGCTGCACATGTGCGTGGGTTCACATAGTGTACCATACGTGAGGGGGTGGGAATCTCTCTCTTGCATATGTATGTATGTATGTATGTATGAATGCATGGGGGTTGCGTACGTGTTTGGGGATCTGTATGGGAGACGGGTGAGTGGCCAGGAGTTTTTCTCGACATCTCTCTCTCTCTCTCTTTTTTTTTTTTTTTGGCCCTTCCCGCGCACGCGGGCGGCGAAAAGACGCACACATGTCTCGGGACGGCGCCGAGGTGCATATGTGTGTCGATCTACATGCGCTACGCTGCGCGTGTACGGGGTACATGGGCGATCCGCACTTGTCTCCTTGTCCCCTCCCTTCTCTCCTGTGTAGCAGGTACGCAGGCGTGTGATGTGTGCGTGCCCGCTGGCATGGTATTTCCCCAACCTGCGGGATTGGCAGAAGATGGGATGAAGGTAGCTTGGGATAGCTACTTTTGGCAGCTAATAAGCTGTAAGCTGGGGGTTGCATGGGGTGTGAGTGGTGGTGAGTGGTGCGTGGTGGTTGTGACAAGTCCTGGTCGATCTTGCGTGCATGGATATACGTACCCCTTGTCTTTTCCCTCCTTGTTAGCCGGACTAGCTACTTTACCATAATGTTCGTGCTCACCTCTCACCGTTGCGCGTGGGCACGCAGAGCACGTAGCGCCTCCTCGTTATCTGGCTAGCTTTTCTTGGCCGCTGTATTAGTCGGCGAGCTAATGCCCATAAAAGTCCATGGTGGCCTCATGGAATGCTTGATGATCGGTCCGCGTGACACGTTTGAGGTTAGGGCTGTGGTAACAGCCTCTGCTGGGCTGTGATTTTAAGGTTAGAGCTAGGAGATGCGATTCCAGAATAGGGTCGCGATCCTCCAATCCGCGTACCAAGGGAGGCACAGGCGTTCATGTCGGTGACCCCAGGCGGATCATAACTGCATCTGCGGTGCCAGCACCCAGAGAACCGAGCTGCACCAGCATTGTGCTGCTGCTGCTGTCGCCGCCGCCGCCAGCCCAGGCAGGAGCTGCCGCGCATAGCGACTGCAATCCTGCAATTTGTCCAGGAGAGTTGTATCCGGGGAAACATGTCGTTCGATACGGAGAGGCTACCGAAGCATAGGCTGCGGTCGAGCCGGTTTACACCGGCGGTCTGACGTCAAAACTCAGTCGGAAGCTCGAGGCTATCTCGAGACGCTCTGGGGATCGTTAAATCGCAAGGGAGCGCGATTGTAGCAGAAGTTCAGTAGGTTTCGCAACGTTCGTACGGAGCCGACCCAACCTCGGTCCTGATCTGACCAGTCGAGAAGAGCGCCTAGCGCCTCGCAAACAGTGCACACATTTGCACACTTGCACACCCGTATCTGTATCACCTTGCCCTGGTCAGCGTGCCATCCTCCTATTCCCGCCTTGTGCTCGCTTCCACTGCCACGGGAATTGTTCCGCAATGATGATCGACGCTCTATTTTGGCGGCATCCTTCAGTACCCGTAGCGAGCCGTGGCGGGCTGCCGGGTCAGTAGTTTGGAAGGGTGAGTGACCATCGCGCCGAGCTTGCGCATGTTCCAATCTCCGAGCTAAATCAATGTCGGTATCGTAGAGTTTGGCCTAACAGTTGGTGCGCCGGAGTAAGCTGATCCTCAGAGGTCCTCATGAGAAATCCTAGTTGCTTCGTGAACGCTGTTTATGGCCACTCCGAAGAGGCTGAGATGGCCAGACCTGATCCACCTGCGGTCATCCGGCGCATCATGGGTGCAATGAACCGTGACGGTAGATCCTGCAGATTCCGGACCTCGCCGTGGTGGGCCCAGGTGGTACGGCCTGCCATCTGGTGTTCGGCCGCCGTCGTCGGTAGATGCTCAGGCACGGAGGACCATCATCTGCGTGCGCTGCGAGTGATCTACAGGTGGCAAAAAGCTTGGCCTGGGAGATGGGGAACTCTGGTGCGTGGCAGGCCACAGATCAGATCGGAGCAGTTCTTGGAAGCGATTTTGTCGCAAGCTTTGACCACCTGGCGGTAACGAGAGTGAGAACGAGAATGTTTGAGAGTGCGAAGGAGGCCGCGCCAGGCCTGTCGTGAGCGAGCTGGCGAGCTGCTGGGGAAAGCATATTCGGACTGGGGTTCCCGACAAGACCAAAAGAAGGTTTCACCCAAATCCCGTACCAAATCCCGCGCTACGGGTGCCACGCCAAGTCAGACGATCCCGAGCCAAGGAATCCCAAAAGACTGGACCTTAAAGTTTTCTAGAGGCTTGGGGGACAAGGGTTCCTGTCAGGTTCGGATACATCCCACGGCGACTGGACATGTACCCCGTCGGCCAGGGAGGGGGTCGGCACAGATCCAAGGGGAATTGGAGAAGTGAGTACCGTTCTGGCCTGAGTACATGGCACGTTCCAGTACCATCAAATGCGCTCCGAATTCTCGTCCAAACTCTAACGCTCCACCTGTCCACCCAAGCTGCAGGTCCCTCTCCGGAGATGCGATCCCACGCCCTCGCACCCAGTGCTGCGGAGAGCGGGTACTACTGTACCCATGTCCAGCAGTGGGAGGTCACGGGAAATACACACAACTATTGGTGAAACTCAAAGTCATCCCAGAGGGGCGAACGCCAAGGGCATTGGCCTTGGCGACCTGATACTCACAATACGGCTGGGTTTTTCATCCCCACGTACAGGTGAGGTGATGTCTCGCCATTGTCCCCAAAGTCCCTTGACTATGAGCAGGGGAGGCCGAGTCTGGAAGTGGCTGTTTGTTTCGAGCTGCAAGAGAGGACGCACTAGGTAGGCCATCCCTTCCTGTCATCTCGTCTGTCGCAGCTGTCCTATCTTGGCAGTGTTTTGTTTATCCGACAGTGACCAGTGCCGTGAAGTTAGTTTGCTGGCCCATCTTGTGTCTGTGAAGCTGTTGGAGACAACCTGATCCGAATGTTGAATGTCATAGAGAGCCTGACAGCAGTCGTCCCCGCGCGCGAGCGCGGTCAGGAGTCCTCGGCACACGTCAGTCAGTGGGGCGGCAGTGGTGATCGGAATGATGAAGAATGTACAGTAACAAGAGCCTCTTGTGCGGAACACAGGCCAGAGTCGTGTGCGTGCACGATGCCCCAGGGGTGAGGGGTTGGAGAGCAAAAAGGTTCCAGAAGGCTTCGAAAGGTGTCAGACACAAAGTGGAGTATCCGCAATGTATCCCACGGTAGGTCAGGCATTCTGGTAAGACTCGGATGGTACTCAAGGCTGGCAGGTAACTCGAGAGGGGCACAAGGACTTGCTCAGCGGCCAGAACCTTGTCTCTAACGGAGGGGAAACGGTGATGGGATGCCTTGTCCGGGATTGAATGTCGGAGTTACGGCACGATAGTTTCGACAGCAGGCCACTATAAGGTTTCTAAGAGTTCATGACGCATTCGAAGCAAGACGGCCCGGGGACAGGCATCAGAGGGTGCGGATGAGGGCATTGATGGCAGCCCGGCAGCTGACCGACTTCTGTGGGATGAGGGCATTGATAGAAAGAAACCCATGGGATTCGTCCTCGTTGGAGTGGGTGGAGTGGGTGTTGTAGGCCGTGAGGAACGGCGAGGGCATCGCCCACACGAGTTCGGCTTGTCCGATGGCAAAGGTATCGTGTGACGGGGCGACGCGGTACCACGAGTCGTCGGCGAGTGGTCGAGGCGCACCGTCGGTCGACTATTGCGACAAGCGATGGGCAGACAGAGACAGGCAGGGCGAGGGCGGACGAGAGCGGACAAGAGCCTTGCCCCCCCACGGCAGGGCCGATGGGGCGCAACGGAGATAAGGTTCGAGCATATGCGGCAGCACAGGTCACAGGTGCGGCCACGAGACGAACGCAGCGTGGCAGCTGTCACCCACTGCCAGTTCGTGGTAGGTTGGGGAGGACGTTGAGTTGAAACAACGCGCGGGTGCTAAGCCATAGGCAGAACCGCAAGCCGATGGCTGCGTACATACGCGCGCGTTCCAGGGGCTGCAAGGCTTTCTGGCAGGCTGGCAGGCTGGCTCTTGCGTCGGCAAGGATGGGGGCGACAGCATACTGCCGCTCAGGACGTGTTGGCCGGGCTGTGGTTGGTGTTTTATGGCGTTGACAGCTGTGGTTGGTTGGCTCCTCGCAGCCGCGCGTCTCGAGAGGCCGACGGCTGCAAAAAGGCAGTTTCATCCAGGCATCTCGGCTGGTGGCTATCCTGTCAGTAACAGCACAAGAGAGAGGCGGGGAGAGACAGAGCGCTGTTCAATAACTAACTCGGGTGGCGGGAGCCACAATACACTTGTCGTCGAAGACACTCGACAATTTTGTGGTCGAGGTGTGAATGCGGTGGTGGGAAGGCGGGGATCTGCAGTTTGCTGCAGGGGTATGCAAGCTCATAAGGCTGTCGATTGGCCTAGGATCGCCCCGCCAACAGCTCGAGTGCCGGGACGATGGCGGTTGAATGGCCCTCGTCAGCTGGAAACAGAAGCAAAAAACAACAAAGTCCAGCCAATATATGCGGCAGGAAAGATTGAGTATTGGTCCTTGAGAAACGAAACAGTCCAACCTGCATGGCTTGCAACACACACAATACACACACACAGCTAGAGCCCTCGAGAAATTTATTGCATCCCATCCAAGAGGATCAAACTAGGCTGCCTCTCACCTCTGAATTGCACGCTCCTGCCCGCTCACCAGCCGACCAGCTTAATCCCCATCTGAGCTAGGGGGGGCCGCTCGACGTCATCGCGCTCCCGGCATCCGGAGCTGCTCTTGCCCCAGCCGCAGCAATAACAGGCAGATGTGCCCTTCACAGCCTCCCTCATACGACTTCGACATTGTGTTGAATCCGCCACTCAAGTCTCCAGCCTTCTGTCTCTGTCCTCCTTTCACCAACATTCTCACAACGCTATTGTTGTAGTATCAACAAACTGATCACTATTCGCTCCACCAACTGTCCCCTGTGGTCGATCGCTCCACCAGGGTCTTGTACTCCACATCCTTTGCCGCTTAAACAACACAAGCAGCACAGACAAGCATCGCGAACCCACCCCTATCTCCGCCAGCAGAGACTCGCAAGACCAGCCCCACCTCCAGACCGCCGCCATGGAGATCATCCAAATAGCCATCCGGGGCCTGCAACTCCTCTGGATCATCATCCTGACCGCCCTGCTCGGCAACGTCATCGCCACCAGCAACAATGGCTCCTTCGTCTCCGCCGCCGCCGTCAACTTCTCCATGTTCGTCACCGTCCTGGGCTGGCTCGTGACCATCTACGGCCTGGCCGTGGCCTTTGTCGAGTCGCTCGCCATCCCTATCGTGGTCATGGCCACCGACGCCGCGGTCGTCTTGTTCACATTCATCGACGCCGTCGTCCTGGCCGCCATGTTGGGTGTCCCTAACTGCGGCAGGGAGGACAACGAGAAGAAGTGCCGCGAGCTGCAGGCCAGCACCGTCTTCATGTGGTTCCTCTTTGGCACCTTTGCCGCGTCGTTGGCCTTCGCGCTTCTGGGCTACCGGAGGGGCGGTGGCTCGGTAAGGTCGGGTGGCCCTCACATGGCACAGGTTAGGGTCTAAGCACCATGGGACGGTCTATAAGGGCTGTCAAAGTAGGGTACATACGATCGTCACGAAGATTATGTCGGTCATGGGCATGGGTAAATTACGACGGAATGGGTGGGATGGAAGGTTGACAAAATTTGGGACAGGATATTATAGGCGTCGGATGGGACGAGCGACAGTGCTGGGCACCAAATTGGTCGCATACAGGCGGCTGAGGTCTTGACGGCGTTGAGGGTACAATTCGGTTCGGAAAGGTCATACAGGCCGCGTGCCTGCGTGTGGCCAGGTATTTGCACATGTGTAACGAGTACCGGATATGTACTCATTATTGATTGATCGATTGATTGAACTAGGCATACTGAGAGATATAGTAATGGACTTGTGCGGTTCACGCTGGACAGAACATTGCATCATCGCGTGCACGCTTATGACATGTTCCGCAAAGATTTGAAGAACAATTCGACCTGTCGCCGACGTCGATCTAAGGAATCTTTGCCCTCGACAATATCCGGCAAGGCACTGCTGGCTGGTGGAACGGCGAGGACCGTTCCTTCTCAAGGACATGCCGCAAACGCAACAACGGTTCCTCTCGTGACCCATTTGCTGCGGCTGTGCTTGAATCACCATGTCAAGGGCGGAAAACGCCCCAGAGTTCACCATTCTGGCGTATAAAATGTGTTCATTGCCCTCAGCAGGTGCAGACAATTGTGTGACAAGATGCTATGTTCCTCTTCTGGGTTTCGGGGAATCCAAATTCACGTACACTGTCTTCCACCAAAAGATGCCGTGCTCTCATGCCCATATGACGGACCGGGCCAGGGTCAAATATAGATCGACCGCGTCGTCAAGATCCGGGACGATAAATCAGATGCTCAGCACACATATGGCCCATCTGGCACGAGTGTTTGTCTCATTTTGCGTATGTTGTACAATGGCCGTCCGACTTGTTCGATTCCGTACACGGTAATCAGGCTTCCAGGACTGTCCATGACCATCTCTCGTTCTCGGCAGCATCCGTTCGGGGGTCATCATAATGTAGCAGCTGCCTCCACAGCACCCGTCGCCGCCCATGCCTTCTTGTTCGTCCACCGTACCTCGACGTTGTGCGCCCACTCCATGTACCTCGCCCAGCCTGTTCGGTGGCCTTGTGTTAGCAAACAGAGCACTGCGTGGCGGCGGCCCGGTCCCTTCTCGCCGGCCCCGGGGCGGGGTGGGGAAACGGTGAAACGGAGGGAGGCGGGTGCCAAACGTACTCCAGTAAGCAAACTTCCTGCCGAGGTACTTGCCCGCGAAGGGCACGACGACCATGGTCAGCAGCAGCTGGATCTGCTCCAGGCTCTCCTCCCACTCCTTCTGCGCGTCGCTGGGGCTCTCGCTGGCCTCGGAGCTCAGCAGGTCGCTGGATATCGAGGGCAGGGAGTCGAGGTCGTCGTCGTCGTGGCTTTCTGAGGCGGCCATGTCGGATATGACATACGAGTCGGAGGTGGACATGCTGCTGTCTGAGGGGGGTCCGGAGGCGGGATGGGCGGGATGGGCGAGGTGGTGACGTGGTGACGTAGAACCAGGGGCCTCGGAGCTTGGGTCGGGCGGGTTCGTGCCCCGGTAGGTTTTCTTCGGTGCAGATGCGACGACTCTGTGCTCCTTGGCCAGGTGCGATATTAGGTACAGGAATTGCGGTCGTTGGGAATCGCAAGGGCTGGATCCAAGTAGTGCTTGGCTGTGAGCATGCGGCTGTTCGTCGTCCACGAACTACGTCCGATCCCGTCTTGGTTGTCCCGTCACCAATCCCGGGCAGGCAGGTGCCGAGGTCGGGTAAGAATGCTAGCGGCCTGACAGGCTCCCTGGCCGTCTGGCTGGGCACTAGGGTGCTGTTTCAGCATCCCGCCCGTCCAGTAGGGGAATCTCGAGAGCCTTCTCAGCAGGTCAGCTGACTGCCTGAGCGCTGTGCCTACACTGCCTGGGTTCCTCACGATTCAGGACTGGGAGTCACTCTCGAGGTGCTTGTTGGGCGGGACATTATTTCGTCATTGCGAGGAACGGTTCGTTCTACAGTAGACAGACAAGCTTACTGTACCCCGAACTCCATCAACCGACCTACTCTCACTCATAGCAATCTGGGTGCCCCTCCTCACTCATCGGCATTTGACTCATCGAATACTCGCCTCTGCACACACCCACAAAAACATCACAACAAGGGCACACCCACGCCCGCCCGATGCACCAGGCTGCCTGCCTGTCAACCGACAAAAAAAGAGATACCAGCACATCCTACTATTACGATTTGATCGAATAGCTCTACCTGCCAGCTAGCCAAGCCCGACAGTCAGTCACAACAGATCGAGAGGCACGATTGTGAAAGCTGCAGAAGATTGGAAAAATGGCGAGCGAGGTACGTTCCGATAGCTATTCCGCATAGCGGGCGAGAGAACGGCGGCTTCCCCTCCCTTTGCCTGCACCTTCTGCCTAGGCTTTGCTTGCACTGCATAACTGCTCGAGTCGAGGCAGCTTTTCCCGAGCCCACCACGTCTTGTTCCTCGCGGGGAAGAAGCTCAGACTCTGCCTCTGGCTCAAAGCTCAAAGCTCTCTCTCTGGCTCAGGCACTTCGACAAAGAGGAGTGCACGAGAGTGCCCACCCACACTAGCCACTTGCATCGCAGCAAATAGCAGCGAAGCTGGCCCCTACTAGAGGCTCCCCCTGCTCCAGGCCAGACCAGACAGACTCCAGCTCCGGGTAGCCCTGGCCACCCCTGCCCAGTCGCTTGCCTAGCCCCGCCAAAAAAAGCAGGCCGTTGCGGTTGACTCACTCCACACATCATCAACACCTGTCGTCTTTCACCCGACTACCCTACCCTTTGACTGCGTCTTTGCAGCACAAACTGGTCGCCCTTGTCCTCTCCCTGCCTCTTATCGTCAACGAGCCAGACTCGAATCGAAAATCTCCACCCGTTCCCGTACTAAACATCCGCCTGCAGGACCAGCCCCCCTCGCGAAGAGGATCGCGTACTAAATCCGTCGCATTCACCGAAGAGAAACTCGTCGTCAGTGCCGACGGCAGCGTTGAAATCATGGCTACTCCAAACGAGGAGAAGGACACCGCCTTGGTAAGTCGCAATGCTCCCTTCCCAGGAGCCCAGGGGTTCTCAGAAAGCTGTTTGCTGACAACCTGCACAGTCTCACAGTCCGTCTACCGAGCCACTATCAGAAGCCCTCGCGTCGACTAATCCCTCCGCAGCTACCGCCCCCGCCGAGACCGAGACCCCTCCCCCCGAGGCTGGTGACGATGGTCTTGACCTCGGTCTGATGAAGAAGAAGAAGAAGAAGGTCAAGATCGCCGACGACGCAGAGCCCGCTGCAGATGACGCTGCTGGTGAAGGCGAGGCCGCGCTTGGTAAACAAATCACCGTCGCATGCGACATCGTTTGGAAAGGTCGACGACATGGCTAACATGATTGGGAACAGACCTGGGAATCAAGAAGAAGAAGAAGAAGAAGGCGGCCCCCAAGGATGGCGATGACGACTTCGCGGCCAAGCTTGCTGCCCTGGACCTCGACAAGGAGAGTGGCGAGGCTGCCGGCGAAGAGCAAGCCCAGGAGGGTGACATGTAAGTGTTTCCTCGCAGCACCGTCTCGGCTCTATGGCCCCGCACCGTACCCTCAGCTTGTTTGTATCCAACCTGGTGAATGAGAGCGACAGTTGGTGGGATCATGTCCAGCGACGCGTCACTAACGACTTTGGCCCATGTAGGAAGCAAGGAACCGGTATCTGGACCCACGATGAGACAGCGCCGATCAAATACGACCTCCTCCTGGTATGTGAAGACTCTTGACCTCGTTGCCCATGGACGTCACGTGTTGACTAACGCGTGTCGCAGAGCCGATTCTTCAGCCTTCTCTCCGAGAAGAACCCCGACCACGCCACCGGAGCTGCCAAGAGCTACAAGATCCCACCGCCCCAGTGCATGCGTGAAGGCAACAAGAAGACCATCTTCGCCAACCTTCCAGAGATCTGCAAGCGCATGAAGCGGTCCGAGGAGCACGTCACCACATTCCTGTTCGCCGAACTGGGCACGAGCGGCTCTACCGCTGGTACCGGAGGTCTGGTCATCAAGGGTCGTTTCCAGGCGAAGCAGCTGGAGAACGTGCTGCGGAAGTACATCATCGAGTACGTGTCGTGCAAGACGTGCCGGTCGCCCGACACGGAGCTGAGCAAGGGAGAGAACCGTCTGTCATTCGTCACCTGCAACTCGTGTGGATCCAGGCGGTCCGTTGCTGCCATCAAGACTGGTTTCTCTGCCCAGATCGGCAAGAGAAGGAAGATGCGGGCGTAGTTTGGTCATTTGCTCGCTGGCTGTACACTTTTCTCAGATGCTACATAGAGGCCATGAAGTAATGCCGACAAAATTTTACGTCTCTTTGAACCTTTAGTGGTCACACTGATTATTCCCACATTGGCGCTTTCATGCATGACATGTTGTGGTCTTATTCCGTCTCCTGGTAAGGCCATTGTACCCCTCGCACTCTGCCCCCTGGCACAAGGGCATAAGCCGGCCCCTGCCAGAGCAGTGGCTGCCTATGTATGGAGTTGGTGGTCGTTGTTGCGGCTCAGAGCCGCCCGTCTTGGGCACAGGGAAGCAGGGGTTTGCCTGCCGCAACACCCCAGCAATAAACTTATATGACGGCATGTGCAATACCCTTTTTTGATAGCTCCCGTGTGGGTGAGAGCTTCACTCGTTTTCACGGTGCATCAACTGGGCATCCGGTCGAACTTTTCACAGCCAACATGCTGACCTCACGCTTCAGGGTCGCGAGCCAATTGCGCCGGTCAGTGGTGGCGAGGAGTATCACCACGCTGTCCAATAACCCAGACATTGTAGGTTCCATGCTTGCCTGCAGTCTCACACTCTCCTCGCTCATCCATGGCGATGTTAAGCACCATTTTCCCAAGACATAGATCTCACAATTCGATCAAGATTGTTTTCAACATCTTATGCTCTTTTTCTTCACATCATGCAGAGGCGACGCATCAATCATCCACCCAATCCGCCCCACGAAATATTATAATTAAGAAGGATAAGCTAACCCACCCGACCCAGAAAGTCTTCCCCAACCCCGGGGCGTCGCCCTCCTCCCCCTCCTACCTGCTGACCTACCTGTCGACGGAGCCGCCCAGCCCAAACCTGGCCGTCGGGACGACGACGGAGCTCCCGCCGACGCCGCGCTCGTTCCGCGAGAACGGCCGCTTCCTGGGCATCCTGAACGAGGTCCTCGCCGCCCACGCGCACCTCGACCAGGACCTGCGCGCCGCGGCGCAGGCGTTTGCCAGCCCCGGCGGTGTCAACCTGGGCGGCGGGATGATGAGGGGCAAGGGGAAGCGGAGGGGCGGGTCGGACGGCGCCGGGGGCGCGAGCGACCAGGGGGGCGCCGGGGGTGGGGGCGCTGGGGGCTGGGTGCACCTGAGTGATGTGAGTTTCTTGTCACGGCCTCGCTTCTGTTGTTTTTGCTGGCCTTGTGCTCTCCTCGCGCCTTTGGGTCATATTCTGGTGATTTTGCTGACGCTATTATTGGTGGACAGAGGAGAAACCCGCCAGACTTTGGTAGGATAGCATGGTGAGTTGAGCTCGCTCTAAATCATATGCTTCGCCTGCTTTAAGCAAAGAAGCGGGCTGGCTGACTGTTTTGACAAGGCCTGAGGACATATTTGGCAGTATCCAGGTCGACAGCAAGGGGAATATCGAGGGCAACTTCCAGACAAGTGGGACCTACAGGATAGTGACAAACGAGGGGATGTGAGTTGAACTTAATCCAATATTTCCGTATTGCCATTATCTGGCCAGAGATAATCGCTGACCAGGGTCTCAACTTTCACAGACTGGGCCTGAGCCCCTTCTTGACTGAGAAGCTTGTTGCAAGGTTACGGGAGGAGGAAGCGAAGGAGCGAGCATCATGAGGGCAGGCTGGTCGTGTTATTGGATTGGAGCTCTTCTTCAGGCCCAGCACGAGATCAACTCTGTGTCTGCCAGGACAGTCTACCCCCAATTTTTACGAGTACGAGTGTGATATTTGTATGAGTACGAAGTCAGTGGGGTATTACCAAGACTGCGAAACATTCACTGAGACCGAGCATGGGATATTACCGCCCTAATAAGGATGTAGAATTATGGTCATGCCTCTGCGAGGAGGAATAAGATGAAGGAGAGCTGCGGGCCTCCCACTCTAACCAAAGGACCCGGACACTGTCATCTTGGAGTCACTGTCATGACTTGGAAGTCAGTATTCACCAAAACGGAGGCACGCAGTCTCTGAGCACTCACTGCCACCCTCATCTTGCAGAGTCCGAGGCTCGCATGCAATGGAAATGCTTATCGAGCTCTGCTGCTGGATGGTGGCCGTCTCATTCTTGAGCTGGGGCATAAGACTGTGCTAATCCCCAATCAACTGCTTCAACCTCACAATTGGAGACCGGCGCAAGGGTTTGTGCAATAAACCCCGCAGCAGGGTGCCATTGGTTTTACAGCCAGGTGAGACACGGCATAAATACACAAGGTGCTGTCCCGTCAGATTGATAGACGTATCCCTCTTGTCTGCTTATGCTCTTTTCTGAATGCTATCGGTCAAACATGTCTTCCAAACTCGGTATATCGTCATCAAAAGCTGATGAAAGCAGCCGTGTCAAGCAAAATGCCCCAGTCGAGGTTGCAAACACCACCGCGGTGTATGAGAAATACGGCAACCAGTATGACGAGCTAGATATGGACCGCATGGGCAAGTTACAGGAGTTGAGAGTGAGTATGCTGACCCTGGAAGACGCGAGTGTGATATGAAAGATTTTGACAAATGTCGAGTAGCGGAACTTCAAATTCGTGACCATTTTCGGCTATGCTGTAATTCTTGGATCCAGTTGGGAATTTGCCTTGATGTTCATTACCTCCCATCATACCTAGGTATTGCATGAGCAACACGTACTGAGCTACATACAGCATCATCGGGATATCGCTTAGCAATGGAGGAACAGCCGGTGGAATCTGGATGTTCCTGACCGTTTGCTTCGGCATGTTTTTCGTCATGCTCTCGATGGCGGAGCTGGCATCAATGTAAGCATACAGACGCGGACCCTTCTAGTAGTATCGGGCTGTCAACTTATTGAACAAGGGCACCCACCACCGGTGGCCAGTATCACTGGGTCTCTGAGATGGCGCCAAAACAACACCAGAAATTTCTCAGCTATCTCGTTGGTACGTCCCCTTTTGCATCCGACCACGATAACAGAGCTGATGCAAAAGGACCAGGTTGGATGTGTGTGATCGGGTGGCAAGCCGCTATGGCTACAGTTGCTCTTGCTACTACACAACAGCTTCAGGGACTGATAAAATTGAATATGCCGTCGTATATGGCTCAAGGATGGCACGGCACCCTCTTCAGCATTGCCATGACGCTATTCGCCATCATATTGAACACCGTCTTCGTCAACCAGCTTCCTGTCATTGAAATCATCGGCTTGGTACTTCACATCTCTGCATTCGTGGCCTTTGTCGTCGTTTTGTGGGCCATGGGGCCATATTCTGACCCGAAGACGGTCTGGACCAGATTTGAAGACAACAGTGGGTGGGGAAACACCGGCCTTTCGACTCTTGTTGGTATCCTTGGACCTATCGTAACGCTTATCGGTTCGGACTCATCCTGTCACTTGGCCGAGGAGCTGAGAGATGCAGCTTGGGTGCTCCCGCGGTCTATGGTCGCCACGGCTCTGGTCAACTACGCTCTGGGCTTTGTAATGACTGTCACCGTCATGTCCAAACTTGGGGATGACGTATCTGCGGTCCTTTCAACAAGTCTTGGACAGCCGTGGATTCAAGTGCTGTACAACGCGACAGGGTCAAAGGCTGGGACATCAGTCCTAGCCGCAGTGGTCTGGATCTTGACACTTTTCTGCTGTGTCAACCAGGTCACCACCACATCACGCCAGCTCTTCGCATTTGCCCGCGATAGGGGACTTCCCTTCTCGCCGTTCTTAGCCTACGTAAGATGCACATTTTGGCTATTCTCATCGGTGGCTAAGTACTTATGACTGACCATGAACATTTGAACAGGTTCGGCCGGGCTGGGATGTCCCCGTGAATGCAGTTCTCGTAACGCTACTCTGCACAATTCTACTCTCACTCATCATCATTGGATCGACAATCGCATTCAATGTCATCACGTCCCTCGGTCAAATAGGGCTAGTCTCTTCGTACATAATTGTCATCGCCTGTGTGTTTGCGAAACGGATCAAAGGCGAACCACTCCTGCCTTCTCGATTTAGTCTGGGCAAATTTGGATTTCTAGTCAACGGCTTGGCTCTCTCGTTTCTAGGGATGGCTTTTGTCTTTTTGTTCTTTCCGGCGGCACCAGACCCGACTCCAGCTGGTATGAACTGGAGTTGTCTTCTCTTTGGTGTCATCCTTGGGTTTTCGCTGATTTATTATTGGATTTGGGGACGACACGTCTATGTTGGGCCGGTAGAATACATCAAACACCGATAGTAGCGAGCTTACAAACTAGATGCTTGGGTTTGGCGTCTTATTAGTCAAGTCCGTCGTCATTGACCACCTGGGCAGTCTAACATTACACTGCATATGCTCCCGCGCGCCTCGGCTTCGGCCGCGGCGCGGCTCGCATCCCCAACCGACTTTGGCAATTAATCAGCCCTGGCCCAGTGATACGCTCTTGCCTGGCATATATATGCACCCCTATTCCGGTGTTATTCGCCATACTCGCTGAAAACCTCCATCAGTATACACCATGTCGACTCAACGCCCAATTCTCATCTCCGGCGCGGGCCTTGCCTCGCTCCTCCTTGCCCAGTCCCTCCGCCGCAGCGCCATCCCTTTCCGCGTCTACGAGCGCGATGCATCTCTTAAATTCCGCGGCCAAGGGTACAGGCTGCGTCTTTCGGACGAGGGCCTAGATGCTATTGAGTCCGTGCTGGGCCCCGAGGACTTCGCACGCTTCTACGACAAGTGCGGCAAGACGGGGGGTGCTGGACTCACCGGTCTCGATGCCGTCACTGGAGAGCCAGCAGAGAGCATGCTGGGCGGGAACAGACAAGAGCTCACAAGCCGGGACAGCAAGACGGTGGGCATCGCAAGAGGGGAGATGCGCCAGCTGTTCTTTGAAGGGCTGGAGGACCACGTTGAGTTTCAGCGCCAGGTCACGGCATATGAGCTGGTCGACGGGGGTGTCCGAGCGGTGTTTTCGGACGGGACCAAGTCGGAAGTGGGCGAGATGCTGGTTGGCGGGGAGGGTATCAAGTCCAGGGTGGCGAAGCAAGTCTCGGGTGGCCGACTAGTGGTCTACGATACCGGCGCAAGAGGGATTCACGGCCAGGCACCAACGGGCGCCTTCAAGGGTCTGGACGAGGGCGTCTACATGATTACAGACCACTCGAAAGGGAAGGACTCGAGGGTCCGCATAATCACAAACGTGCGCCCGAACGACGCTGACAACCCCGACGTCGAGTACGGCTGGACCATGGCGGGGCCCCCAGGTCTGATCAAGGCACCCAACGATGACTACAGCATCGTGGGAGATACGGCAGCAGACCTGGCCAAGAAGCTCACAGAGAACTGGCACGAGAAATTCCGACCGTTGTTTGAGCAGATGAACACCAAGGAGGCCGCGTTCTGGAAGATCACCTGCTCGACACCTTCGGGGGTTCCAGAGTGGCCCAATGAGCCTCGAGTGACGGTCATTGGAGACGCGGCACACTCGATGACACCCGCCGGTGGCATTGGGGCCAATACTGCCGTACAAGACTCGCTGCTGCTCGGCCGTTTACTGAGGGAGGCAAATGGGTGGAAGGAGGGTATCACCGCTGAATATGAGAAGCGGATGCGGGTATATGGGAGTGCGGCTGTTGCAAAGAGCTACGGGCTTGCTACAGAGGGCTTTCAGGTTAAGATCGTGGAAGGAGAGACCCCAACACTGTCGGCGTGATAACATGAACTTGCTAGATGGTGCAAATGAGGTTTTTCGTTGTGGCTAGTTATAACTTGATTGATGGAGAGGCAGGGCGAATCGTATACAGAATTCAGATCTCTACAATCGGTCTACAATTGCCCCTGCTGGTGAGTTGAACACTGGCAGTTTCCAATGTTGATCCAAAGCTTCGAGCAACGCAAAGATGCAAATCACCACAAATCAACAAGTCAACACATGCGAATACATAAGTACATACTGGCGCGATGATTTCAGAATACAGTTACCATATGAGTTACTCTCACATCGCTAAGAATATCTATATTCAGGAGTTCAGGGCACTAAAAATCGTCCATCGGAATTGTGTCTGCGCCTCGTTATATCTCTCCATCTTTCCCGCTCATGGAAATGGAGACCTCCCCGTGGACTTCGTTCAAGTACACCTTTGATGATTCTAACCCATTTACTTTCAGCCTAGCCTGGAACTCGTTGTCACCAGCCTTTGTCGCGTATTTCAGGTACCCCAAAACATCTCCCGTGGCAACTTGAGCCACAGCGCTCCAGCTAGCGCCCAATCTCGAAGAAGTTGTGTTCCGAAGGAAGAGTGAGACACAATAAGCCACGAGGCTACAGTGTAATGCGACAGTGAGCATAACCACTACAAACCCAGCACGGCCAACAGGAACTTGGGAAGGTTTGAAGAAGGCCAATTCAGCTTGTGTCCACTTGTCAAACTGGCTCATTTGATCATAGTACGCCGTGCTACTTAGTAGAGTGATCATGGTTTGGAGAGCAAAGGCAATTGAGCCGTTCGTTCTGAGAATCTCTTGAATGAGCCATTTCTGTGACAGTCAGAGTCAGTCATCGAAGAGTCAGACAGAGAACGGATTTGTCCATGATTAAATCATAACAGGGAACAATGTGGCTAAACGGGTTCATCACATGCATATCTTATGATCCATTACCCCTTAGGTGGCGTCAAAGCTACAGGTGAAATAGAGCTGGTACATAGATGAACATTATAGATCCAAGGAACGTGCTTACATGCATGACGTCTATTTCAACACAATCAGTGCATCCCCCCTGCGAGCTCAAGACACCGGTCCTCATTTGTGAAGTTGTTGAGCCCAGGTCTGTGGCTGAGCGGAGAAGCCAGGACAAGGCAGTGTACTCCGTATAGTTTTCTTGTGGCACGGCCTGCCACGACTGCTTTTCGAGCTCTAATATGCCACGCCTGTCTGGAGTTAGGCTTGGATCCTGGCCCATAGCGTAACGGAGTTCTGTAAAGTTGTAAGTGGATGTTTCTCGGTCGAAAACTGGCTCTAAGCGCGACTCTGTCCTATTCGATTTGCTCGAGATGTGAACATCGATGTCAGCGAAATCGAATGCCGCATAGCATAGTGAAGCGCTAAAGCTGAAGTTGATTGTGTTGTAAAAGTAGGACACTTCCAGCCATTCGCCTCTCTCGCTGAAGCCTGGGGGTAACATCTCACTAGAACGATTCATGTTGAGGGTAGTAGGGGCCGCATTGGTGCTGTTGAGCAAGAGGTACGGTTTGGCGTAGACAGAAGCTTCTTCCATCTGAGACTGGTCAAAGAATTCACTGACCAAGCCACCCAAACTATTATCACCATACTCATTTTGCCAGAGCTGGCAGATTGTGATCTGCCATTCGTGACTCAAACCTGCACCAATATCCCACCAGCTGAGGAAACAGTAAAAGTCAGTCGATCGATCGTCGTGGAGACCAACAGCTTCAGAGCTTCCAGCGCTGTTGCTGTGACCAAAAGTGGCATTTGCAAGTCGCGGTGTGTTCCTCGTCGGCTCCAGCAATCCTTGGAATTTCACCCCCTCCTGGTCGAAAGCCGGTGTCATATTCTTGAATCGTGGCACTTGACAGCTAACTCTGGCGTCTAGTACCGTTGCCTTGCCCTTGTATGATTCCAAGTTCTCTCGGTCTTGCGCTGTACGGAAAGGTAGGAACGCTCGTAGGGTGACACCTGTATCGCTGACGCCATTCGCCCTATAGGGAGGCTCCGTGTACTCTGCAAATGATGCATACTGTGAAATCTTTTTGGTCCATGCTCCGGTGGATCGTTTAATGAAGTGAACGGAGCGAACGACAGATCCGTTTTCCCAGTCAGTGTAATGTAGATTATAAGGCAACTTGATCGTAGAGACGAGACCGACAGTCGACCTTATAGATACGTAGGCAAGTAGCATTAGCACAAGAAACTGGCCAAGGCACCAGAGTGTAGCGGCTGAAAACACAAGAAGGGATATTCTGGAGTGGCGAGCGCCTCGGTGCCGTGCGCGGGTAAGGTACTGCCAGGCCATGACAAAGGCCCCTGTGCTCGATGCTGTAGCGCGCATGACGCTCACAGAGGCGACATCACCAATCACCACATATCTGGACTCCAACGCTAGTGATGCAATGGTGGCGGTCGCAACGCCGAGCTGAAGCATCATAACTTGCTGAATAGCCCCGACGCAGATAGAGATGGCCTTGGACAACCAATTCCTAGCTGTGATTCCCCTCCACGCTGGGATGCCGGGATTGCCGAACCAGAGGAAGGCCAGGGTGCCGACTGCTGCACACAAGATGATTGCGCCGGCAACGAGGATGACTATGGCGAATGTGCCAAGTTTGTCTTTCCAGGAGCATGCTTTGGGAGGCACAGGCTTTTGTGTGTATTGACCTGGCTCATCAGAATTGTATCTGTCGGATGACGATGTGGAAGACTTCGATGTGTGCGCGGACTGAGTCTGCATCGTGGTTTCATGCTCCGGGCTAAGCATTTGGTCTTGAAGGGCAGAAGTTTGCTGAAGCAGCGGCTGCTCTTGTGGTGACCGACGCCCCGTCGAGCCGTCTTGTTCGTTGCGGGATAGACCAAGGGTACCATCCGATGCGCCGTCTTCGGGGAGTCTTTTATTTGTTTCCCTGCCTCGAGGACGAGTCCTGGCAGCCGAAGGTGAAGGAAGAACACGGTGGAGCATAGGGCTGTCTCCAAAGGTTCCAAGGTTGGTAGACTGCTCGGTGTCATTTTGACGTTCCTCGGGACTCACTGACAGTGGTGAACGGATAACTCAAACCTGAAATTCTGACCAGCAATGATGAGCTCGGGGTCATTTTGAGCGCCGCAATGCGCAGGCTGTGTTATCATTTCTTATGTAGCCCCTTTAGAACGTTGTACGACACAGTTTCATTCCTTCAGATCCAGGTCTGAGGCTGGGCTAACAACAGCCCCCAATGTTACAATGCAAACTTGGAATGGTACTTGGCCTGGTGTTGCACATGTGGTATACTAGAGGGCGAAGCATAAGATGTTTAAAACACCGGTGCACAAGTGGAGGCCAAAACTGACAGCTCCCACCTGGGCACTGCAACACCACCTTTCAACTGGCTCGTCGACACTGTTAGTATCCGAATACCCCTTCCACTGCCCCCCTGACAAGCTGCTCTCTGAGCTTGGTTTACCTCGTGAAATCAGCTTTGGAAGACTTTGCACAACTGTTAGAGACGGGGATTGCATGTCAGCTGGGTCATAGAAGACCCTCCAATAACCTCGTTTGTCAGCCAGCCATGAGCTTGTACATGGACTTTGAGAGTCCTCTTTCGTGAGAGCCCAAGGCAATTCACATTCTGCGGTCCACGATGGCAGAGGCACGGATTTGTACGACGGTAATAAGGGCTGGAATGGGGCGGCAGCACGCGATGCCCAACTATCTCGTCCTCAATACTCGGTTGTCCTCAACCTGCACGTCTAGTCATGAGTGGTCCCCCCTACGCGGGGTTGCAGTTGGCGCGTGATGAACATCGTCCCACGCCGAGTGGGAGTTGGGACGTGGGGTTCCCCCGTACAGACGCACTTGCCGCCTGCAGCGCGGGGTGTAGAGTCAAGTAGATGTGTTTACAAGGGTAAGGGCAAGATTGACTTGGTAGACTATAGTAGGGCTGCTGACCATTACTGAATATGCGAACTAAGTAAGTCTGGTAACATAGAGGCGGGCTATTTAGTTTATAGTCTCGCCGTCCGCCCTGCCCGTGTGTGCCTACGTGCAGTGTTGGTGTCAAGGGCGCGTCTTCTCGTCACAATTCCAACATCCTGTCAGATTGATTACAATTCATCACAAGCTTGATTGACTCGAACCACGGTCACAAATAGTCTGCTGCCGTGCACTGTCGCATATCACCTCCCGCATTACTAATCCAGAACGCAATTTAGCCACAAGGGCCCAGCAGTCCCTTCACCGGACCCCTCCGCAGGGCCCGTTCTCGCCCCTCAGGTTCCGAAGGGGACCCCCACCATGCCACGACCCAGGCCAACCTCGACCCGAAGTTTCTTTGAAAGGCTTAACAAGCTCGTCCAAGCATTGATTGACCTCGCACTCCCCAGGAAGCATAGACAGACACCACAGCCGCCCCCGACAGACCACAGTACCATGGCAAAACAGCTGGTGCTCTCCACTGGGTAAGACGGAACCTTCCACTGCCGTCCGCAGGAGACGTCATCGATTTGATTGTGTTGTGTTACACTGCCCAGACAAAGCGCAGGCGCAGGCCCAGCCAGAGACACATGCTAATTTTGGCATCGCAGTAACATCGTATCCGGCGGGCCCTCCATCATCCGCAAGCCGGGCGCATACCGCTCCAACCTCGAGCTCACAAACTCGCTGCGCAGCAACTTCCTCGCCGCCAAGCAGGAGCACGCATCAGCAACACCCACCGGCACCACCAATGGCCACGCCAACGGCACCGCAGCGAACGGCACCGCCGACCACGCCGCAGTAGACACACCACAACAACCCGCAGCAACAACAGCCGACAACACCACCACAAGAAAACCCACCCCGCTGCCCTCGTGGGCGTCACAGGACCCCTCGGACGGGACAATCTACATCCCCCGCATAGACTGGTCGCCCGACGTGACGGGCCTGCAGGAGGACCCCTCGCAGTACGACATCACGGTCAAGATCTTCTACCTGCCCACGTCGCCGTCGGACGCCGCGTCGCGGGCCGCCCACACGCGGCGGGCGCTGTCGCTGGTCCTGCGGGAGCTGGGCGTGTCCTCGGTGTCGCTGCTGATCGCCTCCTTCCCGGGCATGTCGTTCGAGGGCGACTGCGAGTGGGAGGCCGACAAGCTCAACGCCTCGCAGGGCGACGACGGCTCCGAGCTGGCCACCTGGGCCGGCGCCCTCGAGCCCCTGCACGACGAGGGCCTCGCCCGCCAGCTGGGCATCGCCGAGTTCGGCAGCGAGAAGCTGGGCCGCTTCCTCGCCGGCGCCCGCGTCAAGCCCGCCGTCGACCAGATCAACATCCGCAACTGCTGCAACGTGCCCCCGCCGCTCGTCAGCCTCGCCCGCGCCGAGGGCATCGAGCTCTTCGTGCACAGCGACTGCACCGACGTCCTCCCCAAGGGCACCCTGCGCGAGCTGCTGGGCCACGGCGTCCGGGGCGCCGCCGTCCTGGCCGACCCGGCCGAGGGGGTCCACGAGGGTCTGAGCGGGGACCTGACGCCCCAGTGGGTTGTGAAGTATACGGCTGTGGTGAGGGACCGTGGCGTTATCGAGAACAAGGGTTATTTCGCCGGCGCTGGGCTCGTCGAGGAGTAGCGACTGGAGTATGGGTATGAGCATGAGTCAGATAAAGCGGTGGTTCGTTTGGGGGACTCGAGGCATGGAGAAGCTTGCTGGGTTTGAAGGCCCCTCCTCCCCTGACCCTCGCGGGTGGCATTATCAGCAACAGACGGGTGCGATGCTCCGATGCTCGTCATGGTCGCCTCATGCTCCACGATGCAACGAGGCACGATTTTGTGAATACGGCGATAGAAGGCGCAAGGGAAGACATATATAAATCACATGCTTTCAGCGACTTGTCAGGTCAAGCAATAAGAGTCCCGCCCGAGGGGCTTTGTCTCTTCTGTCTCTTGGGCTCGAATGTACATGTCTTGCTTGGAGGCCAGCAACCTCCCACCGAAGGGGCCCTGCGCGGTAAGTTGGCAGTCGAGACTCTTGATACATTCCATTCCACGCGTTCCTGGTCTTTGACGTGGTCGTGGGCGTTCTAGCCCTGCCTGGCAAGAGGAGGGGGGACTCGCCCAGCTTCGGCCGACGGTGCTTTTCGTAAAACGTCGGCGCATAGTGCAGGCTCAAGTCCATATTTCTTTTGAGCGACTGGGTGCGCAAGGTGATTCGGATCACCGGGCGACGACCCAAGGCATCAACACCCCATCACCCCAGCATGCTCCGCTTCCGCCCGCGCATCCGCACGTCCTCCAGCTTCCTCAGCACGGGCTTTGACCCCTTGAAGGCCCCCGCGTAGCCAGCGAGGACCTCGCCGAACAGCTTCTCGGTGCGCGGGTGGGTGCTGAGGAACGCGCGCTCCAGCACGTACAGGTCGACGGCGCGGTCCTCCTCGCTCGTGCTCTGGCTCGCGAGGCCAAAGTCGATGATGACGATCTGGCCGTCCAGTATGGGGCCCTCCTCCTCCTCCTCCTCCTCCTCACCGGCCTGGCCCGCGTCCGCGCCGGCAGCGGGCGACTGCGCCGGCCGCAGCATCATGTTGCTCGTGGTCAGGTCGCCGTGGACGATGCCGGCGGCATGCAGGGCGCCGACGGCGGCGCCGACGCGCCTCATGAGCGCGACCAGGTCCGAGTTGCCGGCCCCGTCCAGCACGCCGGCCTCGGTCTTGTCGGCCAGCCAGGCGTTGACGCGGGCGCGCACGGGCTGGCCGCGGACCCACTCGATCATCATGCAGCCGGCGGCCTCGTCGACGCTGTAGACGGCGGGGACGGGGACGGCCTCGCGGCGGGCCTTTGCGAGGATGCGGGCCTCGGCCAGGATGCGCTGGCGGGTCAGGCGGGCGTCGAGGATGGGGTGGCGGTAGGGCTTCGAGGGGCGGTGCTTGAGGGCGCAGGGCAGCGAGGGCGTCAGGTAGGAGGTCTTGTACAGCAGGCCCTCGGCGCCCTGGGTGATGAGCTCGGGCGGGCTCGAGGTGCGGTGCGTGAGGACGCGCGGGAGCGAGATCGGGGTCTGCCCCGCCATGGTGGTGGGCGTGGCGGGCGTGGTTCTGGCCGGGCTGGAGGGCTGCTGGGGGTGGGTTCCTGAGTGCGAGACCTTTTGCCGTTTGGCCTGGGGTTCGACGACGGCGGGGGTGGGAGCGGGAGGGTTGGGCGAGGATGTCATGGGCGAGTGGTTGGGCCTCGGGACTGGCTGGTGGGGTCTTGGTTGTTGTGCCTGCTTGGGAGGAAAAGTGCATGTGTATGACATGAGCTTACAGTTAGGTAGGTCTACAGCTACGACTACACTTTCCCCCACCCCACCTTGAGAATGAGGGGCAGAAAAGTTCTGGAAGATCTGCCTGAAGAGCAGGGCAGGGTTCCAGGGTTGCTTGCAGCTGCCCGCACTCCAGCCCGACAGGCATGACAGCACCTCGGCTTCCCTGCAGCACAGCATTGAGCTGAATTTAAGCATACGATAGCATTCCTTGACGGGCTTTACCACAGTACCACAGTATTAGGGGCCATCACTGGTGAGGCTCAACCTCCATGGGCCGGCCCGAGGGGAACTATGCTAAGGTCTAAATATTATCTGATAGACTGATAGTTAATGGAAACCCGTGGGATGATGGATATCAGCATTAGCTATGGCAGACAGACTATTATTATTGACACCCCTCTGACTTATAAGCGGCGGGGCCATGTTCTTTCTGCTCCTAAATACTAGAAGGGAAAAGGATAGGTTGATTAAAACATGTGTGTCCAGTATGCTGTAGATATATGTGTGTATATAAACATATATACATACTCAAGTATCTATCTATCTACCTATCTACGTCTTGAACCCACGCCTCGTCCAACCAGGCATGTGCTAATGCAGCAGGCCAGGAGGACCTGTTGTACAGCAGCAGATCGGTACAACCAGCCGCCTGGTGGACTGTGGACTCTCCCTGTCTCACCACCCCGCCACCCTGCCATCTCATCTCACCTGTCAGTGGGCCGACGCTCCGATGGCGATGCGAACCGTGCCGAGGGAGAAGTCGAGGGAGACGCTCGGTGCAACGGGTTCTGCAGGCCCCCACTCAGCTAACTCGACCAATTTGACAGCAGGCCACGCGACAGTGGGGCCAGCGATCGACCTCTGTCTTTTCTTTTCTCTCTGGGTGCACCATGTATGTACGTGCATACATATCCGTCCGTGGCTGGGACCAGCTGAAGAAAAATCGAGGCCGGACGGGCCGGCAAGAAACCTGACCCAGGACAGCCAGACGCCGAAGCCCCCGTGCCTTGCAGCAGGATCGTGCTACCGGGCTTCCTGGGCCATTGTAGGCATAGTCCAGCAGACCAATGCAACGACGGGCGGTACCTGCCTTGCCAACCTGCCTGCCTTGCCTTGACTCCTCGTCATCCATCACCCCGCCGCTGTCATTTCTCTGCACTATCACTCCCACCGGGTCTTCTTCCCCTGCCAACCGAACCGTACTTGCTCTGCTAGCTGGGCGGCTTCACGTGGGGTTCTGCTCCTCTTCTCCACACCAGTTGACCCAGACAGACTCTCTCTGTTCTCCTCCACGCCCACTTCCATATATACACATATACATACCAGCGTGTTCAATCTCTCGTACATGCCGCCCACGAGCCATCCTGCACCTGCGACTGCAACTCCACCTGCACCACGCTCCTGAGGGCCACTGCCTGGGGACAGGCCATGCGCCTACGCCGACGTTGCTCCCGCTCCTAGCAGCAGCAGCAGCAGCAGCAGCAGCAGCAGCAGCAGCAGCAAACCATGGCGTCGCTCGCCTCGGTCCCCAGCTCCGTCACCAACCAGTGGACCTTTGTCCTGGCCCTGACCGCCCTCTTCCTCAGCGCCGTCGTCGTCCTGCAGATCCTCTCCCAGTACACCAGGGGCTACATCGTCGCCCCCGCCGAGGTCGTCAACTTTGTCGACGCCGCCGACTCGTCCGTCCAGGAGAACGAGAGCTATGACCGCGACGTCTCCCGCGTCCAGCGCCTCGACGACAAGCTGAGGCTGGGCCGCCTGCTGCGCGAGATCCAGAGGGGCGGCGACGACCTGCGCGAGGAGCTCAACTCCATGCTCATGGCCGAGCCCGCCGCCGCCGACGGCATGAGCCACCTGAGCGACCTGAGGCTCAAGGCCACCGCCCGCCTGCTGTGGGCCTCCAAGCGCAAGGGGCTCGAGGACAAGGTCCGCCGCCTCGACATGCTGCGCATGCGCTTCCTCGTCGTCTACATGGGCATCGTCGCCAACTCGGGCACCGCCCAGGCCAAGCCGCCCGACAAGAAGCGGCCCGCCACCAACTCCGAGAAGATGGGCAACCGCATCCTCGAGGAGGAGTTTGCCGCCCGCCCACAGCTGCCCCGCGCCGTCACAGAGGGCATCAAGAAGAAGCCCATGCTCCGCCGCCTCAGCCAGCAGGCCATGGGCCACAGCGACACCGTCAACCCGGGCCATCAGGTGGGCTGGGGCAACGTCATGAGGGAGCTGCAGCTGTCGCCGCTGCTGCACAAGCGCCACGCCAGCGTCGAGAAGGCCATGTCATCGCCTGGCTCCCCATCATGACAGGGCCGGCACTTTTTTTTTTCTAACGAAGATTCGGAAGCACCAACGAAATTGAAACTGGGAACAGGGCTCGGGGAAAGGGGTGGGAAACACGACAAAACACACACACGAGGCAAATTGCGAGGGATGACGGGTTCGGGATTTATTCTTTTACGACTATTATGACTTTACGTTCTTCGCTGTGGGCCGCGACTAAACACCGCCGCATCCGCCGCTCACGACACAGACATTTTTACGAAAACCCCATCATCCCCGCCACACAACAAACACCGTTACTGCCGTCTCTGGCAGAAGTGCACGCACGACATCACACAGCAAGTGATGATGGACTGGATGTGCATTATCAGCATTTTATTGGGCTAGAGTGTTTCAACGGGCCACTGCATTGTACCACGACATGCTGTTTAATCTCGAGATGATCACTGCACCTCAGGAGTTCGATACCCCCTTCCCCACACAAAGCATGTGAATGGCGACAGGTGTCCGATCATGTACTTTTAATACCTCCATTTTCCGCACCCGTGGCTCCAGGAGCTGCTTCGGTGCTAGGGTAATCACAGGGGAATACATTGTCATGATCTCAAATCGTTTGTGTGTGTGTTCCGCGTGATGACAGGCCGTTATGTTTTCAGCAACCAAGTAGTGCACGTCAGCAGCGTAATGAGGCCGGTGCTGCCTCGCCCATGCGCTGTGAAAGCCCCGACGTAGGGATTCTGGGCCTCATATCCAGATTTTCGGGGTCCCAGGTTTACTCGTTACATCGAGCCATGGTCGTAGCCGATGCTTTGACGTGGCACCGACTCACAACTACAGCCTTCCGCACACCCTCCCCCCTCATATCACACACGGGCAGCTAGTGAGCAGCATCAGGCCCGGCCCCGTTCTTCTCCCCAACTGCACCGCCGGGTCAGTAAATATGAGTAAATCCAAGACCAAGAGTCACAGCAAGCAAGAGACCGAGCAACTCACCATCGAGGGCCACCAGGAAGCGGCTGACACAGTTGTAACAGGCCACGGTAGACACGATCTCAACCACCTCCCGCTCCGAGAACAGCGACCGGGCGACCTCGAAGGTGGCCTCGGCGACCTCGACGTTGCGCGTCATCTCGTCGGCGACGCACAGCACGGCCCACTGCCTCTCGCTCATGCCGGCCTCGGGCGCCGCTGGGTCGCCGAGGGCGCCGGCCCGCGTCTTGACGAGCTCCATGGCCTCGTCGCTGACGCCCGCGGCGGACGCCAGGGGCGCGTGGTGCATCCACTCGTACCAGGCGCGGTTGACGGAGGCGACGCGGCAGATGGCCAGCTCGCGCAGGTCCGGGCCCAGCAGGGTCCGCGTGCGCACGGCGCCCAGGAACGAGTTCCAGCCGTCGGCGACGGGCGGGGAGTGCAGGAGGGCCAGGTCCAGGGCCGTCAGGGGGCGCGGGGCGCGGCGGGCCTTGATGCGGTCCACGACGGCCTGGTCCTCTGGGGAGGAGGTCGGCGGGGGGTCCGGGACGTAGGGGAGGCGCATCCTGGGGGCTGGGGTGAGGCTCAGGTGGCGGGGGGTTGGTGGTGGTGGTTGCGTCCTCGTGCTGCTGGCCTTGGTGCGTAGGATGTTGCGGATGAGTGCTGTCCTACTCTGGGCGATGAGCATATCAGGATGAGGCTGAGAAAGAGGTTCGTGAGCGATATCAAAGAGAGTGTGTGTGGTTTTGGGCGGTGAAATAGTCAACACCTCGGTTCGGCCTGCGGTTCCGGTCCCAGCCGGCCGGTCTCGGGAGGTGGATTGGTGGATGCCCGGGACAGCTACCCCGCGAAAACGCTCTGCCGGCACATCAGCGCGGCCACGGCCGGGAAAACTCAACGCTTGTTGTGCATCGGTGACGGGCTGCCCTGGCTGCCCGTCTCGTTAGGGGCTAGCTAATCTGCACGTCAAGAAATGCATGTAGGTCGATCATCAAAGTTCCATTTTAGGCCGGGTGCATCTTGAAATATGCTGAGCACAGCACAGTACCTGCAGGCTGCAAGCTGCAGACTGATCATTTCCATTCAACCTTGTTGTCTGTTTGCTCCTTTAGATCCGACCCACCACAGCACCTCTGCAAAGTTGCAAGGACGACGAGGGAGGGGCTGGGTCTCACCACCGGTTTGTCCGGCAGACAGTGAAACAGAAACGTGCCCACACTTCTCGCGTTCATCTCATGGGCCCGGACATCCGACGACATCTTGGCCCCTGCTCGAAACGCACCGACGGTCCGGCACACCAGAATGGCGAACCCCCCGCCAGACAGATCTCTTGTGTTCCGCACAAGCCCTATACTCGCCTCGGTGCTCTATATCACAATGCCACTGCCGACTGTCACTACCTGCGTCACTGGAATCGACACTGGGAGGGCATGAAATCTTCTGGCACCTCAGCCGCCGGGGACCTCGGCAACCATCCTCACTTCGGTCTGGCTCATGAAGCCGAGTTTATGCCTGCCGACCTAGGCGCAGCTACGCACACAGCCTTGCCTGGGATAGAAACAAGCCGCTGGCACGATTAGGTCGCAGAGGCGCGGAAACTCTTGGTGCAAGGTGATGAAGTGACTGACTGACCTCACTGGTGTTTGCTTTTGTCTTCGTCTCCCACACAAGACGCGAGGAGCATGACGGTGGCCTGCAGGATAAGCTGCAGAATGACCTACAGAAGGGCAGCGAGGCCCGTCTCAGGGATATATCCGGGAGCCCGGGTCTGGATGACTGGTTCAGGGGGTGGCCAAGCAGGTCCGCCCCGTTGGAGAGTCAGGAATCCGACGGTCTGAATACTCACTGTACGGTGTATGCACGCCAAAGTACGGATGACCACCAGGTCGACGGCGGGCAGAGGACCAGAGTCTCTTTCAACGGTGGGCAGCCAAGTGGCCAATCAACTAACACCATCGGCCCTGCCCAAGTGGGGGCTCTCAAAGCAGGCTGTGCCTGTGCGAGGAAGACCCTTGACATGCGGTCCACGTCGTGGCCCAACTGTGGCATGAGCTGCTGGGCCTGTGAGCCTGCTGAGAAGGCATTGACGACCAAGACGTCACCCCCCTCGCCTTCCATCATCATACCTTCCAAAATGACTGCCGCCCAGGGCCCTAGTCCCGGCGGGCCACGTCAACTTGCGCCCGGCCCAAGACTTGCCTCGAGGTTCCTCCCAGCGACTCAGCCGCATGCACGTCTTCTGTTCTGCTTCTCGGCTCTGCGGGCACACACATAGCATACTTTCTCAACTTCCTTGAAACTCAGGACCTTTTTCGCTCGCAGGGATTTTCACTCTCTCACATAATCCTTCATCCTGCTGTTGCGGTGCACAGTCGTCGTTCGCTCATCCCTCCTCATCCGGGGTCAGCGTGCAGAGATCAATTATCAACAGCATTAACAACCAGTCCCGCCCGCGATAGATTCACTGCACGGTCTGTGTTCGTTCCTGCGTTTTGTCCCCCCATTCAACCCTCTTTGTCTGGGCGGCCACTCGACGATGGACACAACCAACGGCCAGAACAACAATGGGACAACCATCAACAACAGCCCCTCCGGCAGCAGCAGCAAGCCACCCCCCTGGGTCTGGGTCCTCGTCGCCCTCGCCTCGGCCCTGACGCTCGGAATCCTGCTGTACGGCGGCTTGATATGCATTAGGAATCGGCGGTCCAAGAGGCACCAGCTAGGGGATGGCCCAGCCGACGACAACAACGTCGCCACGAGGGGAGGTGGCCCGTCATCACCACGCAGACCATGGGACCGACGCCGCCGCCGCAGCCGCTCACAACCAGGGGCGTCGCGCTGGCCCTGGGCCCACCCGTCCCAGCGGGCGTCGACGCAGTCGTCCGAGGGCCTCAACGAGCTCGGCGAGGCGCCGCCGCCGTACAACGAGGACGACCTTGAGCCGTGCCTCAACGTGAGCATGGTCGAGGTCAACACGGGGCTGGGGCTCGGAGGGGGCCCGTCGAGGGTGGCGTCGCGGCAGGACCGCGGGTCGCGGTTGGACATGGACTTGGAGTCACAGCAGCACGAGGTTCACCCTCAGCCGCCGACGTATGATTTTGCTGTCAACCTGGGGACTTCTGAGACTGCCACGGCTGCTTCTTCTTCTTCATCTTCATCCTCCTCGACTGTGCAGCCCCCGCCGCCGGCGATAGTGGTTTCGGAAGACAGGAGTACAAGGGTGGAACAAGATTGAATTGATGGATCTCCTGGACGGCGCGGCTGCTTCTGACATTGCTGGCATCACATGGGATGCCTCGGCGTTTGGCTTTGGGACCCTTTCTTCGGACCTGTTCTTTTATACACTTAGGACACTGGCTGGTGGGGGTTTATAGATACCCGACATGAATATGAGGCATCGACACTGGGTCATTTCCCATACTCGCATCCAGTCGAGCAACAAGCATCGTTATTAGTGCACGTGTCGGACCTCAACAACCAGATCAAAGATTTTTATGAAGACAGTCAACTCGCAGGCACCTAAACTTTCACAAGTTGGTTCTTTTACGTAAGTATCACTTCTCCCCCTGGTTTTACTCTACCTAGGTACTTTACATGGACGATCCGATGGATTCGCCCTTCTGGAAGTGTCACCCTTTCATCAAGACCACCGATCTTCCTACATGGAGAAAGGGGGGGATGTGGGAGAGATACTATTCTCCAATTTTCGCTGCCCCGGTCATGTTCCTGGTGACTTCCGTGTCCGCCTTAAAGGACCCGTGTTGAAGCACCGGCGACGTCAACCACACCACTGCCTGCAGCGACGCCCAGCTCCGGGATCTATTCGGAACACCGAAACCTCCGCCGGATGCTGTATTGATGACCACGTCCCTTCGCTTGTGGACCTGGGTAATCTAACTGATAAATGTCGTTAATGTCCCGGGCGGCACAGGTCATGCGGGCGGCCCTTCTTGTGGCCCTTCAGGGAGCGACGCGGGTCGAACTCGACATCTCCCCAGAGCGACTCGTCGGTTTGGGTCGCGCGCGACGGCATCTGCAGCATGTCAACTTTTTTTGTGGGCACGCAGCCCCCTAGCTGCGTATCTTCCGTGACCTCGCGCGCCCATGCCGCGGTAGCACCTCCTGATGAGCGGAAAGCATCAGAGAGCACTGGCATTTCTCCTTTAGGGAGACCATATCGATCGTCTTGGTTGCGCCGTCGTCGGTACACGTGCGGGCGTCGACCTCATTCCTGATTTGGCCTAACATGCCCCGGTGGGCGTGAAAATGTAGCAGCGTCCAGAATACGGACGACACCGTGTTGACGAGCAGCGGGAGGCGCGCTTGGTCCTCGGGCGGGAGATCCGTTCTCTCACCTCGACGCTCGTGGCGGTTCCATGCGTACGCGGAAACCTTGTCTGCGCCGCCGCCGGCCGCCTTGCAATCAATCCATCTCGAACGCGCGGACGGTCTTCCCGTGGCTTGCGTGTGGTGATGGAGGGGGATGATCCCCACAACAAAGATCTGCACCAGCCCGCCCTCGGAATACCACAACGTATCACGGATCTCTGTACCGCCGGAGGCGTTTCGCGGGCCCATGAGCTGCGCCGCGGGCCGTGGCCAACTAGTAGTGTCAGGTTGTCGCGCTGCCACCCGAACAAGAGCCAGAGTGTTTCTTGACTTGGTGGATGAGCTCAGGTTGGGTGAGAATGTGCATTTTCTGTCCAGGAAGAGAGACTGTCAAAATTGGCCCATTGATCTGATTCTCGTTCCCGCCGAGATGTCAGCTACTATTGTTATCCGGCAGGTGGAACAGGCGGCACGCACTTCAGCTCGGTGTAGTAGTTGAGACGGCTCCGCAAAAGTTCGCGGTCCCACGGCATGGCCATTGAGCGTGACTGACGCCAGCGCCAGCGGCAGCTTCGTGTGGATCGTGGCCAAACATAGTGCGGGCGGCGAGGTAGGTTACAGTGGCAGCGACGGGGACGACGAAGCCACAAATGGCGGAAGCATTAAAGGGGGGCGACGTGGCTGGCGGAACACCTGAAGAGAAAGAAACGGTCTTGAGCGTTCACCACTGTATGAACGCGCCATATATTTCCTCGTACGTAAACGGAATAGAAGCGAAACCAGCAGTCACTCCCTTTTGGAAGCTTCAACCCTTCAGAACATCAAAGAAATATGTTCCAAAGAAACCAAGTGAAGAGCGGAGGACGTTATCCTTCCAAGCTTTTTCTTTGTGCCCCGTCTGTGTTCCTGTGACTCCTGTGACTGCATTCAAGGCCGTGTGTCGAAGCATTGCCCCCCTCAAGTCCTTCCTTGATCCTCGATGCTGAATTGTGCTCACCGAGGCCCAGCGCGCCATCAGATCCAAAGTTCAGTGACCTTGACATTTTGACGATGACCCCTACCGCCCGGAGTGGGTTGGCGGGTCGATGTCGATATGGGCAACGCCCTCTAGGGAGGAATCGGACAGTGCAGCATTGTTGAGGCCAGCTCGTGCTTTTGGTGCGTGGTGCGTCAGTACGTCTCGCTGTTAGGTTATCGTGTGGCCGAACATACCCGCAGGGGAAGCTTCAACGACACCGACGGCCAGGAAAGGGAGGAGAATGAGCTGAGTGAATCGCATTGTGAGTTTGTGTGAATGTGTAAGTGCGAGTGCGATTTAATACTATTCAAAATTGGTATCCGGCCTTGTGGGGGGACCACCACGCCGCTCCAAAACTGGGAGGGTCGATGGTAAGATTTATATGTCTTTAGTATTAAAGTAATCACGTCATGGAGTATGTGGACCATGTGCATTACAATCACAAACTTTGAACTATGCTCGGATACAACGTAGTACTTCCAATGCATGGATGCTTTCAAGACACAGGGTTAGTGCAACGTATAGATTTGCTGACAAGTGTGGGGCACCAAAGACGAGGCCTCTAGAAATAATTAAATATACCTTTGAGCTCCTCAGCTACGAGCGGCGAGTCTTCCCTTACAGGTACTAGTCCAACCGAGGAATTTACAACGTGTTCGTGTTCGTGTCAGAAGGGGGCTCGCGCAGGCTCACTATTGAACTATCCTGGCAGAGCTTGAGCTCGAAACTCACCCCGACAGCCCGAGCCCGTGAAGTTCCGTTCCAGGTATCGATCTTCGGATAATTGTTTCCCCTCTATTCCTTATCAATTGATGATACGTCCGAGGCCATACACGGCGCTTTTATACAGTGGGTCTTCGAATAAACTTCAAGATAATGTTTACCAAGTTCTGGTGAATTTCCACATGCGGGATACTTTTTAGCAGATCCTCAGAACAGAGGCTCTCAACTTGAACCGAGATCTACAGGTTGAATGACTATAGGCTCCTTATAACATCCAGCACCCTGGAGGTTGAGCTCCCCATGCCCTGAAACAGGGCGCTGGTCCGAGATTCCGTGTACATACGCTTTTGTAGCAAGTATTCCCGAAGCCGACAGAAACTCAGCAAGCTACTAGCCTGCCATCCGACCGAGCCTGAAGGGGGGGATTTCTGGCAACAACGAGGCGAGTTGGTGATAGGCGACACAACAGAATAGGCTTGGTTTCAGCAATACTAGTATGTATGGACAGGCTTGGCATTGATCCCCAGTCTTTGAGATGGACCAGTTCACCAACTTCATCTAAAACTTAAACAAACACGTGCTTCGGAAAGAGTCTCGTCCCATTCTGCAAGGGGTTAACGTGTTCTGTATTCTGCCAAGACTTTTATCTAGATTCATATCTAAAGGAAGGTCCCTTTGATAAGTACTTAGGCGTGTAAATTAAATGTATTAGGGTTCAGCGGTTCCAGCTAGAGTTCACCATTGAAAGCTAAATGTGCCATGCGAAGTATGTGGATGATGGTTCTGTGCCATGATAGGTGGTTTCATTCTCAATCCGTATATATCCCGAGGGTGTACAGTCCATTTACACAGTGGTAAAAGCTCAGGTAAAGAAAAGAAGAGAGACAAGAAACTCAATGCCAACAATAGTGTAAAAAGACTCTGCGGGCACGTGGCCTCAGCCTCCAGGAGCTCATGCCGCACAGACAAGGTTATGAAGCATCATAGTTCCCAGCAATTCTAGTCCCGATGTCCAAAATAGAATTCGTCAGTACTAACCCACGTTCATCCTCTTCCCACACCATACTCAACGGCCTCGGTTAGATCCTTGACTTCAGCAGCTGCTATATATGCGGCCTTTATTCACGCAAACCGCATCTCAGCGCAGCCGAATCAAGTATTTCCGGCTAGGGACAAAATTATCTGTAGGTTTATACAGGTGGGCTGGAAAAGAATGCCCTGCTCGATATAATACTTCGACTCTGGGAGCAAGCCCACAGCCACGTACGCAGCACAGAGACGTTGGGGATGCCCTCAATCAGTCGTAATGAAACACGCAGTCAAACTTTCCTTTCCCTCGAGTCTTCATGCGGCAGCAGCAGCTGTGGCTGTAGCCATCCCACTCAGTCTGATCTATTTCGGCAAGCAATAACATGCTATACGCAATGACAGCATTGACACCTACCGATGTCTTCCGAAACAATTTTCGTCCAAGATCCTGCCAACCGATCCACTGCTCATCCACATCGAGGAGTTCGTCACGCCTTTCGAGGCAGAGTATTTGATTTCACTAGCTTGAGTATCATTCTCGTCGGCTATATGAGCCTGGGCAGATCAGGTGATCATCTGACCCAAGCACCAGAGAATTCGAGACGTCAAACATAGGCCTATCGGAAAATTTCACCAAGACCACCATCCGCCGCTCACAGTCTGCAGTGCTGCCATACGTGCTCGACCACAACGTCTCCGATCCAGTAACACAGTGTATCTTAGAACGAGCCTCGGCATTCCAAGGCCATGTGCCCCTCATCCACACGGAGCCCCTGCAGCTCGCCAGGTACCGCGCTGGGGAGTACTACAGGGCGCACTACGACGCGTGGAAAGAAGATGACCCTGCGGCTCAGAGAAACATGCCAGTGGAGGCGAGCTTCTTCGTGACGCTGCGATCCAAGGGCCTGCTCGGCAGCGCTGGGGCACGCCCGAGTGCGGGTACAAGTTTCCCGCGGCTGAGGATGAGGATTGCCCACGACAGGCTATGCGAGGTTGTTGAATGTGGTGAGGGGTGGGAAGGAATTGTGGCAAAGCTTCCCAGGGTTGTTTCGTTCAGTGCTCTGTTCTGGGTAAATCTCATGGAAGACGGATTGGTGCATCCGGGCTCACTTCTAAGTTCATCGGGGGTTGGAGTTGCCTCAAGGAGAAGTGGAGAAGATTGGGATGAATATTTGGACTTGGAACAGGCCGTACCTATGTAGGTTAGAGTGATCAATGCAGAGAAAGCTATCATTGGCGAAACTGTCGTTGGTCTGGGCTGTAGATCGAGAACTGCTTGAGAGGAACAGGGAGACGCCCGGCACTAGAACAATACGATCCAATTTTGCTGACTTAGCCTTGAACTTACTACCAGATAAGGATCGCGGAATCTATTCGTACAGTTCCTAAACGCCAGTAATGATACAGTGGGGTGTAGTTTCATGCGTTTTTCCATAGTGGTGTGGTCAAAGAAGAAGAGCCCCTTCAGTGCGCTCAACCTAGTCCTGGGCAACATCGACCGACTTCAGGACAGTCACGGTGCACCTTTCACGATGATCTTGCCCCTTGCCCTTCCCGTCCTGAGCTTTTCGTAAGCCTTAGGTGCATCCCCAAAATCAAACACCTCGTCCACCTCAACCTTGATCTTGCCGGCTGCGATCCACTCCCCGAGACAGGCGAGATCTTGGTGCTTGTTCTTCGCAACCGCCAGGGAGAATTTCCTAGACCCACCACCCAGAAAAGAAGGAAGCAACATGCGCGACGTCATGAGCCTCATGTTGGCCATAGACATGCCCATGCCAACCTGCACAAACTGGCCGTCCGGCACCACGAACTCGCCGCAAGCCGAGTATAGGTCGCTGGGTGAGCCAATGTTATCGACGACGAGATCAAAAACCTGACCCTTTGCCTTTAGCGCGGCGACCAGGTCACCCTGAGTATAGTCCAGCACCTCGTCCGCCCCAAGGCTCCTGCACAGCTCGACGTTCCGCGCAGAGCACGAAGTGGTGACATGGCAGCCCAAGAGCTTGGCGATCTGGATCCCGATCGTGCCAGTGCCACCGCTGCCGCCGTTGATGAAGACGCGGAACGGGGCGCCTTTTGGGACGTGGGGCACGATGCTAGCAAAAGCCGCCAGGCCAACCGAGCCGACGGCGCTCGCGTGCTCAGGGCTCACGCCGGCGGGGAGACCCGCGCACCCGGCCGACCTGGCGACGACGAACTCGCCCAGCGCGCCGAAGCGGCCCGGGTCGAGGCGCCCAAAGACCGAGTCGCCGACCTTGACTGGGAACTCGACGCCGGCGCCGTGGGCGACGACAGTGCCTGCAAAGTCCATCGCGGGGCTGGCCGGTACCGATATCATGGCACGGGACATGGAGAACGGCAGCTCTGGGATCTTGTAGTCGATCGGGTTGAGGCCGGCGGCCCGGACCCGGACCAGCAGCTCGTCCTTGGAGAGGCTGGGCGGTGTTTGTGGGCGGGGGTGGGCCGCTGTGGATGAGAGCGTCAGGTTCTTGTGTAGACCGCCTGCTGCGCTGGAGTAGAGCCATGCTCGCATTGCTCTTGTTGGTGCTGCAGCCATGTTGTGTTACGAAGGGTGTGCTCTACTATCGATTGCATGAAATTGATGGACACGCAGAGATGCAGTTTTAGGATATATAATTCATTTCACCAGAAGCTGTACCCGAAAATAACAAGGAAGAGAGAATATTGCTAGAAAATGTGACGGACACCAACTGTACGGAACTCTCGTGAAAACGGGCCGTCTTACTCCTTCGGAGAGTTTCGCTGGTGCAGTCATGATGCCTAGCTCCACCTATGAGTAAGGATGAATGATCATCATACACGATCCTTTCCATTTCCGTGGCGTGGTTAGTCACAAGCGCTAAGCTGTACCTCATAGGATCGCGGCACAGCACTGGGCGTGCTTTCCAAGCCTGAGGTTCTGAAGTTGAAATGTTGGTCTTCTCATCTGTGGCGACCCTCCTATGCCTGGGACCACAGCCTTTTCCAGTCCTTCATCTTCCCAGGTGCCCATGTACTGGAATTTGATTGCGACTGCAAATTAAAATACCCCCAATATTACTACTAGTGGTACCTAGGCATTTATTTCATCTTCAATGATCCTCCGTACCTCGTCCATTATCTGGACTGGGGACATGACTTTTACTATCTCAGATAATACCTAGGTATATCCCGGGGTGTCACTCATCATCATCATCATCATCATTACCACGCCTGTCACCCTTGCTCCTGAAACGCGCCATTGCATCGCGTTGGTCTGTTTTGGTCGGGAAGTCGAGCGGATTATAAACACATGAGCCTCTCCCATCACCCAACCATTCTGGCGGAGGCATTCTCCTCTCCCACTGGTCGCGATAGACGCCAGTATACCGTATAGGCTCCTCTGGGTCGACACGTTGTACATTAGTCTCGTCTGGAAGAATTGGCAGCGGACAGGCATCTGTTTCCTTGACAGGCCCTGAGCGACCAGTGCCGGGCACATCCAGCAAGAAGTCGAGCAGGACCTTCTTCTGCGCATCGGTCAGAAGGCAGATCCGGTATGTGACCTCTTGACGGTCGGGGTGGATGTATACTGCGTCCGACCCAGCAGTGCCGGCACTGCTTTCCGTCATCTCCGTCTTACGGTCGAAGAGGACTACCCCTCCAAGCACCCTATTCTCGGCCCAATATCCCACCACGTCTGCAGCGCCGTGAGGGTACTGCATATGGTCGCGGTACCAGGGATGACGGAAAAGCGTGACAGGCGCCCCGTCACGGTTGAATTGCCACCATAAGTTGCCGTGAAAATCATCCTGAGGTGGGGTCCAAGTGTGAATTGCCTGAAGGGCTGATCCTGGCGTGGATAGATCGGAATTCTTTTGGTATAGCAATACTGCAATCTGATGTATTGAAACAGCAACGATTTCAATGAGCCGTGTATGAAAGGCCTTAGAACCGGGAGAAGCGGCCTGGAATGCCGACAAGAGCTTTCGATACGTATTAGTGACCAAGCACAAATGAGCGACCCTATACCGCTACTTGTACAGGGAGGGATACTAGTAATGCGCAAATAGCTTACCGGGACATCGAACTGGAGGATGTTTGGATCGAACTCGTCATGGAGCCGACATACAGTGTTGAGTGCACCGTGTTTGAGCTGCGCGTGCTGGTGAACTGGGTGATCGGGGCTGATGAGATCGCCATAGACGTCTCTTAAAACTTCTGGAAGGGGGAGACCATCAACAATCTGGGTGTATGTGGTCTTGGCTATTTCCGTGGAAAGAATCTTCGAGACGGTGGATACTATGACATTGCGGTGAGGCTCTTCGAGAGCATCTATATTCGTTTTACGGAATTTGGTCTTCGTGTTTTGTGGTTCGTTACCGTTTCTGTCCGGACGGAATGGCAGCGAATCCATTGCCCAGTGTTGTCGGACTGAGGTAATAATTCCTCGATGCGTAGTTGACGAGGTTTGCAGGGCTCTGGAGGCTCAGCAGAGCAAAGTGACATGAGCAGGGCCACAGGAGCCAGATATATCTAGTTAGGAGGCGCATTTGTTGCTGGCGTCTGAAACGGGTTTATCCATTGGGTGCTGACGCAAAAGGTCGCTCAGCCAAAAGACCATAATAATCAATCCGACCAATTGTCTTTTCCCAGCAGTATATAATCCCATACCGTCACAGTGTCCAGTGATCAACAACCTTGGTTGAGTTGCGTCGCGTTGGTTCAATGTTACAAGGGAGACCTGTGGACCCACTTTTACGATATACTACCTACCTAGGTTGGTACAAGCCATGGCCTCAGCAGACCAGCGAGCCAAGGTCCGAGGAGTTTAAAATGACACTGAAAGCATCAGGATTCAGGTCATCCCAGTAGGGTACTTTGTAAGTGCCCTGGTGGCTTTCGACACCGGTTTCATGCGTGTTCCAACTGACATTTTCGCAGTCGGCAATCGACAAGGACAAAACTAGCGATGGCACATCTCTGAACAGAATCATGTCCTCGAAGGCAGATGCTGCCAGAAACTAGGTTCTAGATTCACTGTCTGGAGAAAGACAGAAAAGTTTACATTTCGAGACTCACAGTACCGAGCCTCGCTCGAATATTTTACGGCCACGACATTCACTGCGTGCTTGTTGACAGTATTTGTAAGTTTCATAGCCGAGGCCATCTACGTGAACATCTGTCAGTAGCTGAATGGTAATCTTGCCTATTGAACTAAATATAACATGACTAAATTGTGATAATGGTGGCGTCTGAGGGTAAAGCGGATATGACAGTTCATTCAGCGCTAGGCTTCACTGAGAAGTGACCGTATGGAGACAGTGGATCAGCATCATATTGATAGCCCGTCTTAATTCGAGACGCGAAGTAGTGTATCACCCATCATCAACACCAGTCATAGTCCTGATTGGGCGTGCATACTAGATGGCGCTATTGTCAAGACGTCTCTCCCAGCGTCTTGGCGGCCAACTACACTACATGTAGCAGTTCTGGTTTTGTTGCTTTGAGCACAAGACAATCAATATGATGCTCCTTCCCAAAGACTGAGCTGACCCTCTTTCAGCTGCCGGAAATTGTGGCAGATTGCAGCAGGACGTGCTCAACTCACGTCGGGCAGGCCGGGTGGGTGATTCCTTCCATTTCAGACCTGGCTGTTTATTACTCCGTGTTGCCTGGGTACGGAGTACATAGGTACTTGTCATTAGGCAGCTAGCACCCGAAGGCCGGTAGCTCCAGCGGTGAGGTCACCGGGGGGTGGAGCCAGCAGGCGCACGGACCCTCGCCGCAGCCTCCCCAAACCCAAACAAGCTCGCCTTGAAAGGCCACTCACTTTTTTCGACCTCCAGCTCTGCTCAAGACCAAGTCGTCCACCCCCGACCGTACACCAACCAGCCGCATCACCACCTTCATCCTGACAAGATGTCCCGTGGCGGTACAACTCTCTACGTCACTGGCTTCAGCCACGGCACTCGTGCCCGCGACCTCGCCTACGAATTCGAACGGTAATTCCGATCCCTCCTTCCTCAGCCCACCACCCACCCAAAAGCCTCCCGCCCAAGTCCAAAGTCCAGTCCAGTCTCTCGGGGACTTCTCCATCCTCCCAGCCGCCCTCGCCCTCGCGTCGAAGTGTTCGCTGTGTATAAATTACCGTCGTGTCCTACCCACCGTCGTGCCATGCCTCCGTCCTGCCCCCCGTCGTCCCCTCCCACCATTCGATCGAGCGGTCGGCGATGACAGAACGCTTCCAAAACAAGACGCGCTTGGCTTTGCACCGGGCAAGTCGCCTGTCAAACGGTATCCACCCGGCGTAGCCTTCGCGACGCTACCTCGACGCCGCGATGCGATCGCAAGACCCGAGACTTCCTCTGATCCATCTCGCTTGGTTGTCATGGCAATACTGACATCACCCGACACAGCTATGGCAGGCTCGTCCGTTGCGACATCCCTGCTCCTCGTAGTGCTTCGAGCAGGCTGTGAGTATCCGCCCCATCCCACGACACCCTGCCCGGCTGCTGTGCTGTTTCTGACCATCCCATCAGGTTTGCGTTTGTGGAGTACGAGGACCGTCGAGATGCCGATGATGCCTATCACGACATGCACAACAAGCGGATCGGACGTGACGACATCCTGAAGATTGAGGTAAGCAAGCTACTATCCCAGCTGTCGACGTCCAAGTGTTCACGTACACTGACCCTTCCGCAGTGGGCCCGCACTCCTCCTTCTGCGTCCTGGCGCTTCGATTCTGGTCGTGACCGTGACCGCCGCCCGCCGCGTTCTCCTCGCCGCCGCACTCCCAGCCCTCGCCGCACTCGCGACTACTCTCCTCGCAAGGACGACCGTCGCGAGCGTGACCGTTATGATGACCGTGACCGCCGTGACACTCGCGACCGCTCGCGATCTCCAGACCGCCGGTAAGCAGACATTCGTCAGACACACGAGTTGAAAGCCATCGGGGCGAGAACTGACACTGCCGACGTAGTGACCGCGACGACCGTGAACGGGACGACAGGGACGACCGCGACCGCCGTGAGAACGGTGCTAATGGCGACGATCGCAAGCGTAAGCATCAGGCACCCCACATGAATCCATCCTGCCACCCGCTGACACGCCAAACAGCCCTGGACAGCCCGCCTCCTGCTCATGACGACCTCGACACCGCGGAGTAGTAGATCCTTCGTGTAGAGTGTAACAGTCACGGATCACGGTTGCGGATTGAGACGAGGTTTTCTGCTCTTCCCCTTTTCCCGCGGCACACTAACTGAACGGAATGCTTGGTCCACTTTGACTTCCTTAATATGGGTGTTTTAGTTTCCGATGCGGATGCGGACATCGGCGGTATCTCTTGACGGCGTCGGAAAGTGCGCAAAAAGGCTGCGCCCGAAACTCGGTCGATTATTCTCTCGGAAACGGTTCATTTCCCCACTAAGAATGGAAAACAAACGCAGAAATAAATTGCGAAAAAAAGTAGTTTAGATCATTGTAGGACGAATACCATGCACGCATTGCTCCAAGAAGCATCAGGCTTTGGGTCGAGTGAAATCCTGCCGTGTTGACCTCCGAGTCCGCCCAAGCTCGCTGTCTAGTTTCACCAACATTCCGGGTATTTATTCTTGAATGCTAGGGGACAGTCCAGAGCGGCCCAACTGCCAAATGTTATAGCGCTTGGTATTTGGTGTCGTGCGTTTTATGAAAGGCGTTTGCACCTGTATACATTTGCAGGCATAAATCAAACCTGAACGGGTTGATCCTCTGGGTACATAGCATATCATTCTTATCATAAGTCACAGACTCTGTCACCACAGGCAGCCCAGATCACTGAGCCCCGCGTCACGCGGTCCATAGTTCAATTCTCCGGTGCATTCTGGTATTTCCATGGCTTATTTCAGCTGGGCCAGACCGGCTACTGATGCTGGCTGGCCCTAGTTCCAGTTCCGATACCCAGGCACCCGTGTTTCTTCGTGCCGAGAGGGTAGCGAACCAAAGAGAGGAAAATACAAGCGGAAGGAAGTCAGGTAAAGACAAGAACCACCCACCCCCCCTGTCCCTTGCCGGACGGACGCGCGCGCGCACACTCAAGTTGGCGCCCCTCCGATGAAAAAAAAGAACTACCCCACCCGCATGCTGAGAACGCCTCGCCATAAGACCAACGTCGCTTCCCACCCGGCCGCTCCTGAGCCCTCAAAGATATGTGTAGGAAAATAAGAAAAAGAGAAATGGGAAGAGGAAAACCTGCGGCTACTTGGTCGGTGCCGTCGCGCGTTGAAAGTACACATATTAAGAACAAACAACACTCATGTGCCCGATACGCCCCGCGCAGCCCGGCGCCTGGCGGTAGGTATGTAGGGAGCGCCGGCAGCCAGCCAGGGGGCGATCACCGAAGGACATATCAAGTCGACTGCTCGAGGCTCGCATACCCTTAGCCCCCCGGCACCCCCCCAAAAAAGGTAAGACATGAAATATAGGAGCATATCGATCAAGATTCGTCACCACACACGCGCACGGTGGGGGAAGAGGCCATGTGCCGGGCCCAACGCCGACTGCGTTGAAGCAGTGTGACCCAGCCAGCCTCGCGCGCTCCAATATGCAGACCCCGTAAATCAAAAAAAAACGCCGATATCCAAACAGCGAGATCGTCCCAGATCAGCAAAGTCAAAACATGACAAGGAAATCGCGCGCAAAAGACAATGAGCGGGACAGCCGACAGGCACGGGGAGGTCAAAAGGTTCAAGCCCATCCGAGGGCGGGCTCACTCGATCTCCATCCTGCCGGCGATGTCCTCGCTCATGCCGCGCAGGGCGCTCATCCTGGGGCTGGTCTCGTGCTCGTCGGGGTTCTCGTCCTCGGAGACCTCGTCGCTGAAGCCGTCGCTGAGGCCGGCGTCGTCGTCGTAGTCCTCGTAGCTGCCGGCGAACTCGTCGAGCTCGAGCACGCCGTCCCTGTCGCGGTTCCACGACAGGCCGTCGTCGGCGTAGTCGTCCTCGTCGTCCGAGACGGGCATGCGCTCCGCCTCGCGGTCGCCCAGCCAGTAGCGGGCGCGCTTGTTGGCGCCGGCGTCCTCGAGCTGCAGCTGCCTGCGCTTCCGCAGGTCGCCGGTGGACGACGAGGGCGTCAGCGACATGGCGCCGCTGCGCTGGCGGTGGCGCAGGGGCGAGGGCGGGTTGTAGCTGTGGGACACGACGGGCACGCCCCGGACGTAGAGGTAGGCGACGCGCTTGCGCTCCCTGTTGAAGAACAGGTAGTGCAGGCTCCAGATGGCGGCGGCCTCCTCGTCAAAGGGGTTCGAGGTGGGCTGGTAGGAGAAGACGGCGCACTCCTTGAGGGTCATCTCCTTATCGATCAGGGCCCACATGTGGGGCCCCCAGGGTGGGGATTCCGTGCCGGACACGGCCGGGGGCGAGGACCCCGTGTCTGCGACGGCAGCCTTGGACCTCTTACTTGGGGGAAGCAATGAGGTCATGGGGAACTGGGTTGTGGATGGCGCGTTGGGTCGCGCGCTGTGCAGAGTTGTGTCGAGGTTGGCGACCACCTTCCTCAACATGCGCTCCCGCTTGAAGTCGGCGGGTCGCAGGACGTGGCTGAAGTCATAGTCGGGATGTGAGGCATTCAGGGTGGCAATGAGGTATGCGAAAGTCCTGCGACTTGAGATGTCGGAAAGAGGGCCAAATGGACTTGAGCGGGACAGGTTGAGGGTGGTGCGCTGGGGCGGCGACAGGCTGGACCCGAACTTGAGCAGGGCGGCATGTTGTGTTTCTAGCGACTTGTCAATGTTCTTGTAGAGCTTCTTATCGGAGCCTGCGGCTTTTGTTGTGTACAGGTCGCAGCCACCGGTGACGTGACAATCGGGAGTGTCGAAGTTGAGCGCGCTGGCCACGACGTCGAAGTCGCGAAGTGGGAGGAACTACGGTGAGGAGATCAGCTGGTCAGACTCGCAGACGCTAGTAATGGCTGGACTGGGCATGCCCACGAGTCTCAAACACATACCTTCATCTTGGATAGATTCGTGTGCTCTTTCAGAGGCTCTGTAGCGAGTGTTTCGCTTGACGTGGTGTGGTGTTGTTGGCGGCGTGGGCTCTGGTGTTATCGAGCAGGTGGAGATGTGTTATCGTGGAACGGGACCACTGCGTCATTCGAATGGGACGCGATCGCTCAGGGGTTCACTTGGCAGGGTGCAACCTGGCGCTGAGATGGATGTACGGTCGTACGTGTGTATGAAAGTAACAAAGAAACCGAGATGACCACCTGTCGGCTTGGATCGCGAAAAGTGGCCGGTTTGTGGCAGCTGCTGGGTCGGATGTTGTGGTGCTTGTAGTTGCCTTGTGACGGAATCGGGTGGAGTTCGGACATGCAGTGGGTTCCTGATTGTCAGTCGGTCAGGCTGGCGCAGTCGCGGTCGCGGGCGCAGGAACAGTCCAGAACGCGATAGGCGTCCAGGCGGTTTACTGGGGAGGAAATGCCATCTAGAAAACGAGGATGTGGTTCTGGGCAGGGCTGATGCGCGGTTGTTTCTCTGTCGGGGATGCAAGGGGCTTTCTTTGTTCAGGAGAGGAGGTGAGGTGGTGATAACGCAATGGGCCATGGGTTTAAGCGGGCGGGCGGGCGGATGGGCGGGCGGACGTTTCGGGGGATCAGGGAAGCCGCCAGTTGGTTTGTCTGACACTGGGTCCTGTAAGCACACCCTGGCACCTGCAAGAGAGACCCGGCACATGGGCTGAGACTAGCTGACTAGGTGCCAAGTCGTTCTTGGGTGTGGGGGAACAACCGGGACAGCAGCACAACAAAGGAGTCGTGCTCAGCCCCTGAGACTCCGCTGCCACCTGCACGCACCGCTGCAACTTGTCGGGTGCACTGGTGCGGGGCCCTGCGAGTTAAACCATGACGAATGACGAGCCAGACGGACACCACGAGCAGCAGCCGGTGGGCAGCCAGCCACGGCAGTCAAGTCAGCACTCTTTGAGACGCGAGAACGTGCACAAGCCCGCCCGGCTGGATGGTCTGCCGCAACCGGACCCGGCCATTCGAGAGGACAGACCTTGCAAGTAGTGTGTCTATTAGCACCCAATCAGCTATGCAATGTCTTGAAGCCGACAAGTCTTTCTGCTCGTCCCGATTGCCTCGGGTGGGGCGTTGCGTTGTTCACCTGCTCGATTCCCTAGCCCAAACCGTATACGCCTGACTCCATGCAACGTGCAATCACAATTCCTCATGGTGCCGTCGGTTCGTTGTTCATGCTCCCGTCGGCGTCCCAGCTTGAGTGTCCTGCCCATCTTGTCTCTTCCCAGATGGTTGGCCCATCACAGTATGCCGACGTCCTTGAGTGCGTTGCTGATTTGCTCAATTTCCTGCGTGTGTCGTATGTCTGTTAGCCGCGGCAAGTCGCCTCCCGTCCGCGTGTCCTTCTCCCGGTGTGTGATGGACATTCTAGATAGGGCATGTAGGCAGTAGGCAATCATGATATGTATCCAGCTGCGTTACATGATTTTGGTCACTTCGTCCTCGACCTGGCGGCAGTGGAAAGGGCGTCAGCGAGCTGCACTGCAGAGTTGAAGGGCGGAAAGGCGAAAAGCGCAGCGGCAGGGTGACAGGGACGAGAGAGTTGCGGTGTCGTTCGTATACGGACAGCACGTCCGAACCAGCGGCAGCTCGACTCCGTGGCGCGGCGATGCCAGCAAGGGTGCAAAAAAAAAAGACTTGACTGACCTCCATATCCTCCAATGAGTCTTGCTGCGCTATGCATCGTAGAACCGTCTTCTTGCTGCTCTCCTGCAGTTCGCCGGCGAGCAGGAGCTCGTCCAGTATCCAGTAGGCCTTGGTGAAGGAGAAGATGATATCGAGCTCGCAGACGTTGCCGTAGTACTTGTCCATCTGCTCGACGTAGCGGTGGATGATCTCGAGGGTGATGAGCTCGTTGTCGTCGGAGGACGCGCCGGCGATGAAGAACAGGGAGGCGTATCGGCGGTAGACAATCTTGGTGTCCTTGTACTCGAGGAAGTTACACATGCGCGTGCGCCTGGCCAGGACCAGCTGGGAGACATCCTTGACGATCTTGGCCTTCTCCTTGGGGGACATGGTCTGGAACCATTTCGCGAGGCGCTGCAGGTGCGGTTCGGGTCAGGTCTGCGCTGCGAGGCGAGGCAAAGGGGCCGCCCGGGACGGCAGAGGACAACATACAACTTTGCCCTGACGGGACAGCAGGATCAAGTAGTTGATTGCCATGATGGCAGTCCCACCAGACGGTGATGGCTGAGAGGAGGAATCGACCGGTGGGGGTTTGAGAGGAGAGCGGACGTTGTCGTTGCCACTATTAACTGTCCTTGGGCAGGTTTGCTGGGCAGTCGAACAGTCGGGTCGGCCACGAGCCACGAGGGGTGCAGCTTTGGAATGTCCTGCGCCCAGGTACCGTACCGAGCGTACCTGCCAGGGGTGGAGCTGGCCTAGCCTGGTCCTTGTGCACGAGCCAATATGAGGGGCATGTAAGCGCAATGTGTACAGCGATGGTCCAAGGCTCACTGCTCTCCTATTTGCAATGGAATATGAACAGCAGCATCGCCGCAGCATGCCAATCGTAGAGTTCCTCCAGCACATAAGAGCTCCAGGGCTGCAGAACACATGGGCCCCTTGCAACTTTTCCACGGACTTCTTGCATGCTAAGTTACCTAAGTAGTGAACTACTGTGGTGACAACTAATCCCGACAATCGCAACACCCACTCCAGCCTCATGTTTCTATCCTCTTGATGAAGACCTGTGTGGTCTCTCAATAGTACAATATCAGGTTATTGTTGCTCAAGTACGTTTTCTCAAACTACTGGGACCCCAGCCCAGGTTACTAGATGCTGGCTATCAATAAAATTAATCGATCTTCTTACCTTGAATCATGCTTCGTTCAAAGTACTTCAGTACCTAGGTAACTAATAGTCCGCACTATAAAGGTAATGATTGCAGCAACCGGAGAGAATTGCTGTTCCGGCCGTAGATAAGACCATGTCAGCCGGCCGATTCCCCGCTCAGAGCACGCCCGATCCGGGGCCGGTTGCCCATCACACAACGGGCAGCTCTGTTCGCCACTCCAGATCACTCATCTCTTCACTATAACTTCCTGGGCTCTCTTATTAGCAAAACTACCCAATAGGCTGGTCTATATTGCGTACAACTCTTGCTATCGACTCAGTCTTCAACACACTCCCATCAAAAACCCTTGCTACCCAAAACCATGGTCCTCCGAGAGGTAGTCGACGGCCAAGCCGGGCTCCCAGTGCCCAACAGCACTCTCTCATACTGGCACAAGGACCCCTCAAAGAAGCTCCTGGGCTACCGTTCAACGCCAGACCTGCCTTCTGAGGCCGACACCATCATTATCGGGACGGGAATGTGAGCAATTCTCAGGCCACAACTCATATCACATGCCACCTCCTCATTGAACCAACCGATAGCTAGCTAACTATAAAAAGGACCGGCTCGTTCGCAGCCCGCTTCCTCAAGGAGCCGGCATCGCCCGCGAGCCAGCAGTCCCTGCTGGTCCTCGAGGCCCGCGAGGCATGCTGGGGCGCGACGGGCCGCAACGGCGGCCACTGCCAGCCCTTCCTCTACGGCACCGACGAGGAGGTCGCCCGCTTCGAGCTCGAGACGTACGGCTTCCTGCAGGACCTGGTCGCCGCCGAGGACATCCCCTGCGACTGGCGGCCCGTCAACGGCGTGCACGCCATGCTGAGCCAGGACGTCTTCGGCGCCGCCGCGAGGGCCATCCCCGCCCTGCGCAGGAAGGTCCCCGACTTTGCCGACAAGATCGCCGTCGTCTCGCCCGAGGGCCTGGTCGACGGGCCCAGCGGTGAGGGCGGGGGCGAGGGCGACGGCGGCGGGTGGGCGCGCGGCCTCACGCTCGAGAAGCTCAGGCTCGACCGCCCCGGCGTCGCGGGCGCCATCGTGCAGAAGCACGCCGCGAGCATGTGGCCCTACAAGCTCGTGTGCCACGTGCTGGAGGCGCTGCTCGCCGCCCACGGCCCGGCCTCGCTCAACCTGCAGACCAACACGCCCGTCACCGCCGTCGCCAGGGGCGCCGCCCGCCCGGGGAGGTGGGTCGTGACCACGCCCCGGGGCAGGGTCTCCGCGGCCAAGGTCCTGCTCGCCACCAACGGGTACACGTCGCGGCTGCTCCCCGCCTTCTCGGACCTGATCGTCCCCGTCAGGGGCCAGATCGGCGCGCTGCTGCCGCCCGAGCCGCGCGCCGCGCTGGACTACTCGTACGTCTTCTTTGGGCAGCTCAAGGGCGAGGGCGAGGACGGCGGGGACACCACGCGGGACGAGTACCTCGTCCAGCGGCCGCTTCCGGGCGGCGAGCTCATCCTCGGCGGGGGCCGGCACCTGGCCCGGGGGATGGCTGTCGGGGAGTGGAGGGACGACACGGTCGAGCCCAAGGTGGCGAGGTGGCTGCGGACCGAGCTGGAGCCTGTGCTTAGCCTCGACCGCAAGGAGGATAAGGCGCCTGAGGAGGGGCTGGAGGCGTCGATGGAGTGGACCGGCATCATGGCGTACAGCCGTGACCAGGTCCCGTGGATCGGTGCTGTCCCCGAGTCTCTGGGCGGCGGTGAGGGTTTGTATATCGCATCCGGTTTCACGGGGCACGGCATGCCGCGATGTGCCCTGGCAGGTAGGGGCATAGCCAGGATCATGTTGGGAGATGAGAAGGGGCACGGTATTCCCAAGACGTTTATGGTGGACGAGGACAGAGCAGCAAAGGCGAGGGAGAACTGGGGCCGTGTTGGGACTGTTGATGAGATGGAGGCGTTGATCGCTGATTTGAGACCGTTGATGGAGTAGGGGATCGAGTTGGGGGGGAGGGTGTAGGAACAGACCAGAGGGTCTTGAATGAGATGCTGCTCGTGGGAGTGCTCTCACCAAGTACAGCGCTTGATACCGTCCCGGTCTGATTTACTGATGATGGGGAACGACGGTGAGGCCCGAATCTCAGACAGTCCAGGGCATTACGAGGAGATCTTATCCGCTGGTGGCAATAGTCATCTATTTTTTCAAAGACGGTGTATCAAGAATAAAGCTTCGTAAAGCCCTCGGCGGGTGGTTGAAGCCAGTTCTTCTCGTCATACACCCTCTCATCCCCTCCCTCGATAATGTGGAAAGTGTAGATGATCCTGCCCTTCTGGCTGAGATTCTTCTCGCTCTTGTGAAGGATGTTGCCGTGGATCAGCACCAGAGACCCAGCCTTGACCTCCCCAGGGATGTAGTCCTCATCCCGCGCCGGCGTGTCAGCCCTCTCGCCGTACTCATCACCAGGAGGGAACCTCGGCCCTTCGTTGGTAGCCATCTCTGTCCCTGCGTTTCCTGCCTTGCGGACGAGGCGTTTTGAGATGGGAGCCCACTGTTGAATGTCAGCTGTGATTTACAACCGGGGGAGCAAGAGAGGCCGGCCTACCTTGTGCGATCCAGGCAGGAAGCTCAGACACCCGTTCTCCAGCGTCGCATCCTCGAGCGCATACCAGAAACCCACGGCGCTCGGCGGGTTCGTGTACAAGAAGGTGCTGTCCTGGTGAGGCGGCACCGCGCCCCCGATCTCAGGCTGCTTGCAGATGACCATGCTCTGCAGGCACCTCGGATCCCTGAACCCCAGCGACCTGGCAACCTCGGCGGGGACCGCCTCGGAGGCGCCGCCCTTGTCGCCGCCCAGCAGCCTCGCGAAGGGCGGGCTGAGGGCGTGCAGGTAGTGGCCGATCTTGTTGATGGCCCTCTCCTTGGGCTTGGTCAGTTTGCCCTGGGCGTCAAAGGCGTCCTCCTCGAAGAAGAAGCGGATCTTGTCGCCCGAGGTCAGGAAGTAGTCGTCGCCCACGTGGTCCTGCCCGTCCTCGCCGCCCGTGCTGAACTTGGTCATGGGGTGGTCGTCGAGGCTGAAGTTGCTCAGCAGGGAGCTCGTCTCGTCCAGCAGGGACTTGACGGTGGCCGCCGAGAGGGCGTCCTCGATGATGAGGTAGCCATTGCGCTCGAACGAGTCGACCTGGCTGGCTGTGAGGCCGCCCGACGTGTGCGAGGCCACAGTCATTGTAATTGGGAACACAGGGTCTCGTGAGTTGGAGAGGATGGTCTCAAAATCTGTCTACAACTTGTAACATGCCTTTTTGCCAGTGGTCGTCGTCGAAATACCGGCAAGTGATAAGGGTGAATTCGAGAAACCCCTCCGGGGCGCTCCGAGTAAACGGCCGACAGGCGGCCCACTCCGCCTCGGCGGGAGGCTCGTTGTGGATTAGGGCGGTCCGGAGGTGCTCAAAGGCAGAGACCCAATAATTCGGATTTTACCCTAGTGTATACAGATTGGGACTTCTTTCTCTTTCATGTTTGAATTTTATTCTTGGGCACAATTTCAAGTGTGAGCCGGTATATGATTCACTCATACACGAGACCAGCCTCCATGTCCACGCCAAGTCTCGGCTTGCTGACTGTTTGCATAGACAAGCTGATATCTTTCTTGATTTCTTTTCAAAAGTCCCTTTCCCGCCAGCCATACTGTGTTCAGCAAACTGCTACTGTATGCAAAGAGAGTTACAATTTTACTATTACCACCATCTTTGTAATAATTACCAATGGCGACGTGCTAGAACTGCTAGATCGCACATACTATATGGAAATAGCCTACTCCCAGAGCCCGTAATTCTCACTCGAGACGAATCCGCCAACTACAGTCTTTCGCACCGCACCCAAAACATTGCTCAATGGGCTTATGGTGAGATCATCCAGGACATAAATGAACGGCTTGAAGTAGCAACTCGGCCATCATACATCGGGCCCGGCTGCCCCAGGGCTTTCCATCCTGCTTTATGCGCCTCAACTTAAAGTCAGAGAAACGAGGAGACGGGAGAGGAGAAAAAGGTTGAGACGGAGCTGAACAAGTGCTTCATTGCCAGCATGTGTTCAGTTGCGTCATTAAAGACTATGCTCACTTAACTTGTCCTCATGCCGACAAGACCCCGAGAGTCCTTTGTGAGTCCAACAGCTATTCTTAAACAATAGGGTTCTCGATGAGTCCGGGTCGAAGCAGCGTTTCGATGCCTACAACAGCAATAGCTTCCAGTGTGGACCTGACCTACAACATGGCAGACCACTGACTGAGACCAGCGACCGTAATTCTCTACCTTTGTCCCTGAATACGTGCACAAGGGCGAAGATGATGAACCAGAACGAATGGAAGAGTGCATCTTTCACATGAACCGTGAGACACAAGAGAGGGCAGCTACAGACTAACATTGATCACACATGGCCCAGAGAAGAGTCGTAAGCTTCGCAAGCTTCAATTCACGGAAGCAACCGTCCACCCAACGGATGACTACTCGAGCAACGCAGGCCGACCCCTTTTGCCCCTTTCTAAAGCTTGCCGCCCGCCGCCCGCCGCCCTGCCTGCTCAGATTACCTCCCGTCCTCGTCCCTGCTCGCGAATCGTGTTGCGCGGCCGGGGCATCTCGAGAAACACACAAACATGCACTGCCGCTGCGTACCGAATGATTGTTCTTGATTTCCCTCGTGGTGTAGAAACCCAAGCACCCGATCGATGGCCAAGGCGCAAGATAGCCGGCTGATGATTTGTTTTTTTTTTGGGGTGGGAAGGAGACTTGCTTTGCTAATGTACAGGTTTGGTCGCAATGCTGCCGGCTGGTGGGGCCCGCACCGCCCCATCATGCCGTCCGTCTCTTCCGGGACACGCATGTCGTAGAGGCCATGCCATGCGGGTAGATGGCGGGGGGCGCTGTGGTCGTGCCATCCGGCATACTCCAAGAACAACCAGGCCGAAGAGTAGAAAGAAAAAGTAATAGCTCGTCCAGGTAGAACGCCACCTCCCCTGTAAGCCACCCGAGGACAATGGAAAGAGGACCGACTCCGTAAGGGGGTAAGGATTCACATCCACGGGCGATTCTAACGTCCATAGGGGTGGAAACCCCTCGCCCCACCACCCCTCCCGCCGCCGCGGTAGTTTGCACCCGGGCGTCCGGCGTTCTTGGGTCCCGTAGGTGCGTTGGCAGGAGGCGCCTTCGTAGGGTCCGCCGGCTGTTGGTGGTTCTGGTGGTGGAAGCCTCCGCGGCCCCGGAAGCCACCCCCTCCGCGTCCGCCGCCGCCGTGGCTGCCCATGGAGGCAGGGCTCATGTTGCCGGCTCCTCCCATCTGGTTGGGCACGTTGGGCGGGGGGACGTCGTCATACATGCCCTCCCACGAGGCCGGCGCCCCGCCGGCGCCCATGCCGTAGCCCTGCTGTTGCCCGCCCATGTTGCTGCCGCTGCCCTGCCGGCCGCCGCGCTGGTCGTACTTTTGCTGCTCAAACATCTGCTGCTCGTAGGCGTTGTAAGCCGGCCGGTTCTGACCGCCACCGCCACCGCCAGGGCCGGTGGGGACGTTTGGCTGTTGCTGCATGCCGCCCTGGGGACCGCCGGGCCCGCCTCCCTGGCCTCCCATCTGGTTCATCATCTGCTGCATCATGGCAGGGTTCATCTGGCCGCCCATGTTGCCCATGTTGCCCATGGGGCTGCCACGGCCGGCGCCGGCGCCACCTTGTTGCTGGGCCTGCATCATCATCTGTTGCTGCATCTGCTGCATCTGCATCATCTGCATCATGGCCGCCTGTGGGTTCATGCCGCCCATGCCGCGGTTCTGCATGGCCATCTGTTGCTGCCACATCTGGAACATCTGCTGCATGCGGGCCCACTGCTGTGCCATCGCCGACCCGCTGGGGCCGCCAGCATTGCCGCCGCTGTTTCCACCAGAGACGGCCCCCCCCTGCGACGAATTGTCGTCAAAGTTGTTTCCGCCTCTGCCCCGGTTGCCGAATCGGTTGTTGCCGCGGCCCTTGGCCTCCTCTTCCTCTCGCATGTTGCCGCGGGGCTGCGCCTTCTTCACCTCGATTGGCTTCCCGTGGATCTCCAAATCCGTGGCAAGACAAGCGTCCACGCCAGCCTCGGACTCGAAGGTGACGAAGCCAAAGCCCCGCGGGCGGCCCGTGTCCTTGTCCATCATGAGTGTAGCATCAACAACACGCCCGAACTGGGCGAAGTAGTCCTTAAACTCGGCGTCCGTGGTCTCTTGGCTGACACCGCCGACAAAGATCTTGCTCGTCTTCTCCTGCTCATCTCGAGGTATGGCGCGTTTGGGATCAATCTTTTGTGGTTTGCAACTCGTCAGTACTTGGCACTTCACCCCCGGCAGGAAAACAGGCCAATGCTCACAATCTTTCCGTCCAAATAGTGCTCCTTGACCATAACAACGTTGACTGTTTTGGGATCCTTGAAGGTGAGGAATCCAAAACCTCGCGACCGGCCGCTAGCGCCATCTCTCATCACGGTACACTCAGTGACCTCGCCAAATTGGGAGAAGTAGTCTCTCAGAGATTCTTCAGAGGAATAGAGTCAGCGAAAACTAGCCACTGGTCGAGTGGGGAATACTTCTCACCATCTGTTGTCTCCCAGTTCAAGCCGCCTATGAACATTTTCCTGTGAGAACATGCATGTCAGTACGTTTGATCCCTCAGGCATGAGCTTGTGAGACTATGTAACAGTGCTTGTGTGCGCATGGAAATGTGCAGTGTTGACTGCCCACGCATCCGGCTACCACGGGCGCAAAGCTGATTGTTGCCGTCTCTCCCACGGCAAACAGATCGGCCTCAGTGTCCGGACGGCTGGGCGGTATGTACGGCTTGCTGCATTGGCTCCCGAGACCCTTTGTGAGCTTTCCACACCTTTGGAACACCCCGTCTTCTACTTGGTTGGTGCGGTTCGAGCTGGTGGCCAGGCCCGCGGCGTAGTCGGTGGGGTAGTCATCATCAAAAGTGCTGCCACCGTCGTCCTCAGCCTTGATCGACAAGTGCTCTTCTCTTTTCACCGCTGATTCTAGGTTTCCCGTCGCCATGATTGCTCTCTGGTTGTCGAGTAGATGCAGCGATGCTCAGCTGAGGTTGCTGCTCAGTGGCTGGATGATTCTTGCTTGCTTGCTGGTGGTTGGGTACATCCCAGAGCTCTCACGTCCAAGTGAGAAAAGAGGGGAGCAGCGCAGAATGATTGGAAGCCAGGAGCAGCAAAGATTGTCGAAATCTTGCGATCTTTGTTCGGACTGTCTCTCTGTCTCTCTGTCTCTCTCTCTTGCTATCGTCAAGCTAGGTACTGGCTCGAGCGCTATCCGCTTCCAAATCTCTTTACAAGTCCTGGGAGAAGATGGATGAACGTTCCACGTCTTCCCTGCTCACAGAGTACTCCGTGGGCTATTTGGAGCTCCCAGATATCATGGCAACTGGTGCCTGTGATCTGATCTATCGCATCGGTTGGGCTTTTCGGCTGTTTCTCAGGTAGTGCGGGGCCCTGCCATGACTCCTGTCCTTCGACGCTTCGGCTGCCTGCACGTCTTTACTGCACCATTGAGCCTGTGCTCTGCAGGTTGAAGGGTGCAATACTAGAGATGCCTGCGTATTGCTGGAAGTCCATGCGCCAACCTCGGCCACCGAGGCGTCCAGAGTGCAAACGCCGCGATTGAGACAAGCAACTCTAGGCCACTCTCACGCTGTACGCCCAGCCAACCCAAGCTGAGTCAAGCCACGACGAGTCCCTCGCTTCCCGATCGACGATTGTGTAGCAACCTCCGCAAGCTCGACCAGGGTGGCGAGCATCCGATACGAAATGTTCTTGCTCCTTCTGAGGATTCCATTTCTTATGCCCAGTCTCTTTTGTTGCGGCTCATCTCCAAAACTGCCGCAGCCTGGTCTCGGCTTTGGGGCAGCACGCCAACACCGCCTTCTCCGTGGTGCCCGTGGCGCCAAGATGACACACTTGGCGAGAAAGCCATCACACAAGCGCAGAGGGTATTACGAACTTGGGAAAAGGAAAATGGACTCGGACTTACCCGTCCTCCTTGGCATTGGGGTTCTTGTGCGTGGCCGCCGCTGGCGCTTGATTGTATGACGGGGTATCAGGAGCGTGTGTGTCGCCGTTACCGAGGTTGAAGTCGACATCGTCATCGTCGTCCTCGTATTCATCACCGCCGTTCATGTGCGAATCTTCGGCAGAGGCAGGTTCGGCGCCATGGTGACCGCCGTGATCATCCTCTTGCTTGACTGCGGCAGGGGCAGGTTCAGCGCTGGGAGCGGCCGGCTCTGGGGCGGCAGCGGGGGCGGCAGGGGCCTCGTCGTTGTAGCTAGGCAGACATTTAGTGACAGTTCGTAGAGTAGGATCGGAACAGGCGATGCGTACAGATCATCAAAGAGATCGTCCTCAAAATTCTCGGGTTCCGTCATTGTGAAGGACTGTTGGTGTTACGGATGTGGTGAGAGTCAGATAAGAAAAGGGAAGGATGGGACAAGAGCAACTGTGTGGTTGCGAAGAAGTGGAGATATTAATGGGAAATAAACGGGTGAAGCCTTGAATGTCGTCGCAAAAAGGGAAATGACGCGACACGATGCGGTGGTTTGTGTCGTGGTCTGCACGGTTGGGGGAAGGGGCGAGCAGGAAATTCGCTTTGATTGCGGTTGAGGTTTTGAGTCGAAGGTGACGGGGCGATCTGGAGAAAGCTACCCGTGGGCTTCGGCTTCTACTCACCCACTCCTGGCGGAGTGGGTGACAAAACCCCGCAACGGCCAAAACTTCGCAACAAAAAGACGGGCTTTTTCCCCATACAAAACGGTACTTTTTAGTATTTTCAACTTACCATAACACACTCAGTATTAACTCAATTTTTAAAAAAGAATAAGTTTTAGAATCCTTAAAATTAATAGATTATTCTATATATTTTTTTTTATTACTTAGATTAATTTTTAGAAAGTTAAAATGTACCACTTTGAATAAAAATGACACGTGACCTTGGAATTTGGCGGCCAAAAAAAAGTCTTGGCAGGTCACTCTCTAAGAAGTTTGTATGTAAAAAAACCTTCTTTTTGTTGCAAAGTTTTGGCCGTTGCGGGGTTTTGTCACCCACTCCGCCAGGAGTGGGTGAGTAGAAGCCGAAGCCCACGGGTAGGCTCTAGGTTGAGGGCGGGTTATCGATTAGGAGAACCGACCGACCGCCGGCTGGCCCGTGCGCGATTGGGATGCTAGCGTGGTTTTGTTCCTGCCTGAGAGTGGCCGGAGAATAGATTCAATTGCCTAGGCTCAGGGCGCGGTAGGTGCCTGCCCAGGGACATAGCTCCCCCGGGCTGGCAGGCAGGCAGGCTAAGAGGATGGCGGGGGTCTGTCAGGGGACGGGCTCAGCAGCAACAAGTGGGCAAGTGGGCTCTCAGCAGCCAACGGCGAAACCGAGCTTGTGCAAGCGGGCGTTGGAGCAGTCGCAGCACTGCGGGCGGATGTGTGGGTATGTCGAGGTAGTTCTGGCAGTCTGCTACATTGAAAGGATGCACGATCTAGACCACGAACCAACAGCAACAATGAGTTGAGCTCTGCAGTACGGCGTATTTTTGTTCCTCCTGCTCACTGCCTGTCGTCTGCACCCAACATGTTCTCGTCATCCTCCTCAGGGAGTGGCAAGAAGCCGCCGCCACAGGTATGTCTTTCCCCTCCCTCTCTGCCTGGCCGTCCTCGTGCGACAGGCTTGCGACTCGGCTCCGAGACTGACTGGGTGGTGTGCTGCGTGTAGCAGGAGATGGTCCAAGTCGGTATGTCTTCACACGCCCCGTCTCGCCCTGATTCTTCTGCAATAATTGACACTTTTGCCTTGCTCCACCGTAGACAGATCCGAGTAAGAAGTGGTCTCGAGATGCATTGGCAACCCGGCGCTGATCCGCAAGCAGGTCTGCCTCTCCGTTCTGGCGCAATCCGACGCCGGCAAATGGGCCCAAGAAGACGACTCGTGAATCCAGCCTGGTCGTTGGCGCAGCATACTCACACGCTGATATGCTCAAACTCGACTCACTGTTAGACAACAGCCTCGTCTACCCGACTCTGCCCCAGCTGCTGACTGTCGTCCCTCCTCAGAAACCTATCCAGCTCATCCACGCGGCCTCGGACGCCTCCCACATCCTCACACTCCAACAAGCCAGCCTCACCCCCGCAACAACGAAACGCACAACGCCCGACGTCCCCTCCTTTCAAGTCCTACATGAACTTCCTCTCAACCACAAATGACGACTGGAACGCAGACGATGCCGGCGAAATATACGACTATGACGATGACGATGGGGACGATTTCGGGCTGCCTAGCCTGTCCAACATGAAGAGGAGGACAAAAAGAATGCAAGACGCCCAGACGAGAGCCAATGCCGGCAACCAACCGCCAGACATAGATAGCTACAGTGGTGGCTTCCACTCCAGGCGATTCTCGAACAGCGCCGACATCGCAATCGAGAGACCAACACCGTCCTACCCGGTAGCCAAGAAGAGCGAGGGCAAGATCCTAAGGCCGCAGTACAAGGAGATCCTCAAAGACCCAGCCAATGCGCTCCACCTCATCAATCACCCTCCAATACCCCCAAACGCCTCTCCCAGGGAGATCGACGCCATCAACTCTAGGATATCCAGGATAAACAAGTTCAAGAGGATCCTCCAGGCCTCCAGCGTGGTCCTCCCAGACCTGCGGGCCGCAGCATGGTCAGGCGTGCCGGAGGAGGTCAGGGCCATGACCTGGCAGCTGCTGCTCTCGTACCTGCCGACGAGCAGTGAGCGGAGGGTGGCAACCCTGGAACGGAAGCGCAAGGAATACCTGGACGGGGTGAAGCAGTCGTTCGAAAAGGGCACAGGCAGCACCGGCGCCACCACAGGAAAGGCATCCGGGTCGGGAGGAGGCGGAGGAGGCGGAGGAGGCGGAGGAGGCGGAGGAGGCGGAGGAGGCGGCGGCAGCGGCGGGGCGGGCGGGCGGGGCCTGGACGAGGCCGTGTGGCACCAGATCAGCATCGACGTGCCGCGGACGAACCCGCACATCGAGCTCTACGGCTACGAGGCGACGCAGCGGTCGCTGGAGCGGATCCTGTACGTCTGGGCGGTGCGGCACCCGGCCAGCGGCTACGTGCAGGGCATCAACGACCTCGTCACGCCCTTCTGGCAGACCTTCCTGGGCGTCTACATCACGGACCCGGACATCGAGCGCGGCATGGACCCGGGCCAGCTGCCCCGGGCGGTGCTGGACGCCGTCGAGGCCGACTCCTTCTGGTGCCTGACCAAGCTGCTCGACGGCATCCAGGACCACTACATCGTCGCGCAGCCCGGCATACAGCGCCAGGTGCGCGCGCTGCAGGACCTCACGGCGCGGATCGACGCGGGGCTCGCCCGCCACCTCGAGAGGGAGCACGTCGAGTTCATCCAGTTTAGTTTCCGGTGGATGAACTGCCTGCTGATGAGGGAGGTGAGCGTCAAAAACACCATCAGGATGTGGGACACATATCTGGTAAGTTCTTATATCAATGTCCCAAACCCCCCATAACCCCTCCCCCCCTCCTCCTTCCTCCTCGCTCGTGGCACACCGTTTAGTTACCTTACTGACGGCCTTTCCCCCCCAAACGTCACAGGCCGAAGAGAACGGCTTCTCCGAGTTCCACCTGTACGTCTGCGCCGCGTTCCTGGTCAAGTGGTCCGACAAGCTGGTCAAGATGGACTTCCAGGAGATCATGATGTTCCTGCAGTCGCTCCCGACGCGCGAGTGGACCGAGAAGGACATCGAGCTGCTCCTCAGCGAGGCGTACATCTGGCAGTCCCTGTTCAAGGGCTCCGCCGCCCACCTGAGGGGCGGGCCGTCCACCAGCCGCAACCAGGGCCAGGGCCTGCAGCTGTGAGCTGGGTGCGCGCGCGTGTACACATGTGTGTGTATAGCTAGCTGTCCCTCGGCGTGTAAAGTATATGGAAAGTGGATTGAGGTTCAGAGAGTGACAGCAGCCAGAGACAGAGCGAGAGAGAGGGAGGGGGGCCATGGGAAGCGAGAGCAAGAAAACAAAAAAATTGCGTGGAAGAAAAAGCGGGTTGGCATTACATTGATGGAGTACTTGGTTCCGGCGGCGGTCGCATTAGACCAGGTGAAATACCAATCGTAATTTCAAGAATCAGATAAATTGGCTACCTACTCAAGTACCAATACGGCACAGCAGAGCATAAATACGGGCTAATTTGCTAGCCGCGTCCTACTGCGCTCTCGCAATCAAGGCCGGCGGAGCAGTTGTCATGACACATGCGAACTCAAGCGTCTCGATGAAATCTCACTGCTTTTTTTTTTCCAGAACAAATAAGACAGATTCTAAAGCAATTTGTTCGGTGGTTCCTGGACACCAACCAAGCAGCCCTTCTTCCTTTTTCGGCTTTGCCTCTGTGACGCCGGCTATCTGTAGCAGCCCGCAGTATCGTTTGTGGCCACCTCAGTGGCTGAATCCAGATATCCTGCCCCCCGTGGCGTTGTTTGCTATGGTACAAATATGACAAGATGTCAAGACGACAGTAGGGAATTTCGTGATCTCCAAGCAAGATGCAATGAGGACCTTGGCAGTTGTGGATGAATCTGATGCAAGCCGCCCGAGGCAGGACTTTTTTCCCTTTTTAAACCTCATCCCAGAGATTGAATCCACTTGCGCTCTCCATGCACTTCAGGCATGGAGAACATCAGCTGGCCCCCTTCCTCAGGCTGGAGCGAGTGACCACCTCACGAGGCGGCGGCTGTCTCCTCCTCGGTACGGGCCCTCTTGCTCGGCTCCTCCTCGCCATCCTGCCCCTCGGCCGCGGCGCCCTCGGCCTTGCGCTTGTCCTTCTTGCGCACGAGGCCCGTCAGGTCCGTCGCCGTCTTCTTGGCCTCCTCGATGCGCGCCTCCGTCTCGGTGGAAGACTCGCCCAGCGCCGCGCCCAGGATCCCGCCCACCATGGGGTCGGCGCCGAGGGCGGCCTTCATGTCGATCGGTGGGCCGCGCAGGTCGACCAGCTGTATTGCAGAGAAGGATTCGTCAATCGATAAAGTCCACCGCGTGAAGGATACTTGGAAGGCATCTCGGAGGGGAAGGGGTGGGGGTGGCTGAGACTCACTCTCTGCTCCATGTCGGCAATGATCTCCTTGGTCTCGGTGATCTGCTTTCGAGAGATGTCGTTGTCCTCGGGCGAGTGCAGCGTCGCCAGCTCGACCTCCTTGTTCTGCAGCTTGAGCTTGGTGCTCTCGATGGCCGCCTCGAGCTCCTTGGCCGCCTCGTCCCGCAGCTCCTGGTTGACCTCGCGCGGCGGGGCGCTCACGGCAGCCGCCGAGTCCTCGGCACCGGCATCGTCGTCCGCCTGCGCCGTGACAGACGCGAACTCGAGGGCCAGCGACAGTTTGAAGTGCGCCTCGGCGATGATCTCCGAGTCCTCGCCGTACAGCTGTTGCTTGTACCGGAGAGACTCCCGGGCGTCGGCGATCGCGTTAGGGTACCTGAGACGCAGTTAGCATGAACCGCGTTCCCAATTGTGACGGACCGCCCCTCGGGTCAAGGTTGCGTACCGTTCGTTCTCGAGGGAGATCTCTGCGAGGATGTCGTGTGTGTCTGCTAGGCGCTCGTTGATGTGTCTGAGCCCGGCGTCCTGGCCGTCGTTGTCATCATCTTCACCATTCGCAGCCTTCTCTTTACCTTTGCCCTGTGCGGCCTCTGCAGCTGCGAGTTTCTCGTCCAACCGCTTCTTCAGCAGCACACGGGCAAGGTCAAGGATCTCAAAGGCTGTGGCGAGGTCGTCATCCTCCTCGTCCTCGTCGCCCTCTCCTTCTGCACCGGCCTGTTGGGGTCACAAGTCAGCGCGTGGGCACAAGGCGAGGTCGGTAACAAGAGCTGAGAGAGTTGTTACTGACCTCTTCCTCTTCGTCCGAGTCGGCAAAGTTCTCGTCGCCCGTGAATTGGAACAGGGGCTTCTTGGCCTCGACCTCCTTCTTCTCCGCCTGGCCGGCACTCGTCTCGTCGGCGATGATCTTGACCGCCTCCTGGGCGACCCTATCCGCCTCCGGAGTCTCGACCTTCTCTTCCGCGGCCGCGGTCGATGTTGGTTCGGCCTCCGGCTCGGCCTTGGGCGCGCCGTTGGCTTTCTTGGCCACCTTCTTCTGCTGCTGTTTGGGCTTCCCGCTGTCGGTCGCGGGGGCCTTGCCACCAAGAACATCGCTCTTGCCCTGTCCGACCTTGAACAGGCTGCGCCCGTACAGGAACAGAATCTCGGCGTTCTCGGGCGACATCTCGCCGTTCATCTCGGCCTGCATCTCGGCGGCCTGGGCGTAGACCTCGGCAGCCTCGTCGAACTTCTTCTGGGCGTACAGGCCCGAGGCACGGGCGGTGAGGTCGGCGAGCGACACCTTGAGGCTCAGCGTGCGCTGCTCGGCGGTGAGGGGGATCGAGACGGCGGACATGGGCGTGGCGGTGCCTGTCGCGGTGCCTGGCAACAGGGTTGGTGTGGCGGTGCCCTGGTCGGCGACGGACCGAGGCGTGGTGGCAGCTTCGTCGGCCATGATGTGTGATGTGGTATGATGCGGCGCAGGTTGTCTGTCGTTCGTTGTGCGCGTGTGCGACGTGTAAAGTGGCAGACAGAGCTGGCAGGCCGATGCGCCAGCCGTGTCAGCAGGCTGCTAGTAAGGTGGTTGGAGTTGGCGCAAGAATTGACACGGGTTCAATCTCGCAAAGCCAATTGGGATATTGGGATGGATAAGTAAGGGAAAGGTCCAGGTTGGGAGGGGAGAAGGCGGCAAATCTGAGTTTGCGCTGAGCTGGTGAAAACGGTCAACGGTAATGCGATGGCGGGTTGGGGAGGTGGTCTAATGCGTCGGGGGACCCTTGAAGCTTGTGAGTTGTGACGCGAAGGGCAGCTCTGCCAGGCCTGGCCGCACGCGTCCTAATTGGCGGGTGGGCCCGCGGCAGCTACACACCAGGCAAGGGAGCAGCTGTGGGAAGCTCAGGTGGAGCCACGGGTGGGTCCAGGGCACGTCAGTCCCGGACATGGGCACCTCGAGCAGCAGACTCGACTAGCCTTCAGCGATGCACCCCGTCTGCTGTTCGCAGGGGTCATGCGAGCGGCACACTCTCCCTAGGGTTTATACTACTACTTTGACACCGCGACACTTTCGAAAATAACATGCTAGGTCTCTACGTGAACACCTTCTGTAGGAGGTTCCTCCACAGAATGTCATTGTATAGTAGGCTATCCCAGAAAAGTTTGACCCATAGGGGGTTCTCCACATGAGTATATCGTGCAAGAGGCTATGCTATGGGCCTAAGGCCTCTGGGATGTTGTCCGCTAGAAGGAAGTTCTATGAGAGGATTTCCCATAGAAAGATGTCCCACACGAGGTTACATCGTGAGGTAAAAGGCCATCCTATCGGGATGTGTCTCATGGTAGAGTTTCCCATGACAGTATAAGAGTTCGTCCCACAGGAGGGAGTTCCATAGAAGGTCGCCCTCGAGGAGGTTGGGTAGAGATACAGCGGTCACGTAGCAGAGTAGCAGAGTAGCAGACACCCGAGCAGAGCGCGTCTCCATATTGAAAGCCCCTTGATCCAATTCTCACCAACTCGCCTAGATTTCGATATACACAAAAAGAGTACAGTCAGCTGGTGGTTGGACGGGGTCTCGCCGACCCGGTTTCCAACCCACCCTTCTTCCCCCGTCCTGCAATGGCCCGCCCGCCCGCCCTGCCCTGCTGCGCTCCGAAACGAATGCGACCCAGGGATTCTTCCCTCCCAATTAACAGTATCCTCCCTCCCAAACCACCGGATCCCTCCCTCTCCACGCCGGGTATTTGTACAGCGTACCTGCCATGTTTTCTTGGTGTGATCCCAGTACATTATTGAACAAAAGAGAAAAAAAAGAAAAACACGCTCAAATGTGATGTGAACGAAGCCTGCTGTGAGGCCCGTGAGGCTCCGGTTCAAAACGCCAATGTTGATGCACGTCAAAGTCGCAAAACACGAGCAACAGCTTTCGTCTTGCTTGTGGGGGTCCGCCCTGCCTTTAAATCAAGGCTCAATGAAAGCACAAACAGCACCTCCTCCTCTTCTTCAACTCTGGCCGCAGCGGCGCATCTTGGCATCCGCTCCTCTAGTCCGTGATGGCTTCCTCATCCACCACCGCGACTTCCGGCACTGCCTTAGGGTGGGCGACTGTGACATTTGCCTTGGCCTTCGTCTGGCTCTCCACAAATATCTCCCAGTACTCAGGGTCACCCTCCCGGCAGGCATCCACGATCGTCTGCCGGTGCTCCTGGAACACCCTGACAGCGCCCTTCTCTTCTCGTAGCTTACTGATCTCCTCGTCGTCGAGCTCATCAATCAACTCGTTGAAGATGCGCACCTGGTGTGGATCCTTCTCTAGTTCCTCGAAGCCTGCCGACGATAGCAACTGGTACTGCTCGGCTGTCATCCATCCAGAACGGAACTTGTGTCCTGATCGGAGCGCGCGGCCCTCCTCACGGTCTTGAGCCAGCGATGACAGCGAAATATTGGAGCTGCTTCGGGCCAGGCTGCGCTGCGCATACAGGTCCTCCTCCGCATCGGATCCTGCCGCATTGTGCTCGGGCTCCGCTTCTGCAGAGGAAAGCGAGTTGCGGGTGGTTGTCTTCTCGAGCTGGTAGTCCGGCGGTGGGATTGATATTCCACTGTCCGCCGCCTCTTTCGTCTCCGGAAACTCGTCTTCGAAGCGCTTGATGATGCCATCCAGGGTCTTTTGCAGGAACAACAGGCGCTGGTAAGTACCGCGCTCCTCGGTTGATTGTTCCGCCAATGTCTTTGCCTTGGACAGGGCAGGCTCGAGGCGGTGCCGGATCTTCCTTGCGCTGATGAGCAAGTGCTTTGACACGTCCTTGGCCTTCCCGCCAGGCAAATGCGCCGTTGGCTGCGCAACGCCTGTCTCGAAGTCTCGCACAAACTCCCCGGAGTTCCTCCTCGAAGCGACTCCGCGGTTGTTCAGGCAGCAAGCCAACGCCTTGGCGACACCTGTACCTCCGACGATGTAGTCATCATCAGGTGCGACTTCATCGTCGTCTGAGTCGGGAGCCATGACATCGTGCCCAACTAGATGTTGGATCACGTCTGGGTATTCTGGGTCCTTGGCATCATGTGCCAGTGCCTCTTCGAGGGCCGATCCGCCATCCTTGAGTGGTAGCCGTTCCATATTCCGCAGGCAATAGGCAACGATCTGCTTGGCAAGAGCCTTCACAATCTCGCCAGAGCTCTCGGTGGGAACGTCAATGTCCACACACACGAGGCTGGGAGAAATTCTCGTTGCAGCCAAGAGGGACGCATACAATGCGGATGCTTCTTCCTGTGTCTCCTCGGTGCTCGCGTCGGCCAGCTTGGTGAGTTCCGTGTTCTCCAGGAAGCTTATATGAGCTATGTTCTTCATCTCTGGAATGACTTCGGCCAGGGCGATCACATGCTCGGAGTTTAGTGCACAGTCGCTTAGGTGTATCCTCTTCAAGGATTCCATCTTAGGCAGGTATCTATTTCGGAAGGGTCAGTTAGCTGCAGCGATGTGTTATGGCGGATGTGATGAGCATACCTTCGCAGGACCCCAACTGCACTAGGGTCCGAGTCAAACAATGCCTGGTTGTGGGACAAATCGAGGAATCGAAAGTTCGAAAGCTTGTACAAATGCGGGAGCAACTTGCACAGCGAGGCAGGCTTGAGATTACATTCAGCCAAGCTCAAAGCCCACAGCGTGTTGGTCTCGTCGATGGCACCGCCGATGTTCTCGCATTGGTCACGCAGGTCGTTGCCGCCCAGGTCAAGCGCCTCACACTTCCCACTGCCGAGATACCTTTTGATGTGTTCGAGGCCTTCCGAGTCGAGATCTAGATGCGCAAGGCCGAGCCTTCGGATACCGCACTTCATTATACCGTCCAGGATCTGCCCAAGTTGGGTATGGTTCAGACCGATGTTGCTCAGGTTCATCATCTCAAGCGTCGAGCCTGCCAGTCTTTCGCCTATGCATTTGGAGAACAACGTGCCGATGTCCAACGGAGCCTTCTTGTCTTCGTGGAGATGGAAATGGGGGAGATGGCCGTTTGATGCTGTCGACGGCGGTGGCTTTGGGAACTGGATCTCTGCCAAGTCCAGGCTGACGACGGACTTGCACATGTAGATGAACAAACACAGGTATTTCCAGCCCTCAGGTCCGATTTTGTTGTTCTTGAGAACCAGACGCTCAACCACGCCTCCTTGTTCAGCGAGGCCGTCGGCTGAGGTGATCGCTCGTCTCCTTTGGGCACCGCTGGCTTTCCTGGAAGCGAGAAGGCCGGCCAACACGACCCTGAGCCCCTCGTCGTTTAAGCCGCAGTTCTCCAATATGACCTCCTTGACTGGGACCACAGCCAAGTAGTCTCCCAAAGTGACGAGGTCTGCAAGCTGCATCCAGTATCCACTCAGGTCCAGCTTCTCGACGACCCCGGCGGACGTGGAGTTTGTGGGGGCCATGAGCTGCTCGGTGATCTTCTTGAGGATGGGCGTCTCCCTGAGCTGGCAACATCTCCTATAGATGCGCACGGGATTCGTCGTGGGGACGGCCTGCACCCTGGGGGTGGTCGGGGCCGAAGGTTCGGAGGTGTCGGTATCAAGGTGAAGCTCCAGAGGGACCTGGCCGTTGGCCTCTGCGAGTTTCCGCTTCTTATCCTTCCTTGCTTTCCTCTCCTCTTCGCTCTTCTTCTTTTTCTCCTTCTTTTTCGTACTCGCCGCGCTGTCAGCCGCAGTCGTGGTCTGCGTGTCGGTCTTAGCGGACGCATCGGTATTACCCGTGCCTTCTTTCTCGGGTTCCTTAGGTAGCTGCTCCCCCGAGACCTCGACGGTGCCATCCTTCTCCTTCTGGTTCTCTACGGCCTTGGGGTTCTTCAGCGCCTCGCCCTCACCCTTCTCGGCGAGCTTCCGTTTCTCGGGCTTACCGAGGGCGCACACCTTGGGCGAGGACGAAGCGTCGGAATCGGAATACTTGGGCATCGGCGCGATCTCCACGTCGACACAGAAGGCGACCCTCCGCAGCTTGGACTGGTGAAGCTCCTCCACGGGACATCGTTCTCGGTGCTGGTCGACATTCAACACCCTCCTCTCGACCAGCCCGTGGTTGTTAACACCCTTCATAGGAGGTCCTAGCTGCCCGGAGTTAGACGACAGTCTGCGCAACACATGCATCAAGCCAGTCTGGCCCGTCCTCGGCGGCGCCGGCGTGTACGGCCCTTCCCCCTGGTGCTTAGCCGCATGCTGGAGAACGGCGTTCTTGGCGGGCGTGATCTTGGGGACGGAGATCTCTGCATCCTTGGTCGGGACGTTGTTGGCCTGTGGCGGGCTCTGAGGCGCGCTACCTGAGAACTTCTGCGATATGTTGGAGAACCAAGAGGGCCTCCTCGTCGGGGATGCGCTGCTTGCCACGCCATTCTTCTCGTTGATGGAACCTCCTCTTTCCCTGGTGAAACCTGGGCGAGGAGGGATCTGCTTGGGCAGAGTGCCGTTTGTTTTGGGCGCTGGATCTGGGTGGCCATTGGTCTCGTGCGCTTCCCTCACCGGACTCGAAGCGGGCGAATCCCGGGGAGACTGGTCCGGTGGAGCAGGGAAAGTTGATCGACGGATAGGCTGGGCTCGGTCTGCGATTTTGGATGCGGTGTTAGCCTTGCCAGCATGAGTGCCTGCCGGACAGACGGCGCCGTAGTTGTGCTGCGCATGGCTGCTTAATGTGAGGACTGAAGGCCTACCTTTCGGGGTTCCGTGGTGGGCCATCCACGAGACGTCGACGCCGTGTATCTGCTCCATGGTGTTGGCGCGCAGATGTGATTGCCACGGTAGGATGTGAACAGCCGGGCAAGGCTAGAAAAACGGTAGAGACGAGCAGGGCGATTGGGCCTCTGGCCGAGGATTGGTAATTATAATGACGGGTCCAGGCTCGGGCGTGCGCGCAAGGGCAGGCGGGAGGTCAGACAGTCAGACAGGCAGACTAGAGCGCAATAGCTTTAACCACGCTTTGGAGGGTCTGATCACAGGCGGGGTTTGGCGGCCATGGTGTTCGAGAGGGTGGGAGATGATATCCTCTGCAGGGTAGAAAATGTTGGAGAGACACGGCCGGTTTCAAGAGGTTGAAAGAACAGTGGGTTGGTTGTGTTGGAGCAGAACTGGGAGCAAGGAAGGGGCACGATATGTTTTGGTGGAGGGCAGAAGAGCGCCCGGTTGCGGGTTTATTATTGATAGATACTTTGTACCGCCGTACTGCGGCAGTAAGTGGCACTGCGTAATAAGGTGAGGTGAGCAGCGGGAGGAGTGGAGAGGCGAGGCGGGCAGGCGGGCGAGGCGACGCAGGACAGGGCAGGGCAGGACAGGGCAGGGCATAGGTACAGTGCAAGAGTTGCTGGGCTCGAGTTACTCGGTGCCAGGTGCTTGCTTGGTGGGTGGGGCCTGGGCCTGGGCTGGGATGGCTCCCCGGGCGAAAAGGAGTCGGGTGGTTCTGGCAGGACCCCTACCAGGCCTACCAGGGCGAGATACAGCTTGGCCCTGACCTGTCCAGTCTTGGCCCTAGCTGCAGATGGTGTTTTAGACGCACGAGTGCACAGTTGATTCTGATTCGTAATACGGAGTATTGTGCTGATGGGTTCGGTCAGCGAGAGCGGCGCACCATGTCCGGCACCAGGCTCAGAAGGGAAAATAAAATAATTTAGGCGGAGCCGTGTGCTACACCTGCAGTCAGTCAGTCAGTCAGTCAGTCAGTCTCTGGTGTCTCGATGGATTGATTGACTTCGAGCAGGCGATAGCTGCCGAGTTAATTGCAGAGGATGCGGGCTGGCGGGCTGTTCGGCTGTCAAAAGTAGGCGAGGATGGGTGTGCCTGTGTGCACGCCTCCTGTTCCTCCCTCCCTGTCCAAGGTCTATCTATGCATGATGAATGGTTGAACGGGCGAACTAGACGGACAGAGTGACAGCTGGGATGGGGTTCACCACGCCAGCACGCCAGCACGCCAGCACACCCGGTTCTCAGCCCTTGCCCGGATCGAGCACAACATGGGCGTGCACAAGCCATCTCTGGCTTCGAGACAGTCCTGACGTGAGCGACTGCGGCGGTCGCTCGCACGACGTCACACAGTCGGATGGCTTGTGGATAGGCCTGCTGATGAAGGGACTGCGGCGGTTCCAGCCAGCACGCAACTGCCCTCTACCGCACATGTCCCCAGTTTTTGGACCCTCCCTTGGAAGACATTTGGCTCCTTAGCGTCCTCACTAGCGCCGCCAACCCTTCCCCAAGATCGAGGCAGTTCGAGATGGCCTCTGCCTGTGTCTGTCTGTGGTTGGTAATTGTGTAAATCAGGTGATGATGTCTGTTGCCATCTACCTACACGGACGAGACAGACTCCATGTTTGTCTATACACCATCAGATGGACTATCGAGGGTCCCTCACGCCACCCGCCAGCCAGCCAGCCAGCAGCACCATGATGCAACTGCCACTACCAAGCATTGCCAATCCGTCACGAAGGGGGTGGGCGCCTCGCTGTCACATCGCATCGCGCATCGCATCGCATCGCATCGCGAGATATTGGGGTGCCACAAAAAATGTTGATTTGAGGTACGGATGGATGCAACAGAACTCAATCAACGGCGCGGCCTTTGCAAATTCGGGGATCCACGCTGCACTGTCCTGTTTGAGGTGCTATAATCATTGCCCTCGTACGACACTTCCCACCTCATCTGATCTCGAGAGCATGGCCGGCAGCAACCATTTCCCCCCCCCTCCGATGGTCCAGCCCATCCCAGCAGCATTTTACCTGCCCTGCCCTGCCTGCACCGCACCACTCACCGCCGACCTCCGCCATCCAGCTGCCATCGTGACGAACCACCCACCCCCCTGGGGCCAAGAGCGTCACGAGTCCAGCACTCCCCTTCAGGGCAACTGCTCCGCCCGGTCGGTCGCATATAGGGCTTTACCCTGTTCATTCCCGCCCGGCGGCCGTATTCCCTGTGGTCGAGGAGCAAATGTGCATACGTAGGTGGTCTATCTAGGTGATTCCAAATTGAGACGCTGCACAATGCCAGCCAGCAACCCTTTGAGGGCTTGCCACATTGCTTAGAAATCCAGACCTCAAGGGAATAGACGACACGGTTGATATTCTTCACTGGTATTCCCGATCCCAGCTGTCTGGGGCAGTAGCCGACAGGTCCTCCTCTGCCGCTGCTAGTGCGGGTTCTTGACAGTATGGCGCCCTAGCCGCGCGCCCACCGCTGCTTTGAACACTGGACCACTGTACAAAATTCACCAAGAGCCAGGTCGGTAAGCCAGTCAGTCAGGTCATGGCTCCTGAATTCCGAAATCATATTTCCACGCGCACGGCCGGCCAGCAGTTCAATTCCGTCCTGGCGGAAAACCCACCGGCAACATCCGCCGAACCTAGAGAACCACCAGCTCTCACCAAAACAAAAATGATCGCGAATTATCCTCGGCTCTTCGGGGGGTCCAAGCATCCAAAACAGGACCCTCCCCAGCCCAACCCAATTTGCAAGCCCATCGCCGTCCCGAGAGATGGCCTCTCCCCCATCGGACCCATCGGATCCATCGGGGCTCCGTAGCCTTCCTGTTCTAATTATTCCCCCGGCCCGTTCGCTCCAGCTAGTGTATCTGCTTGCCTGTCTGCTCGTCTCTGTCCCGTCCCTTGCCCACCCTGTCCGCATCCCCTACAAGAAGATAAAAATAAAAATAAAAAATAAAACTAAACCTTGTGCTGCGGAGGACTTGGCCCGAGTCAGATGGGCCAGTGATTCGCCCTTTGTTGTCAATGCAGCAGGTGTCACGGATGCCTTGGGAGCAGCACGAAGGGCTCAGGGGTGCAGGCCACAAGAACCCAGATCCGGACCACTTACGCCGCGCGGGTTTGGTTCGTGAGGTGACAGGAGGCAGCCAAGCCGTGGGACACGCGGTGTTCCTTGCTGTCCCGCCAGGCCGCCAGGCCGGCAGGCCGGCGGAGGGTGCGAGGCATGACTTCGACATGGCATTGTAGCACTGCGCTGCAGAGCCCTTACGCGCTACTGCAGGCCGCATGCCATCAACCACCTGCTTGTCCCCGTGTGCCCTGCACCTAGTCTGTCACAGTACGACATCGACGAGAATTGGAAGGCTCAAACGCCGTCGCCTGCCGACAAGAACTGCCGTGGCACATGTGTTGTAGAAAGAATTTTTGCATGTCACTTGCGATGGGTCAAGAGAGCCGGACAGTGTGAATGAATGAGCTGGAGGAGGCCCAATTCAAGGGTGGCTAGAACTTTTCATTGGTTTTCCTTAGACCCGAACCCTTGAAGACAACCTTTCCCATTGACGCAACGCCGGTATTCCATCCAGACCCTTTTTCTTTTCAGGTCGATTTCCCCTGCTCTCCGAGACAAAGTCATACGCGAGTAGTGGTTTTGTTGGGTATCGAAAGGCTAAAGGACCGCTTACTCGGAGCGGAGCTCAGCGATCTTGGCCTGGACACGCTGCTTCTTCTCCTCGTAGCTCAGCTTCTTGCTGCGGTACTTCTTGGACTCGGCCTTCCACTCCTCCTTGGTCTTCTTGGGAGCGTCGCTCTCGTACTTCTTGAAGGGGTCCTCACGGATGGCCTTGTGGGCCTCGGTGTACAGGTCCTCAACGCCATCGGCCTCGACATCGTCGTCGATGTACTTCTGGAACTGGCTCTTGTAGCGCTCCTCGTCATCGTCGGCGAGGGTCTCCATGTACTCGGCGACGTGGCCACCGTAGATGTACTTGCGGAGGGTGTCGGCGTCGAGCTCCTTGGTCTCCATGTCGTAACCGGGGAAACGGTTCTCGGAGTGGGGGACGAAGATGCCACCGTCAGAGGCACCCTTGAGGGCACCGAAGACACGGGCACCGGTCGAGGTGCGGGCCAGACCGACGTCGAGGTTGGCCTTGAAGGGGCGGCGCTCACCATCGTCGGTCTCGGCGGCCTCGGTCAGGGTGTACTCGCCGTCAGCCTCCTCGACACCGGTGAAGGTCTCGTCCATGCCGAGCTTCTTGAGGGCACGGCGGGCGATCAGGAGACCGGTGGCGTAGGCAGCAGCCCAGTTGGTCAGACCGTGCTCGATGCCGTAGGCGCGCAGCTCGTGGGCGTAGGCAGAGACGAAGACCTTGTCACCGCTGATCTCGGAGGAGACGATCTGCCTGTAGTCACGACCACTGTCAGCCATCTGTCCAACAGACACGTTCGTTTCGTCGGCAGGTGTGGGTTATACGCACAGGATGATGTCCCGGTTGGTGAAGCGGACCACCAGGCGGTACTTGGGAGCATTGTACTTGTTCTTGGCCTGGGTGATCAGACGCTTGCGGGCATAGTAGTCGGTCTTTCCGGACCTTCTGCGCTTGTACTTGGTCTGGAAGCGACTGCAAAGGGTGTCAGCGTCTGTCGGTTGGTTGCCTGCTTGAGGCCGCAGTCGATGCCACTCCTAGAGCACATCACCGGGGGATTCAGATGAACTCACCTGTAGTACGCGCTGCTCTTCACAAGCTTGTGGAAAGGCTGCGGTTGTCCAATCGAGTCAGCAATTTGCGCTTCAGATTGTTCTTATCCATCCGAAGCATCTTGCTTTGACTCTCATCCCCCAAGAACAGAACTCGAGAAGGCCTCGAGAACGGATTGATGTCGCAGACTCACCATCTTGACCGACTGTTTGGGGCTGAATGTCCACAAGGTCGTTGGTTGATTGTCGAAGTCAGGAACGGGGGTTCAGCAGGGCGGGTTGAGAAATCGCAAACCTTTTTGCCGTGTGGTTTGTGGAGGGGAAACCCTATGTGACGCTATTGGCTGGCCGGCCCAGCAGTGGGTCCCTGGAGACAGACTTGGGTTGGGGACGCCCAAAGGTGTGGGGGCTCAAAAGGACTTGGGTCGGGGACGTTATCGCTTATCGCTTTTCCATGCCAAGTCCCTGCGTACCGCAGTACCTCTGGCTGCCAGCAACCAATGCCAACCACTCTGCCAAACGAGCCGAGGTCCGGCAGTGCCTCTAATGAGTCCCCCATGGGGAGAGTGTCCACTGTCCGGCCTCGCCTCTCGTAACTAGGACCCAACAGCCATGCGTTCGGTCTCTTTGCAATGATTTCGTGACACTGACTTGCACAGTAGCTACACCAACAGTAAACACGTCTTTTTAGCATGCTCTCCGAGGACCAGCCAGTTGAAACCATTCTCGAGGGCATCGATGCAGAGATGGGCAGCCAGCCCAAGGTTATCCTCTTCGACATAGGCGGCGTCGTCGTAAGTCACTGAACATAGGACTCTCAGGCAGCCTGGTTCCTTTCTCACCGGTCCACGTGCTTTCGTGTCCTGGGGACTCGCTGTTCACTGCAAAACAACAAGCTATCTGTCCCCACGTTAATGTCCATCTAGGTCGTCTCCCCCTTTCAGGCAATCCTAGACTATGAGCTCAGTCTCGGGATCCCACCAGGCTGGGTCAACTACTCCATCTCCAAAACGTCTCCCAATGGCTTTTGGCACCGCCTAGAAAGGGGCGAGATCCCCCTAGACACTGCCTTCACAGAGGGATTTTCCAAGGACTTGCACCGCCCAGACCTATGGGAGGCATTCTACAAGGACCAGCGGGCCAAGGATCCGCGGTTACCGCAGTCGACGCCGCCTGTACCTAGTCTCGATGCAGACTTGCTGTTCAACGACATGATGTCTTCAGCTGTTGGCCCCGACCCTTGGATGTACCCGGCTCTGAAGACCCTCAAGGCCAGCGGGAAGTTTCTTCTCGCTGCACTGAGCAACACGGTCATTTTCCCACCGGGACACAAGCTTCACCGGCCAGACCTCTCCTCGGACCCGATCAGGAGCATCTTCGACGTCTTCATATCTTCCGCCCACGTCGGCCTCAGGAAGCCCGATCCTAGGATCTATGAGCTCGCCGTGCGAGAGGTGGACAAGTTCGCCAGAGCAAATAAGGATTCTACGAGAGGGAAATCACTGGGCTGGAAGGACGGCGTCAAGCCGGGAGACGTCCTCTTCCTTGACGACATTGGCCAGAATTTGAAGTCGGCTAGCAAGGCAGGGTTCAGAACAATCAAGGTCAACCTGGGCAGGGCTTTCGAAGCCGTAGAAGAGCTGGAGGGCGTCACTGGTCTGGCACTTGCTGGTGATCATCCAAAGATTCCAATAAAGCCGAAGATAAAGAGCTCAAACCGAGCGAAGATATAGATTCATCAATGAACAAAGAGCTGCGGAGAACTCGCATGCCACGTTGCTTCTCAAGGCCTCCGCGCAACGTACACGTAGGACACATCCACGCTCTCAACCTTGCCATCCACTGCGATCTTTGCCCATTCCTCCCGGAAGAGAGGCTTAGCCTCGATCTTGAACGACTCGGAGACGGAATTCTGTGTCAGCGGGCTGTTCACGAAATAGTCAAACTGAGAATCCGCCTCCTCGACCCCGTAAAACACCGACCCCTTGCCCGACTGCCTTTCCACCGGGACAGCCTTCTCGACCACAAGCCCCTGCCCCTCCAGTATCTCCCTGAACGAGTCGATCGACTGGATCCACAGGCGGTTCGACGGGAACGTGGCGCCCAGCCTCCTCGCGGCCTGCTCCAGGACCAATCCCGGGCGGAGATTGCACTCGTGCGTGATGTCGATGGCCATCAGCCCGCCGGGCCTCAGGTACTCCCTCCAGTGCGCCACGACCGCCGCCGGGTCCTCGAACAGGACGAACGCGCACGAGCACAGGATGGCATCAAACCCCCTCCCCTTGTCGAGCTCAGCGGCCAGCCCGCCGAGGTCGGTCACGTCGTGCTGGAACGTCCTGATCCGCCCGCCCACGCGCGGCTCCCGCCCCTGCCTCTCGCGCAGCTGCGCCAGCATCCCGGCCGAGACGTCGACCCCGACGACCTCGCCCTCCTCGCCCACCGCATCGGCGGCGATGAACGCCTCCAGCCCTGTGCCACAGCAGAGGTCCAGGACGCGGTCGCCCGGGCGCAGCGGCACGAGGGCCATGAAGCGCCGGGAGTAGTCGGGGTGCCATGAGTCCTCGTAGTTGGGGGCGCGCGTGTTGTACATGCGCTGTGCCGATTGCGGCTGGGTTTCGGTGCCGAATTCTTGCGCCATATTGTTTTGGTGTTGATTTGTCAATCGAGGGGTTTATCGGGTGGTCTGGGTTCGAACGGTTAATGCCCGCAACTAGGTGAACATTTTAGGTACCTGTCGAGAGGAGAGATGAGCGTAACAGACAAACAGGTAGCGGACTGTGAGATGCTCTTTTATACCGGCTGCCAATGAGTGGTCTAGACGTGCGAGGTGAGTAAGCACGGCGGAACAATGGAGCGCTGGTCTGTGAGGGTGTCGTCACAATGCGTGACAGACTGACCCCGGGCACTTCAGGCTGCTTCCGCCCGTCCTCATTGGCGGCCCGCTTGATGAGGCAGTGAACTTTTCTGATGAAAAGGCATTCTAAAAGAGAAAAAAAAGATGATTCCAGTACAGCTCGAACTCGGGATCTCCTCTTGATAGAAACAGTGAATTCGCAAAGACGGGGAGAAAAAAGGACAAAAAAAGAGGGGCTCGAAGGAGCCCAATGCCAACGATGATCCAGTTACTTATAGCAAGTAAGTGACACCAGAGCGGCCGGTTTTGTGGAATATTGCAAATATAGTCTCGCGCCATTACCACTACACCATTCCTCCATGCTGGTTCGTTGATTTCAGTTGAAAGAGCCAGCCTATATAATGGAATCAAGTTGTGTGCAGCACAGGTACCCCCCCCCCCCGGGTCATGGAGCCGCTGGCTTCGGGGCACCCCCCCACATTTTCAGACACTTTTCAGAATGTGAAAAGAGAGTTTTTATGTACATCGCATCTCCCCCGCTGGGAGTGCGAGCTCTAATACTGCTTGCAGTGCTGGGCCTGGCCTCGTATTCCGCAGTGATGTCCTGCCCGCTGAGCAACATGGCAGCAATGAGATGCCTCACTATGTTTGCTTCTCACCGGTAACACGACTCGACCTTGTTTTAAAGATGCCCAGTAATTTCAGTAACATCTAAAAGGTTAGGAACACGCAGAACAGTTCTTCATTCCCATAAAGCAATGATCAAGGAGACATCCTCCACGGGTCACCATGTTCGGTGTCAGCACTGAGCCGCCCTCCCATCCCGTGCTGAGCCCAAAAGACATAAGGCGCAACAAAATCCATGTTGACGTGCCAGAAGAGTAAAATACCTAGAAATCAATCAATAGAATTAATTCCAGCCTCAGTGTCTGCCAGACGATATTTGGTAGGTATCAATCTATTTGCAGGAGAGGTCTGGTGGTCGGATGGAGTGGGTGTCCAATCATCTTACATGAATGCCGTCTCAAGCGGGTCCCGTCCTCCTCAACCAAATGTCCACATACCGCCACCATTGCACCTCTGATAAAATTACAAGAAATATGAGGTTCGAATTTGTATTTAATACAGTTCTATTCTGTATATTGAAATCAGAATCCAGCTTTCAAGATAAAAGGCACCAGGTAGCACGACTTCTTGCAGTAGGGATATGCATCACCCGCACTGGCCGAACAGCGCAAAACCTGACCGTTTCAAGATCACCGATCACTCACAGCTGACGGTCAGTTGGCATTGCCATTTTAAAACCTTGCATCCAGAACCTGAGCCAAAAGACACGTGTATTGACGCGGGGAAGTAGGTTGGCGTAGGTAGCAAGCTCTTTAAACAGTGCTGATGCTGGCTCATCACATACTGATGATGGCTGCGTCGTGGACTTGTGTGTGAGGCTCTCAAAAGTTGAGACTACGTGATTTCCTACGGAGGAAACCTCAATTACCAAATACTCTCCCTGATATCTCCCATGCACGGCCCCTCAACCCCTTCACGTCAGACCGCCACAGCAACATTCTCCAAGCTGGGGTGCTTCCTCGTGAACCGACCATCCGCAAGTATCCTCGCCTCATGAAGCAGCGAAGCCGAGGAAGCCGCCGAGGATATACTGGCCGCGTCACCAATATCACCACCCCGACCGTCGACCCCCTTCCGCACGATCCAGAGAAGGCCGGCACAGACGACATAGATCCCAGCCGCCACGTAGAAAACCAGCGCAAGCCACGCCTCCCGGCCCCGAAGCACCGTCCCTCCGACAATAAGCCCTCCACCATCACCATCAGCCCCAGGCGCCAGCCCGTGCCCCAGCCCAGCCTGGAAGACAGCGCCAAAGCCGACCCCGCAGCAGAGGAACCCCAGCATCTCAAAGACAGCAAGCAGACCAAACAGCCGGCCGCCCTGCCCCCGGCCCACAAGCCGCGCGAGGACAGCACGGCAGAGGCTAGGCAAGCCCGAGCCGAGCGTGAGGACCGCGAGCCCCGCGCACGCCGCGCCGACCTCCGGCGCGCACGCAAAGACGGCCTCGCCCGCGGCCAGGAGGAGCGCCGAGGCGCGGGCGAGGACCATGTCGCGGCCGCGGCCGTCCTGCGTCGACAGCAGCGAGTTGCTGACGACGGGGAGGAAGACGAGCAGCACCAGGATGTTGAGGCCCGTCCGCACGCCGAGCACCATGCCCGTCTGCGCGAGGGTCCAGCCGAAGCGGAGGGGCATGTACCGCAGCGTGATGCCCATCGTCACCGTCACCACTGGGGTGGCGAGGGTTGCGCCGGGTGTCAGGGCGAGGGCGTCGCGGGACTTGAGGAGGCGGGCGGTGGAGGCTAGGGAGTCGCGGAGGCGGGCGTATGTGGACGGCGGCGGGGCTGGTTTGGCCTCGGGGGCGTACTTGTGGACTCGGTCTGTGAACGTGAGCGGTTTGGGAACGGCGGGCGTGACCTTTCGACGGGTGTTGCTGGGTGAGCTGGGCTTTGTGTGCAGCGTCTCGGGTATCAGACAGATCAGCGTCCCGCCCAGGGCCATGACTGCCGGTGACACGAGGATCGGGGTCCAGACGGAGTAGGTCATCATGGCTGATGCGACGAAGGGCGCGACCGCCTCGGCGAGGAGGACGGCGCATATCTCGAATTGGAAGTAAGTTGCTCTGACCAGGAGAGCAGACAGTCAGCGGCAGTCGTGCAAGCGCTCAAGACGCCTCGCCGTGTGGGAACAAAGTCTTACGTCTTCCCCTCAGGGGCGACATCTGCGATGATGGCAAACACCATGGCCTCTGCGACAGTCGCCCCGCCACCAATCAGCAAGGGCAGGGCCGAAAACCAGACGTTGCGCAAGTCCCAGCGCGGGTGGTTCCAGGCAGCGGCGATCCAGATGAGTTGAGACAAGATCATGCCCCAGATACAGAGGCCCAGGACAGGCTTGCGACCCCGTCGGTCGGCAAGAGAACCGTAAGGGAGTGCGACCAGGATGCCTGGTACCGTGAGCGTTGGTGGCTGGGCCACAGGGACAGAAGCGGTGCTTACCAGGAAGGTATCCGAACACCAAACCACCCATAGATACAACGTTCAGCTGACCCTGGACTGCATCGGTGTGACACTTTCCCTCCTCGACCGGGCTGTCAGGAGCGAGACCGAGTTCTCTGCGACATATGATCTCCTGGAGGAGGCGGACTGAGGGCACATCGGACAGGCTGGCCCCGAACTCTGCGATGAAGACGAGAAGCCCAAGCACGGCGACGATAAATCGTGGTGAGCGCCTCTTCTCGGAGGGTTGCTGGGGCCGTTGGCGGTGCATGTCGTAGCTTGTTGCTGAGGTGACAACGTCGTCGTCGTCGGCCAGAGTGGATCTGCCAGCAGAGCTTTGGGAGTGAGACGGTGATAGTTTCTGTACGGGATGCATACTGGTATCGTGATATCCTCGATACTCGAGATGTGGGAAACGAGCGGTGGTGTCGTGTTGTTGATTCGAAATGCGAGGACAGGACGGGTGGATTGTGCTGCTTGAACGTTTGCACTCGTATTTTGGAAGGCACCAGGACGACCTATCCAACAACAAAAACAGACGATGTTTTGGAGAGCTTGTAACGCAAGAAGCAGGCAGCGATGCAGTAACGTCAAGATCTTAAGTGGAGTCCATCTGATCAACATTGTCACCAGGCGTGTTGCGTAAATGGTGCCCCGCATGGCATGGTCCCATTCACAAACTCCAAGGACAATTGAACCATTTGGTGCCTTCGAGAGACCAGTCAAGTCACCTTGTAGGTTTTCAAACGCTCCGACCAGGAACGGTGTGGGGACAAACGGTGGAATAGAGCCCAGCCAGGTTCCTTAGACAGAGAAACCCCGAATGAATATACATCATCGCAACGAATCTTTCAATGCACAGTGAGTCAACAGCAGGTGAGCAGGCCTGCCAACGAGAAGATTGTCCAAGAGACGGGGTGGTGTTAGAGTCATCAAATTCATATGCCTTCGTAAATCATCACTGCACTTTATAGACTAGACACGACAAGTACATATGTACCAATAGAAATACACCGGCAGGTTTCCGTCGCAGTGTAACTGATCTTGCGAGGAAGAGAAAGAAGAAAGGGGGATGGGATGACCCCAGGTAAAAGAAGGGTTCAAAGGGGTATCCAAAAAACATCTAATCCAACCCAAGTAAGGTGTACCAGACCATAAAACCAAAACCGTGCATGCCTGTGTGCCTGTCTGCCCAAATGGGCCTTTTTACTCCTCTTCACCTTCGGCATCCTCGTCCCCGTCCCCAACAAAAATCTCACTAGCTACCGAGGTCACCGCTGGCGAGGTCGCAACAATCACAGGCGAAGTCGCTGCTGCTGCTGCAGTCGCGGCCGCGGCCGCCGCCGACTTCTTCCTGCCCGTAGTGCGGCCGTCACTCGCCGGACGGAGGGGGTTGTTGAGCACCCACTTCCCGGTGGGCATCTCCTGCCTGGCAACGGCGACATCGGGCCTCGCCACCCAGGCCATGAGCGACGGGTCTGTGGGCCCACCAAACACAACCGGCTCTTCCGCCCCGGTGGCGGCCTTCTCGAGGTGCCTCGCGACGTGCTCCATGCGCTGGTCCCACGCGTCGACGCCGTTGAAGGTCTGGGTGCAGTGGGGGGCGGGACACTCCATGTAGTCCGGCAGTTGGCAGCGCTCGCGCAGCGCCTTGTTCTGGAGGACCTTGATGTTGTCGTCCCAGTCGGCGGGGCTGGCGCAGGACGATGCTTGCAACGAGGCCGCGGCCTTCTTGGACGACTTCGCAGACCCCGTCTTCTTTATGTGTGCCGGCGTGTGCATCCGGCGTAGGTGCTGGGTGTACAGGTCTTTGCGGTTGAAGATGGCGCCGTCTGGGAGGGCGGGTCCGAGGAGCTCGCACGCGGCGGCGTTCTCAGCACGGCGGCTCTTGTTTCGCTTGCCGCCGTGCGAGTGTGGCGCCGTCGGGTTGTTCTTGTTGTGCGCGCACACGTCGATGTCACACAACCAGTAGTACAGCAGGAGGTGCTGAGACATGACGTGGCGTTTCCACTCGTTCTTGCTTGCAAAGGTCGACTGACATCCTGCGAACCTGAAAACACAGATGAAAGGCCGGGTGTGCTGCTTTTTGACGTGGCTCTGAAGAGTACACTCGTCTTTGAACGAATGGGAGCACTCTGGGCAGAGGTAAGAGCCTTGGGTTCTGGCACTTGGGGGTGGAAGGATCTTGAGTGGCTGTACCGACGAGGCCGTCCTCGCTCTTTTCGGCGCCGGCCTGTCGAGGGGCTTCTTGGCTGCGCCTCTCTTCAGCTTGTTGGACCGCGGTGCAGCAGAACCGGCATGTTTCCTGTCCGGGCGATAGTCGCCATCATCTTCGTCGTCGTCGCTTTGGAAAGCGGCGACGTCTATCCCTTCCAGGTCGTCCTCGCTTGCTCCAGTACTGGGGCTGGGGTATGCACTTGGCGTTTTCTCTGCGGGTACGACATGTTCAGGAATGAGTATCTCATCTTTGATAATCGTAGGTGTGTCTTCTGGGCTGGCTAGGCGGCCGTAGCTGGGGCCAGCTGAATCTTGCGTGGCTGCGCCGGCGGCGTCCGTGGAGTCCGCTGTCTGGCTTCCGCCGGTGAAGCTGTGTTGCGGCGTGTCGAAGTCGATGGCTTGGCCCGAGTCTTCCCATCCGGTCTTTGAGTCTTCGATGTTGTTGCAGTCTCCCATTGTCATAAATTGGCCGGCTTCACCAGGCACTTCACCTATTCCAAACAACGGAAGCTGGCCTTCGGGCTCGTAAAATCCGGGACGCGCCGAGGTGTACTGGGTAAAGAGCATCGTGTCAGATGGTGTGGAGGGTGTGTTGTCAGTGTAGAGATCGCTGTCTGCGTGCGGGCTCTGGCCACCGCTGCAACTTGATGGCTCGTTTGAGGAGAAGGGTGATCCTTGACGACCATGTGAGGCTGTGGGTGGAAGGGCATGGACAGGCTGTGTAACACTTGGAGCCTGTGGCTGTGGCATGGGGTTGAACAATGAAGCACGTTGGTTGTCCTTCAAGAATCTCTGCATTGATGAGTGACCGTAGAGATCCAGTGGCTCAGCTGAAGTATCATGACTTGGGAAGCTTAACAGCATGTCTGGGCCGGTGGTGTCATAGTCATCGGTGAGGGTTTGTGTGGGGAATGCCTGGCTATGAGGGAAGAACTGATAGGTAGCGTCGAACGAGAAGCTAGAGTACTCCATGTTGCCTGCTGTATGTTCTAACAAGCCAGGGAGTCCACAGATGAGCCACTCGTAGGATGTAAGAGTTGTCCGAGCAGGATCTGGACCTGCAGGAAAGGAGCCCGTAAGAGAAGGCTGGCTATTGTTTGGACAGCACCAGTCGACGGGCAAGAAGCAAGGCTCTGGAGAGTGGCCAGCCTCGTGTGATGAAGTCGTCAGCTAGGTATGGGGGCAAAGTACACAGTCCCACGCCGAAGAGTTGCAGGATCAGATACTAAGTGCTGAGAGGGGGCCGACACTAGGCAGACGGCAATGAAAGATTATATAAAGGATGGATCTCTCGACTGAGAAAACTGATAAAAACACTTCGCTGAAGTGGATTGGGGTGGTGGAAGCCATGGCGGGCGACATGGGTGGCGAAGCAAAGTGCCCTGAGGGTATGTATAAGAGATCGCTTAGACGACTCGAGCAGAACGACGAAGAGAGACACACTGGCTGCCGGACACCGGGTGCGAGCTTTGCTGGGAGCTCCGTGGGACTTCGAGCAGAGCCGCATTTTATGGAGACCTGATTTCCTTGCCCAATGGAAACGTCCCGCGGGTATCTCACCAGCCCAGTCAAGGATCTCGTAGGCCAATCTTTCTCGCTCCTTTCCCGCTTGTCTGTTCCTTCCGTGCTGACGCCAGGCTTCGCCTGGGTGTCCTTGCATATGTAACCCCCTTGGACCTCGACCCCGGCCAACAGAATGGGGGCACCCGGAGCTGAGGTGGTTCGCTTGTGCTCTCGAGGGCCATTAAAGTGGACAAAGGAGCTGCGCCCCTGCCCACCGAAGGACGTTGCAACTGTAACTCTTGGTCGTGTTACGGCACGGCACCCGATCGGGGCGTGAGCTGACTTATCATGACACCCCTCCCCTTGCCGTTCGCGAGCCGCCCCGGTGTGGGTGCTCACTACCCAAACCCAGTTGGATTGGTGAAAAAGCAACTGTATGATGCCACCCCGAGTTCAGCTTGAGGCTCTGCCCTGGGGTTCCCTGCCTGTCCCGTTCTCGAGAATGCGTATGCTGACTGCTGATCTTGTAGGATTACGATCCTGACGCAGATGGACTATACGTTAGAGGCTAGATGTCTTTCAACCTTGGAGAAGGTTCGTAGTCATCAAGAAACACGTGTGTCGAATCTGCCGTCTCGCAAGCACCTGGAAGGTTGTGCCTTGGCTGCCAGGCTGACACTCCGCTTGTTAGGCACACGTACGAGGCGATCTGAGGGCGGACCTGACCACAACGCCGGCCAGTTTTGTTTTGCCGATGCTGTGCCCCATTCCAGGGCGCTAAGTGCTATCTTAGCTGTCGAGACTGTTCAGCCCCATTTCGTGGAGCACAGCTGTCCATTTCGTCTTTGGTCCTTTGGCACGCACCAATGTCAGACTTCCTCCATGGGCTGGTGGTGTGGTGCGTGGTCACACACGGAGGCCGATACACTAGGCCTGAACCAGGCCTTTTCTCACGCAAGCCGGGCGACGGCACCCTTGTCGACAACAATCTCAGTGAGGGGCTCAGGCCAGTCAGAGTGAGCCCTGCCATCCTGGGGAAGTGGATCTTTACTGGAAGCGCTCTCAGTGGAGGGTAAGAGAGGTAAGCATGTGGCACAGCAGAGCCAACCATGGGTCCTCGTTCTGAAATTTCATTTGAGATGTTCGACTCTGGCAGCTCTGGCAAACAAGACAGCCAGTTTTGAGCCGCACGGTCGCATCGACGATGCAAACTCAGGCCGCTCTTTGATCTGGACCCCAAATTGGGACCAGCATACAGACTGGGTAGGAGCAGCGGCACGGAGATTACCTTTGATCAACCAGTGATGATCGTGCAGCTGGGCCGTTCATTTGAGATTGACAAACAAAGAAGCGTTGCATGGAGCCAACCTCTCAAGTAGGATTTGACAACACCCAAGAGACAACGCTGATGCCGAGGGACACAGCCAGGAGTCGGATAGTAGAGGTGCGTGGAAATGAGGTACTAGGCGAGTGAGTGAATGAGTCGGGGACGGCAACGCCCTGAACCTTGGAACGCTTCCCACCCTGCGAATGGCATGTTGCATTGCTGCAGGCAAACAACACTAGCCGGAAGGCGCATTTCGACCTGTCAAGGCCTCTCTCGGTTGCACTGGTCTGCTTGATTCGCTTGAGCAGCGTTGTAGTTGCCTTGTAAGGCGACCGATTGTCCTTCCTGCCTGGAACGGGCGAACCAGGCTGGTCGCACAGGTTGGAGGAGCCGTCTCACCCCCCCCTCCCGGCTTGCATTATCTTCTCGCATCCAGCTTATCAAATTTTGATGGCCCTCCTCTGCCCGTTTTGAGCGGTATCGAGACACTGTAACCCTGAAGACTGAAAACGCCCGAAAAGAACAGTGGCTCCTCGGCAGTCTGAGTGAGCGCACCTACAGTAAACTCCAAGCCCTTGCGCCTGGATACGAACGAGAACAATGCGTGACATTCTAACCCAATTGTCATCACTCATGTTTTTAAAAAGGCTCCCAATCATACTGGTGCAGTCATTGCTCTGGGGGTAGGACATGGACCCTGCAATTGCTGCATTTCTGATGGCCGTCACAGTGATCCATGCAGCATATGGCGGTGGTGCTGGTGAGGGATGGATTGCTACAGTGACACTAGACAAGGTGATGTGGTCAGCTTCAAGATGGGGAACGAGATCAGCTTAGTACGTACGCAAAACCAAAGAGTCTCAACCGCAACCCTCGGTCGTTTCCGAGGGGTTGGTTGCTGTGCCAATGCATCTCTCTTGCGGCCTTTGCTCGGGCCTACCGAAGAAGAGGACGAGGACTGGGACGACGCAGTGGGGTTTTCGCGGTCAGAGCCAGGCGAGCTGCTCGCAGGTAGATCAGGATCCACGCTCTTCCACTCGGATATGTCCATTCTAGAGCCAAGGCGGCCCGAGTAGTGATCATCGATGTGGTTGAAGCGCTCCGTTCCGGACTTGTTCTTTCCACTTATCTCTACAACAGTCTTGCAGAAGCCGCACCAGAACCTGCTCTCGGAGTCGCGCCCGACTCGGCAACGAGCAAGCTTTTGGTCGATCTCGGTTGGATCCGTTATCGCGTGCTCTTTAGACACATGTGCCCTGAACTGTTCGCGACGGTGGCAGGCCTTGCCGCATTTTTCACTGGGGTCTAGCCGGCTCGGCTCGCTACACTTCCACAGTTCGAGCTGAAAATGTTGGCTGTTCTCGTGACGCTTCCAGTCATTCTTGCTACCAAAGCGTTTGTCGCATTGTGAGTAAGTACAACCGTACGGCTTTTCGTGTCGTTTCTTATGCTTCCTGTAGCACAATTTAGCGAGGCAATTATCAGGTAAGAATGATGGGCCAGGCTCACTTGAGTTCGCAGGGCCTTGGAAATACTTTGCCACAGTTTGGCACGTCGCACATCACCGAACTAGCATCGCTGACAGCACTGCTAATTGAGTGGCTTGTCAAGGGCGTTCTGTCGGGTTGCCTGGGCTTTTGGTATCCAAGCTCTTGCAAGAGGCCTGCGAGGGTGCCTTGATGCTCCAAGGCCTTGATCCACTCAGACGCTTCATGCCTGTTGGGAACCAAGCTAGATGGCTCCGAGGATAGCACCGACACAGCCGGGTATTCCGCGGAGGCGGTATGAGCTGCCTCGTCAAGAGCTCGCTTGTCACGAGCACTTGGTATAGTGACCGTGGCTAGAGACACGGCGTCCACTGTCACGCTGACCTCGGGCCTGACTGGATAGTCTTGAACGTCCACGTTCTCCGACTCGCACGATACCGAATCAGTGTCATCCTCAATTGTCTCTGCTATGTTGTCATGGTTCTGTAGGGGTTCCTTCATGTTCGGCATGGATACTTCGGTCTGTGTAGTAGAGGGCAGCTGTTCGTCATCCATCTCGCTCACATTCCCGGATTCATCGTCCAAGTACTCCGGTTCAATGAACTCGTCTTCAGAAGCAGAATCGGAAACACCATCTAGAGTTTGCTGCTCATGTTGGTCTTGTTGCGCGTGGTCGAGCTGCATGGAGGTACTATCATCTCCTGGGCTAGCCGACGGAATTTGTACAGCAGCCTGAGGCAGTTGGCCCTCCGCATCATTGGATGCCATCAAGTGAAGCTGTTGATTTGCGGTGTTTGCATCCTGGTACTGATTCATCTGTTGCCCCGTATAGCCTAGGTTGGCAGAGTACCTCGGTGGTTGCTCCTGGATTGCTGGCGAATAGCCCGGCCATTTGTCATAGTGGTTGGCATCCATGCGCAAATCGGCCCCTACGGATCCCACACCAGCTAGGTCAGGGCCGGGTGAAACAGGTTCTCTTTACGATGCAGTTAGCGGTGGTGTTGTGGAAAGGGGGGACCTGTATAGCGGCTCACTTGTACACGTAGTCCTCGAGATCATCATCCCGAGGGATCACATTATGGACCCTCTTCAGATGCTGCCTGAAATTGTCTGCCCGAGGCCATTTCTTTTCCTTCTTGCGGCAACCCGGAACGATGCATCTGTAGCATTTGCCATTGGCTTGCTGTTCAGGATGGCAGCTTCTCTTGTGCCGATCGACGTCATTCGGTGTGCTGAAGCCTTCGGTACGTGTGCAGCCAGGGACGTCGCAGCGGTGAGGCTTCTCGTGCTTCTGCTTGTGCTTCCTTGATGTGTTTCTTAGCATGACAAGATTTCAAGACATGCAATACCCGGCTTGAGAGGGGGCCATACTTCAACTCAGACTTGGTTTTGACCTTTTGGTGACAGGTTGGGCAAACCAGACTACCGCTGTCTACAGCCAAGACCAATGTGGTTGTCTGCATTGATGCCTGTGCCCAAGCTTCCGAAGAGAATGGAGTGCGGTCTACTTGAAGGCCAGCAAGGTGGCTCGAAATGCTCCCATTCTCACCACTGCGGTCGGCATCCCCACAGGCTGAGCCGTTGAAGACGCTCTGCGTAGCCCTGCTGTGATAGCCAGAGTCTGACGGCAACGCTCCTGGCCCGGTTGTCTCGCATTCAGATGGCACATGGTTCTCCCGGTAGGTGGAGTAGGCTTGTCCACCCAGGCGATGGTAATTCAGTTTCGCACCTCGCAAGTCACCAGATCGTGGCAGTGGTACAGCTCGACCATGAATGGGGTCCCATGGTTTCTCCGGGGAATTGTACCAGTCTATGAATGGGTTGCGCGGGGCAGGCCGTGCAAAGGCCTCGTGTGGCTGGAGGTTCCGGTTGATGGCTGGTGTTTGCAAGTCACCAAGACCATCCATGAAGCCGGGGATGGCAGGAGTGGGTAAAGCTATGCCACCGGAGCTGGTCAGATCGGGCTCAAGGGGCCGTGGACGCCCGCCTATGTTGCCGTTGAACGAGACAGGGAGCATGAATGCCTAAGCGGGGGGCAGGTTAGAAGAGACAGTTGGTCACTACGGGGCAGCAAAGAGTAGGCAGCATACCGAGACTGAGCGTTGCTCCGGGATGGGGAAGGAAGTTTGTTCGGCCATGATGTTACAATCAACACCAAGTAAGCCCTCGGCGGAAGATGACGTCGCAGATGAGGCACATGTGTTGGTCCTGGATTGCCTCAAAGCGCTGGCCGGGGCAGATGCGCTGTTCAGACGAGCAGGGCACTGCTGGGCCGCCAGAGAATGGGAGGCGAACTGCAGGCGTCAGAGCGATGGTGGTGTAAACACAGGAGGATGGATGCCAACAAGCCTGCAAGCCCGCCCAGATAAGTGTTCCTGGATGGGATGAAAGGCCGCAAGAGCGTACACGGCGGCGCGCCCGGGCTTGGACGAGCACTGGGTGCAGGCTATTACCGGCTGGTTGGAAAGCCGTTGATGCGATGGAAAGCTGGAATCGCTGGTTCCACTTGCCTGAAGGCGGGTGTGGGCGGGCGAACCAGGCAGGCGAACCACGGGCGAACCACGGGCGAACCAGACCAGGCGAGCGTGCGCGGATGGGAATAAAAACCCCACTGACAGACCGACCGACCACCTAGGTAGGCAGGTACTGTGCGACAGGTGTCTGCGTTGGGAGGCCACTGACCAACGATCTCTTGTGACAGGGTTGGTTATGCCTGGTGGTCTTTCAACATCCCATTTTCCCCTCGGACAAGACGTCGATTCCGATGCAAGGGAAGTGGTGTTCGTCTGGGGGGACGAGATCGAGTCATGAGATGACGGGCTGCGTCCTTTGGGCCATCTCAAATCTCATCAGGATGATGCACGGGTGAAGGGAAGACGGGAATGCAGGCCGGCAGGCCGGCAGTCGAGCTTCCAGAGAGGGATAGAATGGGCGATGGGGGAGCGTCGTAAGCTGTGGATCAACGTCGGTGTCAGTGTCGGTGTCGGTGTTGGTGGCAGGTAGCGATAGTGAGTGATAGTGGCAGTGTCGAAAAGTGTCTGCTTGTCTCGGGGGGTGGTAAGGCAACCAAAACCAAGCCACCTTCCGGTCTATCGGTCGCTTGTTCGCCTCACTTTTTGACTTTTCCCACCTCTTTGGGGGCCCTTCTTCCTGATTGCAGCACCACCTGCAGCCCGTAACCCAATGGGAAGGCGCTGGAGTTACGGCATCAACCACCCCTTAGACAGCCTACCTAGTGCCTCTTGTCCCTCCCTGCCCGCCCGCCCGCCGCTGCTACTGAGTCCTGCCAAGTCCACCGCCAGCGCGACACGAGAACCGGTCTCGCCTGCACGGTAAGGATCGAGGAAAAGGCAACCATGCCAGATCACGTGCACTCGTGACAAGACCTCGTTTCTCAAGCATCCAGCATCCCACGCTTTCACCATTCAACTCGAAATATTAAAAGTCGTCATGAGAATTATTCTGACAAGGTCCAAGGCTCAATACGGTCTAATCACGATGACCGCCAGAACAACCTCATCTTCCGTTTGGACGCCATAAATTGCCGACCGTCCTCGTCTCGTCTTGAATTTCATGGAGGCAAGTGGGACCTCTTTCGGACCGCGGTGCACGTCTCCTTCATTATGTGCCGCCGGTGCATTGGACCCAAACACCTGTCGTCCCTTCTCAGCGAGTTAAGCGAGAATCCCGTTCCAGGTTGGCGGCTCGGGCCTTCCCTCCCCCCACCCACAATCGGCCTGTCCATGGCCATACGCCTGTGCCCAGTGTTAGCGACGACGAGGCTTCCCTTGTTCACCTATGCAGGAGCTTGCCGGCATTCAATTCGTCCTTGTGCGGCACAGCGACAAGACTCATATTCCCCTTATGGCTCGCGTCTTGGCCGCTTCACTCGTTGATACAGACTCCTGAAACGGTCACACGCCGGCTGGAGACTTGGACAATCAACTACCCAAGCAAGGAAAGCGAGATGCAGACGTGGCTGACAGCATCTCAACCGGTCGTCTGCCTCGCTCACTTACCGTCCAGGTGCCCACCTTGTTTCTGACCAAGATCATGGCCTTCTTTGAGGAGGAAAGGCACCTGTGCCGCGCGACGACATGCAGAGAGTGATTCCCCGGTTATTGCAACACTCTAAGCCAAGCGGCCGGATGTCCTGCAGCTGCATTGATTGTAATGTTCTGGCCAGTCAGCCTTGGGCAACGTGACCTTGCAGGGAAGCCTCGTCATGAAAATCTGCGCTTGCACTCCTAGCCTCTATCTTGGCGTGTTCTCTCCTGGAGGCCTTTGGACTCAAGTCATATTTTCTGAACACGGATATGTAGGCCTCAAGAAAAGCAGATGGTACAGCTTACCTTTACTGCAGCTGCAGTCTGCCTCCCATGGAAGGATTCCGCGGGTAACCCGACAGAATGCGTGGGCTGCCGGATTAGACCGGTCGAAAATCTGGCTAGATTGTGTTACTTTTGAGAAGTTCTAGATGTTGCAATCTGCAGCATGCCTAGAGAAGAATATTCTGGAATGAGCGGCACGGAAACCTGCGCTTCCTTGCCAGTGTCTGCAGGTCACCCATCGCACACTCGCACGAGGTTTTGTTTATTTGTTTATTTTGCGGTACCTGTTCGATGACGACCATTTTTGTGACGCATGGTCTGAGAATGAGACGAGAGCATACCAGAAAATACTCAATCCCCGGTCAGCAGAAAATCATCGGGGTATTCCATAACAACTGGATCACACGGTACTAGATCGACTCCACCTGATTTTGTTTGCTTGCCCCTCTTGGCTTGCAGGACCAACCATGACCGGTTCTGGCTTGGAGATACGCAGCTCAAGTGACGTCCTCTTTTCTTCTCAAACGGAAATCTTGGATGCTGGGGCCTGCTCCCACAAGAAACGAGGACTTCTTCGTGATATCATCTGCCCTTGCTGTGTCGACAGTGTATTTTGGTGTGAGGTGTTACAACAAAATGCTGACTACTGCAATCTCTATCAACATCACGATCTCTCAGCATCTTCCATCAAGGTTGACAGTCGTTCACATGCCACGTCTGCCTGAAGATCTTCTGGTCATGCGGTTGTGCTCACCTCTTGCCGCTGCTGTCCCTTCTCAGGATAGTTCCCCGGAGGGGCCGGCCACACAAACCCGTGCCGGCATCAGCACTGGTCCACAATGCGAATATCAAGCAACATGACATGTGATAAATCGACTGCAGATGAGATGACTTGAACTTCTCATGTGCAGGATAATGGCGTAGTCGAGAAAGAACCCGAGTACAGCATCATAGCATCTTGCTGCTGTGATGGCAGAAGCGCGCAAGTTTGCTTGAATATGCTCACCTTGCAGGCAACGGGGCCATATGGCTGGTCATGAGAGCATCATGGAATTCTATAAAGAGGATATGGGCACTCGGCGCGGCCGAAAGGGCCTCTTCGCCTCACAGCTCACACAAAGCCTCTCAAAATCCCCGAGTGGTCACCAACACGCAAGTCTGGAGACATCGCCTTGGACTGTCAAACACTTCATTCGCGGGTCTAACTGCACCGCGAGACACAGAGGCTGTGCTTGAACGTATGTCACCAGACACTTCTCTTCTGAGCTGTCGCCCCACCAGTGGTCTGTCTCAGAGAACTTGGCGGCTGACGAATGCTGGCAGATTCAACACCCAATCGATTATCAACACCTGGAAGACAGGTCACGTCACAATGTGCGACTGGGAAGAGTTCATCTTTGGCTGCTCCTGCTCCTACACCAAGCGCAAGAGCTACTGCCATTTTGCCCGCAACGACCCCAACCACCAGTGCTTCGGCGTGCAAGTCCTCAAGAAGGTCTGGGAGGTGCCTGAGATCTGCGACAAGTGCAGCCAAAGGAACAACAGGACATCTTCGCGAGCATACCAGCCCTATGGACAGGAACCCGGTGAGTCTCCAGCTTGCTATAATCGATCCGCTGTTGGGGGCGTGCTTCAAGGCTGATGAAACTGCGCATGCAAAGGCCACCGACGTCGATGAGGAGCCGCACGGCTACGGACAGCTGCTCCGGTGACTCCGGCGGTGCATTGTTCGTCATTTGTGCTGGAGACTTTCGGAATCAGTATGACCCTGGTGGGTCTCTCTTTGGATGGAGTACATCTTGGGCTAAGTGCATGAGTTTCACCCCGTCTGCGGATGCAGGATATTCTCCCGCTTAGAATGGATCCCAACATAGTGGTATTACCTAGGGTTACATATCGCGATCTCTTGGCTGTGTAAATACCTACTTAAGTAGGCTTGTCGTTCACTGCCTGGAAGATTTCTTACCCGGGCAATCAAAAAGTCTGTTCTACGATGTCGTGGACCCTTTCGATGGTGCAACATTCCACAGTGAAAATCTCCCGAGCCACTTCATGTTGAACTCATGTGACGGAAAATTCTCCTAGACCGGTCGAGGTATGCACGATTTGGTGGGACAAATCTTCTGCAATACTGCGAGCACTCGCTGAAGTTTCGTACGTTACGCGGCATAACACTGTGACGGCAGTCTCAAGGCAGGTTTTTTCACAGTGGAAAGCCCAGCGTCTTGATCGATTCCGGAAAGGATGACAGTGAGGCGGCATAAAAATCCTCCGCATACAGATGCTTCACATGTCTGGCACCAATCTAGATCGCTGTGTCCTCAAAAAGAAGCGCCGTGGGACGATAGAAGCCCGGGATGAGAAAGCTCCGCCATCGCCGTGTATGGAAGCACAGCGCAGGCAAGGACAATGACGAGGTTGGAAACCGGTATCTGCGAAACCTTGCGGCCCCCCTGCAAAGGGCCAAGGTACTAGGCGTCAAGGTACAAGGGCGAGCGGGAGCCTGCTCCAAGGACACACACGGCAAACGGCCCGGCTCGAAACGACACACTCGTGGGGGAAAACGGCTGGCAGACGATATGGCATGTGGCTAACCGCTTCAATAAATCCCAGGCCCCTTGCTTCCAGGACCCCTGCTAGGAAGTCTGGTGTATCCCAATGCTGCGCGTCCCATGCGCCCGAGCTATCTGCCGGGGCGGCGACGGAGCATGGCATCGCCGGCAAGGCGCACTCGGCTAAAGACACACAGAATGAGCCCCAGAGTCCTACCACAGATCGCACTTCGAAACCAGCACCCTTCTTACTGCTGATCCTCGCTGGAAGCTGCGGCCCGGCGCGCGAGATGACGACCCGCGTGTCTTAGCTGGAGGATGCAGCGGCGGTGGCCTCGGCGGGCTGCTCGTCGTCGAAATTCGTGGCGCCCTCGACGGTCCCGACGACGTTGTACCTGTTGGAGAAGAACTTGATCCAGTCGTTTAGGGTCCCCTTCTCCTTGTCGGTCAGGTCTTTCCACTCTGGCGAGACGTCATCCGGGTTGGTGGAGGTTTTCGCGAGCGCCCTGGAGGCATCCTTGCCGGCGAAGACTTTACCAGCAGTTGTTTGTCAGTGGTAATCACGTCGGTAGGCGAGTGCATCATATGAAGAGAATCAACAAGGAAAACCTTGACGATCTCAAGAAGCACGGGTGGTCTTACCGTTGTATGAGTTCCCGGGCTGGTACATCTTGTTGCCGGTCACATCATATACCTTTCCCTACAACGAGTGAGACTCTGACCGTACAAGACTGTCTCACGAACAAGGATTCATACCTTGATTGCGACGTAGCATTTCGCTCCCTCCTTGCCTGCGAAGACTGGTCAGCGACGATGTACCGAGGAGAATGAGCCAGTCACCCGGCCGAGCATCAAAACGTTTTGATCGCAAGCATATGACACCCGCATGCACTCAAAAAGAGTGAGCCAGCTGTGTTCAGGGATAGGAGTAAACCATAAAGTTCAAACTCCAAAGCACTTGATCTTACCATCGGCTTTGGCAAGCTCCTCCAGAGAAATAGGGTCGTCCTTGGGAGGGGCCAGGTTCACGGGAGTCTTGGGCTTAAAGTCCGGCATCTTCGTTGATTTGGTGATGCAAGTGTGCTTCCGATTCACCTGAGAGGTTGAAGGCTATTCTGAAACGTTCAACGGTGAAAAGGCGGCTTATGTATTGCAACAATGAGAAGCAGAAGCTGATGCGAGACACACTACCCTGTAGGCAGTGATTCGTACTTGTTTGGTGCTCAAGTGGACGGTGTGTTCGGAGTTCGCTGTTGTGGGGACTCGATGGCATCTCCCCCAGTGGAGACACGGAAGCTTAGGTGGAGTTGACGACGGGTACGGAGGAGCACGCAAGAAGCACACGTATTAGTCAGCAGGCAGGGGTAGGAATTCACGTCATAGCTCTGAGAAAAGCTACTCTTATGTTCACAGCGTCTTCAATTACACGCCGAAGCTCATCAACCACATGCACTCGTCCTCGAGCGCCCAATAATTCCAGCAACAGGCACCGCCTAACCCGATGCCGAGCTTTTCCAGCTGAAGCTCTAGAAGGCTGCGAATCGAAGGGACCTCCGAAAATTGGCAATGAATGCTGTTCGCAGCGCGAAGCTCCCTCGGCGCGAGTTGCTTCGCGCCGTTCTCGAGCCGCGGCATCCCCCTCTGCGAGTGAGCACGATTAGGGCGCGATCTTCAGGCCCTGTCGTCGGAAACACCCTACTCAGCACCCCGATTTCTGGCCGTCAGGTGCGATACGCCTCCAAGTCGTCCTTCACCCCGCCTGGCCGTCCACCACCGGACGGACAACAGTCGCAAACAACGCCGCCGCCGCCTTCAGTGGGACAGATATTGCGCAGTGCATTGCGCCTACCAAATCTATTCCGTGGCCAAAACCTCAAGACATTGTTCCGGCAGAGCCCCGAAGAGCTTGTGTTAGCGCTGGCACTGCAAGTCACTCCCTCGCCGTCCTCTTCTACCGTCATGCTGACTTCTGAGACAGGCTTGCTGGAGCTGCCGGCGTTATCGGATATGTCATCTACATGTACTTCACTTACTTCTACGCCCCGCAATTCACCAAGTACCCACCCGAAATCGCGAAGTCCTTGAGGCGTGCACTGCACTACAGCAACTATTACGAGGACCCGAAGCTCGCCCTGAAATACTACAAGCTGGCTATCGAGCAATGCAATGAGCATGGCCTGGATCCATTCTCCGACGAGGTGGTCGGAATCAAAATTCAGCTTGCCGCTTGGCTAGAGAGGATCAGCAATGTCGACAATGCGATCCATGTTTTGGAGTTGGTCTTGACAGAGAACCAGAAATGGTTAAAACTAGCCGACACGGAGCCGGAAAAGCTCCCAAGAGCACCCAGGCCTGGTACAAAGGTTGGAGAAGGCGAGTCAGAGAAGACTACTACACAAGACGACTTTGACAAGTGGCTTCGCTCTTCGCGTACCAGGATCCTGGGAAAGTCGGTTGGAATCAGCACAAAACTTGGAGAATTATATGCGCATGAGCAAGTCCTACAGCAGGATAAGGCTCATGAGCGTCTGATGTGGGCCGTCGAGTCTGCCCTCGGAGAATTCCGTCGAAGATCTACCGAGGGCGTCAAGCCTGGCGAAGGACCATGGATGACACCTGAGGAGATCGGCGGCGCACTGGAATCCCTCGCACACAGCTACGAACGAAAATCCGAATTCGACCTTGCGCTGCCCTTGTTTTTCCAAGCACTCAGGCTATGTCAAGATCAGTGCCACATGGCTGTCATCATGAACAACCTCGCCGTGACTTTTGCTCAACATCCACCCAAGGCTCCCTACGAAACGCTCGCGGGAATTGTCCCTGGTGAAGGCGATACTGCCGCAAAACCCAGCTCAGCTGAGCAGTGGACGCGGAAGGACCTCCTGGAGTCGGGCCAGCGATGGGCCAAGAACGCCTATCAGCATGCGAAGGAAGCCTCTGGGGAGAAGCGCACTCCGGAATGCGACGAGGCCTGCGCCGTGGCTCTTGTCAACCTGGGTGATATTGCAGCCATGAGTGGTGACGTTCAAGAAGCGCGCCGACGGTACGAGCGAGGCATCAAGCTCAGTGAAAAGAACGGCTTCGCCGACGGGGTAGCGCAGGCTCGAGCTGGTCTGGAGCGTCTCGCGCAGAGAAGCTCTTGAACTGGCAAATGAGCCCATCTATGGATGTCGAGTATGAGTCACACACGGGCCCAGCTCTGCTCCGCCTCGCTTTTCCAGATCACCAATATGTTCATAATCAGAGGCAGAGTAGGAGTCATCACCCTATGCCCGCAACTCGAGCGGCGGCGGCTTGCAAACCACGTTGCCACGCAGCGGTGGCAACGTGCAAAGGCAAAATCGGATTACGTGAAACGTTCCATCGCATCTGTTGTATATTGTCGAGCAAGGAGGGCGTTTGGTATCAGCTACATGCCAGGGGATTATGGCAACAGAGCCCAAGCATCCAGCTTCTGCTCAAGTCACTGCCATCGCATCAGGCCACCCTGATGCAGGATATTAAGGTTCACGAAATAGCAAGACGAGACACTCGTGCTGTTGCGGCCCAATCACGAGCGTGGATTGAACATGCGGCTATTTCCGTAGGCTTAAGCCCGAAACGCACCCGGAAGCTGTGGCTGGACGCCTAGAAGCGCGATCTAAGACCAACCCGAGATGTCCCAGATAGGACCAATGCACCGTCACGGGCCTCACGCCCCGAAATTTGACCCGCCAGATCATGAACAAGCACCGCGGGGACTCGAGGCGTGGGATTGTTAACCACACCGCTGACCTCAGAAGCATTGCATGCATGTCAAGGGTAGCGGCACACGTGTTTTCAAGGTTGTGTCCGTCGGCACGGCCGTGGCGACGAATGGCTGCAGTTGTGGCTGCCCTCCTGCAGGCCATCGTCACCAGCCTGGAAGCTTGTGGCACGGTGACCAGCCCCACGATGGCCGGCGGCATGGGGTTCTCTGTACTGTGGTAGCAAAGGGTGGAGGGTGGCATGATATCACCTCTACCTCGACCCCAGGGCCCTGGACTCGGTACGGGTACCCGCTTTGAGGGGCTCCATTGTGGAGGCATCTGGACCCACGGGGCTAGGCTCCCACATTAACGTCCAAGGAGATGGTTGTATTATGTAGAAGGGGGCTAGAAAAGAAGGAAAAAATTAGGTACTGTGGTATTTCGCAAAGTCCTGCGCATGGACAGGGTTGTGAGCCGATGGGGCCGTTTTTTGGAATCATTTTGACAGGTGGTGTATCGCTTCCGCTGTATATTGGCCGGCGGGTCAAGGGCCCTTCTCTGGTCCTCCAATCAGATCTCGCCTGGCCCCTGCTGGGGACCCAATCCCACGATCTTCCAGCGGATCTCGTAGTTAATCGTGCAGGTGCTGGCAGCTGGGGCCAGTGGGGAGGGCAGGGGAGCCGTTCCTTCGCGAGAGCGCGCCTGTTGCTCCATCAATAGCGACGACGAGATTCAAAGCCATTTGTGAGGGACACGAAAACACGACGGGGAGCCATGTCGTCGGCGGGCAATGGCCCGGTCCCGTCCGTATCTCTCCCGCATACCTAGGTAGGATAGGCGCCGCCAAAGGACCCAAGGGGAATTTGATAACACCTACATGAATCCACCTTGGACCCCTTGCTAGCCCCGGCCGCGGCCCTCAAGCCTCACCACGGGAAGGGTCCGGTTCCCCATTCCACTTCACGATATTTCTATTAATAGGGAGCAGGGGAACGGAACGTGACCGTAGCTATCACGCAGCTTTGTGGAGAATGGGGGGGAAGAAAAAAAAAGAGGCGCCCCCGCCTGAGGGAGGCACAGATAGAGTGACCGCCGCGTCTCGGGGCCGCGATCCTGTGTGGGCGCCAGCATGTCTTCAGTGTTGACCCATGCAAGCCGCCTTTTCTCTTTTCGCCCTCTCCGCCTCCGCCTCCCGCCCCCCGCCATCAACCTCATGTCTCGCGGAGGATCTAGGGCTGAAGGGAGGCTCAAATGGCGGGATCCTGGGGGGTTGGCGGCGGAGACGGGGTTTCCACATTGGGGAGCTCCATTGTCTCGGCCCTGCGCACGAGGACGACGGGGCGCATGTCAGCACCATGTGGCGGGATGTCGGCCGGAGGCTAACTGGCTGATTGTCTTGCGGAGCTCCCAGGAGTGGCACGTCCGGCGCAGCCCGTGATGCCCTGCATTGTTGTGTAACGTAGCTCTGTTTATATGCCTTTGCTTTACCGCCCCCCCCTGGCACTGTACAGTATCTTTCTGGTTAACAGGGCTGAAGAGAGGGCTTGAAATGTCTCTCGCTTAGAGGTATTCATGCTGGGCTAGTCACGCGGTTCACAGATTGATATGTGCTCTACGCCATTTCCGTATCTCACGGCATGGGGGGCTTGAGAGAAACAGACGACGACATATATCATTCTGTGGCCCGCCCTGAATATGCTTTTGCTCGAAGGCTCATAATTGCTCATAATCACATGTCTGCTGTTGAGTTGTGCCGTGCTCGGATGCAGGACTGGCTGCATTGGTGCCGTACAGACATATTTCGGGTATCAGCGGGCCAAGATGTATGCATACTGTATGCCCGCAGTCTCAGGTCGCCCATTGCAGACGAAGTAAATATTTATGAGAGAAAAAATCAATCGCTAGAGGGATGCACCTACCTGTCCTGCACGGCGCCGATCAGTATATTCCCCAGGCCCATTCATAAGAGACAGCGGATTCTAGGGGGGCAGATCTTGCGCCCTCGCACAGCATGTGGCCCTAAAGAAAGCTTGTCCAGAGGGGAACCGCTGCGCTTCCCCGCTCTCCATCTCCTCTCTCTACCAGCCTACCTGCCTACCTCTCCCAATCTCACTCGTATGCAATGCAAGGAAGGCCTGGCGAGTTGGATTCTCCGGCGCGGAATGGTGGGAACACAGTGCCCGCTGCTTTTCTGGTTCCCCTCTGATGATTTGACGATGTGGTTATTGGGAGTGGGGGGCAAGGGGTAACTATGTTGTTTTTACGTGCAGAGATGTCATAAGAGTAGCAGTCAGTAATTTCCATGCTTTTGGAAGAGGCACGCAGTAACACCTCGGGCGCAGGAGAAATGGACTTGACGTTCTGGATTCTGGAATCGAACGTCCAGCCTGTGGTCGCCGATTCTCGGCTTGTTGACCTGGGGTAATCCTGCCCCTGGATCCTCCCGGATTTAGACGCCGCTGATGATTCCATAATTTCGCCGTAAGCTCTAGGGCCGAGAGCCGGGGGCTCGCGGCCGCGAGTCAGGTGCAGAACAGATCTATCTTGCATGCTCGAATCTGGAAGTCAGGCATGGCAGTCGGCGGGGTCCGGAGGAGGTGCTGGTCCTTTGGCATGAAGTGGTGGGGAGTCGGTGGTGGAGGAGGTGCCTGGCTGGCAAGGTTGAAATGCTGCTGCCTTGGGAGGACGGTGTGAATGACGATAGCTTCGGCTGGTACCCTGGGGCGTGCGTCAACCAATTATACAGGTGCCCAGATATAGAAGAGCGTGAGCTGTCAGGTGTGGCATAGTGCCCAAAGAGACCGAATACCCCTGCTGCAAAGGACCCTTTTGAGGGATGTGGATGAACGGTGCGTGAGATGAGGTAGCGATGACAGGTTCGCGCTAGCGTGACTGGGCATATTTGCCCAGGTGTTTTGCCAATATCGGTGAGATTCGAGGTTTTGGAGGGACCCTGTGAACAGTCCCGGCATGACAGTCACAAACGACCAGCCGACAGCGTCGACGTGATTTGCCAGAGGCTCTTTCTTGGTTGTAGTCTAGAAGGTCGGCGGGTTGTTCCAACGGCGAAATGCAGTCTCCCCCCCCCCCTTCCATTGAGACCAGCAGCCTCGCTTTGCTGCGCGGCGTTGCTGACGGCAGGTTTGGGTGGCAGCAGGAGGGCCACCATTGCAGGACTGCAGCATGGAAGCCTGGCAGGAGACGATCACACAGAGGCAGGCCAGCGGGCTTTGACTTGTTGTTGCGGCGACAGGAGATATGAATGTTGAAACGCGAGGTTTGAAAGGGCGGAAAGGGCAACGGCCGTGGAGATGATTGAACTGCCAGCGCACGAATGAAGCAACAGTTTGCGATCAGGGCCAGAGGGTCGGGGCGGTAGCAGCCGTTGTGAGACTCGCCCACTCGCCCTGAGGTGGGAAGGAACCAATCAGTCGGGAACCGTCTGTGCTCAGATCGATGTCGATCACACAGAAACTTTGTTTCCTTCTCCTCCACACTGCCAGAGTGGGTGGTCAGGTGCAGTGGCCCGTGACGACCTGTGACGACCTGGGCTGGGCTGCTTCGACCTGGCGACGCGCCTGCCCTTTTCCAACGCGAACAAAACAACGCACAGCTCACGGCTGTCAACCCCAAGTGCAAGTGCCATTCAGGAACCCGACACATCGTATCACCAGGGTCATCATCTTGGTGCCAACCTTCTTATGGCATTGCCCGTGACGGGACCCACTTGACCCGCCGCGCTGGTTCCCCACTGGAGCTTAATTATTCTAATTATGGACGCTCCTCACATCATTTCGTGGCTTGCCTCTTCCTTTCTAGACGCATCGGCCTGCTCCACCTGTCCACCTGTCCACCAGGGAGCTGTGACATTCTGGCCGCTGCTGGATCCGGAACAGCATCTCCAGCGGTTGCATCGTCCCCTCTGCGTCCCTTCTGGTGCTACGAGCCTGCCGCCCGATGCGGTAACTTGGCTCGAAGCTAGGGCCCCAGTCCCTTGTCCTGCTGCTTCCCGACGTCGCCATCGTTGATCCCACCGCCGCCAGAGGACGACAATGCTCCCCGGGGTTTGTACCGGCCACGACCTGGTCCACGAGACGACGCATTCTCCTGCCCAGCCCTCCTCCCAGATGAAGGGATTGGCACGTCAACGGCAGATGAGTTGGATCCATGATTGACCAACACTGAATGATGAGATTGCCCGAGCTCACCGGGCCAGTTCATCAGCAATGCGACCACGGGTCGACGCCTGAGACTAGAAATTGTCGAAGACCGTGTTCAAATGCCGACCTGCCAATCACGCCACTATTGTGCCGTTGACAGCGTTGACAGCAGTGACAGCGCAGATCATACTGCCTACGGAGAGCCTAACATTCCTCGATTGCGACATTGAGGACATCTTCACCCAAATTGTCGGGTCACGATCTCCCAGAGTGGGCCCGCCTCCAGCCTCGAGGCTGCTTGGGTTTCCCACCCCCCGGTAGTAGGTACTAGGCCCACGGCTCCCACGTGCCATGCCTTTTTGGGCCTGCCATGTCGCGTATCCGGCCGGCTCAAGCTGGAAATAAAACACAGCCCGGAATCACAGCCCGGAATCGCGGGTCATGAGCATCACGTACTTAGTACGAATCCTCCCCCGGGCCTGGCGTTATCACGAGATCCACGTGGAATCAACCATCCGGGTATTCGTCCACGGCCGTCTCTTGGGACGCCGGCGTCAACGAGTGGGCATCCGCTGCATGCCAAGAATTCCATGGAGGGAAGATCTCCTCGCTCCACCACACTGCGTTGAACCCACGGCTGCAATAAGTAGAAAGTAGCGGAGAGACACCTGTTGCATGTCTCGGCGACGCAGGAGACAGGACGGAGTTACCGTCGAATGGCGGCCTAGGGAGTCAGATTCCCCACCGTGCGCGGACTGAGCCCTACAGACTGTGTATGTCAGGACCCCTGGCCCGACACCCCTTGTCACAACCGTCAGATGTCTGCCCAGCCCGGGCGAGTACTGCGTGGTGGCAGGGTGGGCAGGGCACCCCACTCACCTCACCTCGTACATGGTACCGACCTGCAGGGCACGGTCGTCTTCGGTATCCTGGGTACCCCATGGGCATCCCACGGCCAGGCTGGCACAAGTATGGGCTTTCCGAGATGCCGACCTTTCAGCTACTTACGCCCTGCAGCTCTAAATGAGCGGTCGTCTCTTGGAGAAGTGCGAAAGTAACGTCCCGGATACCTAGATACTCTTCCCAGAATCACCCTGTCACCATGGGGGCAGCCGGAACGGGGGCTTCAAGCTGGCTCCGTCAAGACGTTCCACGTTCTGCGCTAGCCGACCAGATCCCACCGTATCTCTATCCTTGCGACGCGGATGCAGATGCCAGTGTTCAAGGCTGATGGCTCCACAATGAGCGGCAAACACCTTGCCCACGGCTCTGCAGCGAGAAGTAGTAAGCTCCTCCGCCTGGACAGGCATAGACTGGGCAAAACCCGCCCCTGGTGGAGACACTGTGTCGGCAAATGTACATGCTTCATGTACCTGGGCATCTCCAGGCTCATCCTTCAATGGTCCCCAGCCCTATCTCGGCCATGGGCAAGGGCTCAGGAATGGATACTGTGTCACACCAACCATGGGGATGCTGGTGCACGGCTCTTTCAAACCGCAGGCCAGCATGCGGGCCACAATATCGAGGTATTAGTGACACCGCAAGTTCACTCGTTTCTCCCTCCGTAAAGGCACTCCAGACCACCGATGTAACCAGGGCGGCATGGTGAAGTCACTGGTGCCATCGCTCTGGTGTCTATCACACCAGGGCAGTAGTGATTCTCTCCTGCCTCAGTTCGCATATGCAAGTCCAGTCTGCACCAGCCAAACCTCCAAACCTCCAAGTCTGCCGCACCCACGGATAGTCCGCTCTCTAGACATCCTTTGACCCTCCCTGGACCCGACCATCATCTTCTTATAATACAAGCTCGTCTTCCGTTCCCTAGGCCCAGCCTGCCCCTCCCTCTACCATATCTCTCTCTCACCACACTTCTATAACTCACTGTGATATTTATAACACACCGCGCTAGCCCACAGCCTTCTCTCACTCGCCACATAGTATAACATGGAGGACGTCAGCCTTTTCCTCGACGCCCCGTCGCCATCACACTCTTACCTCTACACTTTCGCCGACCGCGACCAATTCCTCGACGCCAGCCGCTCAGAGACACAAAGCTCCGCAACCTCTCCCGTACGTGTCCTTATCTATGACCCAGACCGTCCCCCTCGCTAATCTTATGCAGTATGACATGACCTTTTCACGGGATTTTTCAAGCTCAGATACAATGCCGAGCCCGGACGCCGAAGGAGAGGAAGCAAGTCTGTCACCACACGACCAAGCATCAGCATCCAAGCCCGCCGCGAAGAGGAAGCGAGAGAACAGATACAAGAACGCCCCGCCATCAGTCCTATCGGTAAGTACCCGTCAGCAGAGCAGCCGGCGCCACTATCACATGTCGCTGGCACTGCATCCCCCGCACAATTCCGCAGTCGAAAGATCTCGAGCTGATGCAAGCCCGCCCCGAAACAGCGCCGCCGAGCACAAAACCGCGCCTCCCAAAGAGCCTACCGGGAGCGCAAGGACCAGCGGATCAAGGACCTGGAGCAGATGCTCAACGACGCCAAGGCGCGCAACGACGTCCTCAGCCAGGCGTATGCCGACCTGCAGGCCGAATACCTGAAGCTCAAGGCCTCCACAGTCAGCGAGCAGCAGATGCCCACGTCATACCCTGCGGCAGGCCACCCGTCGGCCGGCCACCTCGGGGGCTACGTCGACCCGTCGATGTCGGCCATGCATGTCGGCAGCGACCTGGACGCGTACCTGTACCCCGAAGTTGGGGGTTTCTCAATGTGAGGGGCTTTGCGCCTCGCACAGGGACCACGAATTCACCCCTCATGCTATTTTTTCAATTGGGATAATTGAACAAGGAGTTTCGGTAGATACATACATTGGCTACGGCCAGGGCGATTAGCGATGCAGGGTGGGGATTCTTACTTTTTCTGGTCCTCCCCACGCCTCCTCGCGTCTTCGCGGCGCGGGCTGGTTGTGGTTGGGTCACCGTTGCATTTGCGGCTTGATGCGGCTGGGCTGAATCTGGCAGCCACATGCCCGATCATTCGCCCGCTGCACGGGCGGACCACACATACATACAACATGGCTGGAGTATCCTGGGAGGGGGCGCGTCAGGCGCAGAAAAGACCGGGGATGGACCTGCGGTTTGCGGACAAGAAGGCGGGAAAAGGCAAATGAATGCACGGCGTTTGAGGCGACGGTCTTTTTCCTCTACACCTTGTTCTCATCGGGATTTGGGAGCTCACTGGTGGTTTTTTTTCTCTCTTTCTCTCTTCTCTGGGTATGCTGCTGCTACAGGACTGCTTGTGGGAGTTCATTGGACAAGGCAAGAGTTTGCGAGGGCGCATTGGGCGGCGATGATTCGGGGGGAGTTTGCCCAGGCGCCGCGGACATTGCTCTTAAGGCCCCGGCGTAAATGTACCTCCCCTTTGGACAACCCCAAAGTTCTCGCGTAGTACGAGCGGCTTAGGCGTCTCCGTTGACTCGATACTTAATCAATCGCTTGATACCCTGCGTGGTTCACTAGTAAATTTCTTCCTGTTGTGATCTTCTTGGCCGACAGAAACGCCAGAGGTCTTGCATGCCAGCAAGAAGCAAGGTTCACATCCCGTCCCCCACGGCAGCTCGACAGACTGGTTCTACGCCTACCCCTTACCACTGCCTACGACGTCTGGCCTTGCAGCCATCAAAGAAAAGAGAATCCTCATTCGCACACGACACGATGGCCGTCCTCCTATATGCTTAGTTGCCATTGCTCGGACCTGAGGACTCCAGCTGTCAAGGTGCAGCGTGTGCGCGCGGGTCGCATGGTGTGTGAGCCACGGCATATTTATCCAGCTGTGGCTTTCGACGCGGACACCGACGCAGGGCCACGACATGTGTTTGTGTGCTCCCACATGAACCTCGAGTGCCCCTAGAGCAGCATCATGCCTGAGTAGTATCAATTGATGGTTGCAAGAAGGCCGCCACACAATGACAAGGTCCAAAGAACCAGGCTGTCAAGGTTTAGTTGAGCACATAGTATGGTGCGACTTCGGTCGGATCGAGGCCTTCTGTCTAGGTACCTAGGTAGCGTTACCCTAAGCTCTAGAAAGGCATCATTGTCATACCGTATGATCCTATCGTGGACCACTCTGGTCACGTGGATCTTCAATGTTGTGTGTGAATTCTTTTCCAACCTTATATTTGTCCTTATCAATGATACCATTGATTGTACGCTTTAGTGTGCAGTTCAGTGTGACGATGATATGACCGTCTGATATTCAGGAAGATTCTTGTGGTAGTCACTGCTATTCTCGACATTATTTCCTGCGCTTTTCGGTCCGATTGGAGCATGCATTGCGAGCAGTCCCTAGTAGATAAATGGTATTCTAAGTTTCCCCGAGGATGTGGTTGGTGGTTGGACTGGTTCAGTACAAGTTCTATTTGTGGACTTTTCATGTCAGTGCCTCATAAAAGCTATCTTCTTGAGACTCCGACCAATGAGATACTGATTGCTTACTGTACTCTTCTGTGTGTAGTCCTTGAGTACCTTTGACAATTCTATACTATGCGCACTTTGATTAGGTGATTAGTGATACTCATTTTCTCAAGTTGTGCCGCTCTGTTCGTGCTTCATGTGCGGACGACATTGACTTGATCCTAGCCAGTTGTTCCGATTTAGCATATTAGAAGTCCATCATTCCGATCCCAACTCGACTCTGTGAATTGGCAATCGCCGATCCATCAATCTCTGTGGGAGGTGTCGTCGTCCGTATCAGCCTCGTCGTCATTGCTGATGAAGCTTGGCAGACGTACATTGTGATGATATGCTTGTGGGCTATTAACGATCTCACCTGATGGCAACTGAAACAATGTAACGTAGTTTACTGGTTTCGCTTCTATTCCGCATATGTTCGAGGGCATACATGGCGCCTTCATACGGTGGTAAACGTAACGTAGTTTAAAAGGGTCGTTGTTGACAGAGGCGTGGCATCACATATGTACTTACTAAGTAAGCACCTTGAAATCTATGACAACGTAGATGTGACTTCCGAGACACTGGGCCGACAAGGGCCTTCCCAGAAGGAGCAAACGGTCGGAAAGCCAATTGAGGATAGGAGCGACCGAAGCTTATGTATTATGTGCTCGTGAAAGCCGCTAGGCCTCTTTTACTGCGAATTACAACCTGGAGTCTTACTCAGCCCAAGACATTCTCCGCGCCAGCGGGCCGTGACTCTCGGCAATATAGAGCCGAGACTTGGAGGGTAGCTTTCTCCTGCACTGCCGAGAGACTTGATCCTTGTCATGTAGCTCGAGAGGGAAGGACGAGGCGGGTCCTGTGGAGTTCGTGTAGTTTGTGTGGTGCCCATACACTGACAAGGCTCCAGGGCAACGTGGCGTTGTATTATGGACCTGAGTCCTGGAATTAGACCTCCTCTTTGATCAAGAATGCGAGAGCGGAAACTGTGGACGAATACAGAGGTCCAGGTTGGAAGCATGAGAGTGAGGCGAGTGACCAACCCGACCCACCGTCACTCGATGACACGGGCGACCAGGACGTCTTGGAGACATTACCTGCCCCTGAGGACAACTTTGGTAAAGGTTCGGTCATCAATTCCTTTGTTTCCCTCATTCGTTTCCACGTAGGTCAGAAGCCTCAAGCGCCTTGAGCGTTTCGTGTGTTTTACGTCGGTGCCTCTCACCAGGCGATTCTAACATCAGCTATTCCATACCTGTCCGGCTGATCCGGTTTCACTTGCAGTACCATCGCCAAATTTGTAAATATACATTTTTTTCATGTAATGATGTTTGAAGCATACCACGCTCAAAAACAGCTCAACGAGTCGCGCCCTGACGGCCAAGGCAGTAACTCGCGCTTTGCGCTCCTATATCTCCCGTCTCTTGCACAAGTCGTCTTGAGATTCTCGAACAGGTGGGGAAATAACTCTGAGCAGTTTCCTTACTGTCAAGCCACGATTCCATTGGGTGTATACGTTTGAGGGGGGAGTGGGCAGGTTTTGGTTCGTGTCGATTGGTTTCTCATGACTTTGGCTGGCACCCTGAGCCCTTCTCACGACCGCGCAACCTGAATCCTTGGGTGGTGGCTGTCAGCAGTAGACGGCAGGCTCTGGAGATGATGACAACAATTTCTCAGCCCGAAAGAGACAGGATCGAGTGCTCGTTAGGCAAGTAACGGTGGTGGTGAGAAGGAACAAGGACCTCGGGAGGTTGGCGGAAAACGTTCTTGAAAGTGATACGAATACGCTCACTTAGTTCTCGCTGGAGATAACACATGGGTACCGAAATTATCCAAAGAGTTTCTCGATTTTACGCAACCGACCCTCGGGGATCTTTGCTGTTACAACAGAGAACACTAGGTTTTCGAGCAAGTCGACCTCCACTGCATTGACGGCCACTATGAAGACCGTCGGGAGGCTGCGGGTCTCTGCTTGCATACCATTTATAAATTCTTCTATAGGAAATTTACTTTTCCGTATGAAATTCTCCTAATTTTGCATGTGAAGGAGCAGACTACCTAGGTACACAAGCCAATGACTACACTCTTCAATCACTTTACGGATATCATGTCGTAGAAGGCTATCTCATAGATACAGCCAATTGATGAACTTAAGTAGTCTATTGTGTCAGAGTCAGGAGATGATTAGCGAGGCGTGGGGGGTTTCAGAGGTGGGAGGCAATACTTTATGATCCCAGCCTACTAGAATTCGTTTCGTAACAACATCTCATCTGGATGGTGAGTGCTTCTTACTGTTGCTGAGTAGCAGGTATGGGATCAGATTAAGTCTCGATCTCGGCTCGCCGTTTAGCGGTACCTACTGCGCCTATGGGACCACCGTCAACCCCGTCTTCTCGCACGTTGGAACTTGCATATGCACGTTGCACGTGGAACTTGCATATTCTCTGCACGTTCGGAGAGACTCACGGAGGTTCCACCCGGACCGCGATACCAGAGAGCCTACCCTGGGGAACGAGTGGACGAACCGAATCGATCGAGAATAAGGCCGGGCTCAGACACTCTTGGCACCTGGGAGATCGCTGTACAGCGAAAGGGACATGATCTCCTGGCATACGACGACATTACTTTGGACGTGGTTGCTCGAGTGAGCCGAGAGCTAAGGGGTGGACGTAAGGTCCCGGTCGACCTGAAGGCCAAGCCGTAACCTGCCAAGATGGCGAAGATTGACATTGAGGTACTTGAGAGAACTGCGGGATGGAGTGGTGGATCTCACAGGCCATAACTACGTTCCACCCTATCTTCGTAACAGCCCAAAGTTCAAATAATTACCCAATGAACTAACACTACTTGTTTCTAGGAGACAACATGTCATGATCCAACTCTCAAGCTTCTTATCGTGCGCAGAGCCCCGTGAGACAAGAGGCTACCGGTTCAGAGGGGCCGCCCAGACCTATCTAGCTATGCCACCTCTTCGTTCCGACACAACCTCTACCGACCCCATTACGGATGTGGAGCTAACCGCTCCTAATGGAGACATGTACGACAAGCTGGATGAGATCGCCACCATAGGGGAGGCCATGACCGCCTACCAGAAGAGCACCGGTTTCAGTTCGTAGGAGCACAATGCGAAAGGCTGAGAAACACCTTCTTTGTGCCACCTCCTCTTCCGACTGGCGATTCGAGGTAAAGAGGTTCCTACTTCAAGGACTCACCCATCCGCGACGGCCAGATGATTCTCTAATTTCCCCGCTCCCCGGGCGCACAACACACCACCTGGGCACCTTCGCCAATGGTAATGCCGACCAAAAGACTTCGGAGGCGTGGTGTCTAATCTATGGGTCCCACATGGCAGATGAACCCTCCAGATTTGGGACTGTGTGGTGTGATGACACGAGCTTTTTACTGCTGGATTTCAAGTTGCGGGGACTTAAAATTGTGGTCTTCTGGCCGGGGGACCTGCCGCGCACCATTTAACGGGCCCGTCTTAGAAGGGTTTCAGGAAATTGGTCCGTAGACAAAACGAAAGTGAACACATAGATGGACGCAACTTTGGAGCATCTATCAGGCCATGTCATCATCCCGCTGTGTAGCAGCACGAAAATTGTTCATCTTGATGAGTGTTTCTGCTACCCCAAGTATAGTAAACACGCAGACTTCCGTTTGACGGTTTGATAGGACTTGGGAGCTAGAGTACTTCTCAGGCAACCTTGGGGCTAAAGACTTCCGCCCCAGCCGACTAAATGCCATCCTTTTGCCAGTCCACTTGGGCTTACTCATGACAGCTGATGCCGATGGTGCGTGGCTCGCTTCATAGTCTCAAAGTGCCTGATTGTATCACCGGCCCCAATTCGAACAGCCGAGTTTGTCTTCTCGCTCACGGCAGCGCCGTCGAGATGAGTCCGCCTAATGTGAAGAAAAATAGGACTCCGAGCCATATGAGTGTACAGGGTTACCCATGACGGTATGGTTGGGACTCTGTATGAGTATAAAAGCCTCTCATGCCGACAAGAATTTCTCCTACAGCGGATTTGCTGAGCTGGCCTCCCTCCCACGTTTCTCCAGAGGAAAATGAGGTCATGACAGCAGCCGATGCTACATGACCAATAGTCCCATGTCAGCCCGTCAACGGCAGCTTCGACCATGTCACGCACGTCTTTACACAGAGTGGAGTCCCTTAAGAGAATAATAATGTCTCTGGTTCATCCACTTGACAAGAATGTCCGTGGATATCGAGACAGTCTGGAGATGAGTGTCCTTTCCATCGGTTCTGTTCGCATAGCTGATAATTTGAGACAGCAGTCAGACACTCCCTCGGTCTGAGTAATTGGGGGTGGCTCGGGTGCCCAGGTGGGCGTGCTGAATTTCCAGCCATCGCCCCCAATTCGACCTTGCATGTGTGTGTGTGAGAAACACCACCAATGACCCCATCGACTCCCCACTTTAGTATGCACGCGAACGGCTTGGGCAGATCCGCCGTGACCGAATTGTTATCTCCCGGGCGCTGAAATGCTCGTCATGCTGCGCCTCTACGCCCAAAGAAGAAGGCACGGCTTTACCTTCAGGTGAGGGGTTGAATGTGCGCTGAGTGATGCCCTGCTGTATCACGATAGTGCGCTGCCGTCAGATGGAGACGGTGTACTGCCGTCAATTTAGGGGCGTTTTGCCAGTGCCGCTCAGCTTTGCTCAGCTTTGCTCATATGGTGCTAGGGCCCCAGAACTAATTCCAAGAATTACAGCTCTCAGAATATTTATGGATTTCAGCCCCAGGGCCCTGGTGGTCAGAGCCCTGGGGGCCAGGCGGTATCCAAAAACGACGACTGTTGGCACTTTATAACGACGACGTATCCGTCCTGCAATTTATTCCAATTCTCGATGAAAGAAAGTCCCCTCCTGAAAATTCATGAACCTGATCCACCTGACGATTCTTGTCATTCGATACCCTGCCTCAAAAACTGCCTGCTGCTTGCTGGCAGCCGCCGAGACCTTCTCGGGCGAGCCGGACCTCGGGGCAGGGAGGGCACTGCCCGTTTACGATGTCCCCGCCATGAGGCTCTGTTGCCTTAGTCGGACTGGCTCACCGAAAACAAGAAGAAAACGATGCAACGACTGGAACCACGACAATGTCCTCGGATGTTGCTGCTCGGATTATGACCCAGGCACACTTGCATTGCCCCCTTCGTCAACTGATGACCCTGCCGGTTCGACGAGACCGGTTGCCCTTCCGATGAAACATGTTCCCTTCGATCTATTCCATGCTATACTAACCCTTCGTCACTGCATATCAGTAGCAGCGCCGGTACTGTCACTGCCCATACTCCCGACGTCCGGAGCCGGCGCCCGCCGGCGCCCTATGGCGACCCACGACCCTGCCACGACACAACCTCAAGCGATCGTTCACCTGCCTTTTTTCCACATGTGCCCTTCGAACCTTCGTCTTGCTCAAGAGCTTTGTGTTTCCTCATCATGCTCAAGCTTCTTGGCCCTGTGTGTCGTCTACTGGGTGTTTCTCACTGTTGAAGCTGGCCCTTTCATGCAGGGTCGAGTCACCTGGTCCCTTCTTTTCTGCCTTGGGCAACAAGTGCTGCCAGTTTTATGCAAAGTGCCCTTGCATAGCTGAGGCAAGAACACGACGCCGGTTACGACTTGGACCTGCGAGCCTCAAAAGTCTGCAGGGCGATAGTGTCCGACAACGGGACCGCTGAACCGATCCTGAATCCAGGGCATTGGAAATTACAGAAGTCTGTTGCCAAAATAATCTATAACAATGGATTAGTCCCCTTGGATATGGTTGGGGGCATACTCAAGGACGTTGTGCAAAGTCGAGGACCTGGAAAAGTTTTGGGTGCAGCCTCGCGATTGTCTCAATTCCACAACATCGTAACTAAGAGAAGAGATTGGTGAATTCCCCGGCAGTCATGAATTACACATACCAATTCCCCCAAAGCCCGGATGAAACTATTGATCAGCTCTCTCGATATCCGGCAGAACCTGACAAGAGTGGTCAGCACAACGCAGGCTGCCTGTATGTTTGATGGACCATTTCCCGTGCATGAGCAATGAATAACTAACAGAAGCGCAGGTTCGTGAACCGCATCTCTGAGCCCTGGCCACACAAATATATCAAGTACGTTCTGATGGAGTGGTATATCTACCGAAATGAGAACAAACTGCCGTCGAGTCCATGGGATTGCCCTCTTCCAAGTTGCTATGCAAAGCTTAAGAACTTCCGGGACGTGATCAGTCATCTTGAGGATTGCCTCAAGCCCAACTTGAGACAATATACCTGCCCCGACTGTCACAAAACTGCCCAAGTGCCCGCTGCCATTGAAAGTCCCGGACAGAAGGCCATGTTGAAGCTCACGAAAAGTATGGACAGTATCCGGGATCAGTTCAGCCCTCGATCTCAACCTTCTTCTCCTGGCTCTTCTCCGACGGCAGCGTCGTTCTCATCCAACCTCAGCCTGACCAAGGCCAATGAACTAGCCTCCATCACGTCTTATTGCGCCGAGAAGCCCACTTGCAACCCACAGGATCTCGGTCTGTCCACCAAGCATGAAATGATTGGATCCATCAAGATAGACACACAGCTTCGCCCACCCCAATTATACGATATGTGTTGCGAGTTATCCGGCCTGACTGCAGCTACGACCTCATCATACCGAAGCGAGCTGCCGACCCCTTTCTCAGCACATGAACTTCCTTCAGCCTCGCGTTTTCCTCACAATATGGCGACCCCATCGGAATCCCCATGGTACGAACTGCCAGGCTCAGATGGCCCTATTGGGTTCCCATATGCCGGCATCACGCATTCACCCTCTGACGGTCAACACCTGCAATACGGTGGCTTCCATCACCAGTCGACATGCTCCGATCTCCAAGATCAAACAATGTTTCACGAAGGTCAACCCCTTCTGCAAGAAGAGCATTTCTTGTTGGAAGAGACCGCAAACATCCAGCAGCATGGGGCGAACACGGAGGGGATGCCGGGCATCCATTTCAACCGCGATCCTAATGCCGACTACCCCGATATCCTGCAGCAATTCGAACACCAGATCGACGACTGCTTCCAATCCCAACGCGGGTCCATCTTTACCAACTTGCACGTGGGAAACATAGCCGGCCACCAAGTCCTCACCCCCGTCACCGACTTGGACTCCGACTTCGGCGCCGAATTCACTTCCCCGACCTCCCCGACCTCCTGCGCCAACATGTCAATGGCAGAAACCCTCGTGGCAAGCGAGGGCAACCCCTCACCCTCGTCCCCCAACAGCACCACGACCATCGACGGGCAGTCCTCCCCCTCCTCCCCCTCCTCCCCCTCCCCCCACAGCTGTCCAAAGTGCAAGTGGAGCCCGGACACCACGGGTGGCAACAGGTCGCCGTCGAAGCTCCGGCAGGCGGTGGAGAAGCACTTCAAGCGCAACCACATGAGCCAGGACCACCTGTGCCCGGCGTGCCCGCAGTCCTTCCGCAACAGGCCGGACAATGTCAAGCCACACGTCAAGAGGAAGCACCCGGAGGTGTTCATGAAGCTATACGGCCAGAAGAGGAAGACGGCGGCGGCTGCTGCTGCGCAGCCGCAGGACCAGTCCTGGCGCCCCAAGGACGAGGGCCGGGCTGGTAGCAACATTGAGGCACCGGTTGGCAAGCCGGCGGCTGACAAGAGGAGTGGGAGGCATGCGCGGCCCCCAAGGGGCTTTGCGCGGCCGGAGGACCAGTTTTGATATTATCTTCTTTTGTCCTCCGGGTCACTGCTCCTGGATTATAGGGGACAAGATTGTGGCTCTTGATGGTGTAACGATTTCTGGCTATCTATCTCCTTGGTTGACTGTTCTGTTTGTGATGCTGGACCATTTCAACTTATAAATGTCTTCCTAGTCTTTCATAGCTGCTGATACACGATTGTCAAACACCTACCTCGAGTGACGCTGCGTTGCTTACCAACTTGGATGCTTGAAGTACCATCCGTGGACTCACACTCTGTCTCCACGAGGGTTGTTCTTAGGAACGACTCATCGATCTGTGGCTGGCGAGGGATTGTTCGTCTTGTGTCCCGCTGAGGAATGTCTAAACATGTTTCCTGTGAAATATAGGTCGATTCGCGTGGGAAGCTCTGAGAGAACAAGGAACTCGTGACGTACTGGCAAGTATTGGAAGTTGTACGCAATGTTGTGATTTCATACAGGGCTGTAGGCTGTGGTCATTCGATGGCTCGGGCTGGGTTGGGTAAGACTGAGGCCTCATCATGTGAGCCTTCGCGACATCAACTCGTAACTATTTGAGCGTATTAATTAGCAAAAGACTCTCTGTCACACTGAGACTTGTCCCAAAAGAAGGACGGGGAAATAAGAATCTTTCATCTTTACCAAACCACTCTCGTTCCTGTGCAGTCTTTTTTGGCTGTGTTAAGCATGTTGAACAAAAGAGAAATTTGGACACTCCAAGAAACTACAGCGGCGTGGTTGTCTGCCTCAATGGCAACCCGTTTACTCCGCTCAAGACTACTTAGTACTGTGTGACAAATCCAAAGATGTGAAAAATTATGGGGTGAGACTCAGAACCGTTAATCGAGCGAGTTTGGTCCTGCATCGGGCTCAACGACCTTGCCACCATCAGACGTCGAGCTGGGACGGGTCTTTGGCTGCGGGAGAGTGAGATTGCCTCTGTCGCCCGTTCCTAAATCAGACAAAGCTGCGATGTGTTTGAAGGCCCCTGCATATTTGTGTGCAGGAACAACCAGCCCCGAGGCACTTGGAAGCGCCTGACCAGGGCGGCTACTAATCACAACAGGCGAACCCTAATCAATCTCGTACAATGCATGATGTCCTCCCTGACGCCAAAAGTAGAGGCATGACTCCAGCGTCAACCTCAGGAGAGGAGAAAACTCTGCTTGGGGGCCGCAACCTGCGCCCCAAACATGTTCGGTGAAGCGCTGTTTTGTTTTGGAGGCATCGAAACGCCGAAGGAACCGAGGTTGAGGGATAGAAAGGCCCATCCTGGCTCTACGAATCAGCGGCGCCAATCCTGAGTCACGGTCGACTAGTCCAGACGACTCAGCCATTCAGCAGGGGAAGCATTACCGGATTAAGTGAACCTTGCACTAAGCACCTGGACCTTGAGTGTTCATGTTGAGGAGATGACAAAAAAGCCGTGGGAAAAGGGGGGCCGGAAACAACGTCGTCGAGAGGTTGCGTACGGCAGAGACGGGATGAGGTGGAAACAACGCACGGGGCGGCGTTGAGTCGACCCGGGGTTGCATTGGCCGCGCTGGCAGGCTGGTACGGAGTTATGCCATCTATATTTTGTTGCTGAGACGAGAGAAGAGTCGGGATGAAGTCGGCGAAGACGATGGTGATTCGGCGCCGAGTGCTGAGTGGATAAGCCATCAATAGTGGCCAAGCCTCTCGACATGTCTTGGGAGAAGCTTGACGAGTCTTGGGTTCTCTCTGACGGTTCTGGGCGCATGTGGGATATGGGACGTGGGATGTCGGCCAGCCAGCCAGCGTGCACAGGCATGTGTCCAATTGGAACAAGACAGAGGCAGCAGCCCTGGGGGCTCCTCGTTTCCAATCCCGATTACGATTGCACCGACGAGATTGAATCGTTTCTCTTGGCGGCAAACAGCTGATCCGCAGATCAGGTAACTGCGGGGAGCGCAGATGCACCGTGAGGCTGTGGCTCTGAGAAAGCATATGCAAGCGTTGCTCCTAGACTTTCTATGTGATCAAGATGTGATGGGATTAGTTCCGGATATCGGAGGCAGCGATGATTGCCGAGCTGCAGCTTGCCTTGCCATGCGCTTAATTTGTCACTTTCTTCAGGCACATTATTCACGAGCGGTGGCGCCCCAACTTGGTGCCTCGAGTTGCTTCGCACCTGTCAACACTTAATGATCTGTCATGTGGTGCTGAAGGGATGCTCGAGAATCTTCCCTGGCGGCCAGGAACCGAGTTAGTCGCGAAGATGCAAGCGGGGGCTGCAAGTGCATGACGGGGAGGCGGCTAGAGGTAGGCTAGTCGGCTAGGTAAGGGGATGTTCTTCAAGCGTAGGCGCCATGTTGCAGGAGACGTGACGGGCGGTGTTTGACATGATCTGCCCAACCCCTGGCAGATCAGGGTCAATTGCTGTTTGGGTGTTTGGGTTTGGGTTAGGCGACGACCCGAGTGGGCGGCAGGACGGGCAGCCGCAGCCTGCTTGTGTTCCCAGCCTCCCGACTGGCCCTGGCTGGGAAGGGACCAGTGTGTAGGTAGAGAAGGAGGGCAGGAGGAAAAGAGCCGGCTGCGCCCCACTAGCCCCGGCTCTTTCCTTGCCTTGCCTTCCTCCCCTTGCTGCGAGCGGCGTGCACTACCCCTTCTACCCCTGCAAGCCCCCGTCGCTGTGGAGCGAATCCCAGTGCGGCTCAAATGCTTAAACGGACCTCGTTTCACCTGATCAGCAAATCGCAAGCGCTCTCTGACCCCCTTCCCACTCCTTGCCTGGGATGCGGTTCCAAAACATGACCGACTGTTGTTCTGTTGTTCCTCGACCTTCGACCCTCGACCCTGACCACGACGAGCCCACAAGCACATCCCCTGTCACCACAAGCGATCGGAACCAAATCTGCCTTGCATAACGGGCCCTCAAGCCCCGTTGAAGCCTGGGAGAGCCCGCGCTGATCTGCCCTCCCACATCCTTCCCGAGGCTAGTGACAACAGGCCTTACCCCTTTGCTCACCCGGGAGATGCGCACACCAAACCGACCTGTTCCCCACAAGACAGCCAATCGCAACCCAAACTGTCCCCTTGCAACGAGAATCTGCAGCCACTCCCGTCACCTGCAGGCATGGCAGGCATGGCGGGCATGGCCTCTCCCGTCCCTGTGCCCGGGCTAACGACCTCACTGCCTCAACTGCATCGTCGGATCATTGCTTCACCTGATCTCTGAGAATCCAGAGCACCTCGAGTCCGAACTCTTTGCATGGCAACTTGGCGCCCAGCGAACCAAGCCTGTCAAGCATCGCCAAGCTGCAGGCCAAGCTGTACCAAGACTGTTGGCATCTGAAATCTCTATAAGATTCAGAGCTCATGGCCCTCCTACCGCTCCAGTTCTCTCCTCTCATCATCAGCAGCTTCATCTAATCAGTCTCCCTCTCATCACCAGCCCTTCTTTGCACCAGAGCCCGGAGCTCCAAGTTTTTATTTACAAGTCTTTTTTATATATCCACTTCAGCCAGCTCCTCTTTCGCCTCGTAAACACTTGTCTCTCCGGTCTAAACACCAAACCAGAAATCAGCCAAAATGCAGTACTCAAGCGTCATCCTCGTCGCGGCCTTCGCTGCCACTGATGTCTTCGCCCACGGTGTCGTCGCAACCGTCAACGGTGCCAACGGCGTGACCCTGCCCGGTCTCTCGGTCGCTGATGGCACTCCCCGTGACTGCGCCTCTCCCCGATGTGGCTCTGAGGCCGACACCTCCATCATCCGCAAGAATGAGCTCGGCACCTCCAAGGCCTCCGCTCTGGGCCGCACTGTCGGAAGTGGCCCCGTCGATGCCGCCCAGATGATGGCTCTCTTCATGGACGGCGCCGGTGGCAACACCTCCGCCGTCAAGGCCGCCCGTGAGCTGCACGAGGCCGCCCTCGCCCGCCGCGCCAACCTGCCCCGTGCTGCCAACGGTGGCACCAAGACCCCCAAGGGCACCATGGAGACCGCCGTCAAGGCCGCCACTGGTATGGCCGCCGCCCAGGGTCTGCCCACCACCCAGGACGATGGTACCCTGCAGATGACCTTCCACCAGGTCAACCAGGACGGTGCCGGCCCCCTGACCGGCGCCATCGACGCCACCTCTGGCGGCACTGACCCCGCTGCCTTCAAGGAGGCCCAGATGACCCAGGACGTTCCCGGCATCGGCATCGGTGGTCTGTCCGGCGCTGCCACCATGGACTTCCCCATCGCCATCCAGATGCCCGCTGGCATGACCTGCTCCGGCTCCGTCGGCGGTGCCAACAACGTCTGCATTGCCCGCATGCAGAACTCGGCCCTCGCCGGCCCCTTCGGTGGCTCCGTCGCCTTCACCCAGAGCCCCGCTGCCAAGAAGAGGGCCATCGAGTACAACCTCGCCAAGCGCAGGTTCGCCCGTGCCCTCAAGACCGAGGAGTAAATAGGTCATGGATTCTACTCCAGACCCAAAAAGCGAGCCACACAAACGATACCCTGGTCAACTTGGATGAGGGGGTTGGTTGAGCACTAGGACGTGGCTGATCTGGGATCAGTCGTCCTCTCTGGTTTCTATTCCGTTTTGCATTACTTTATATACCACATTCTTTAGGCGTCGGCAGGAGGAGGCTGAGAACGATAATGGGGAGCTGTACATAGATATAAAGCTGTAAATTGATGACATTCCTTAAAACTGGCCTTTTCCGTTGTGTGAACATGATATGTTTGCCTGCCCAGTGGAAGTAAAATGCTAAAAATGGGTACAGCAGATACGAGAGGCTCACCCTAGTCAGTTCCCTTTGTTTGGATGCGGCTTGAAAGCATTATCATGGCGTTTCAACCCAGAAGTCCTCAGTTTCGGCAGCATGCTTTTCTGTCGGCATGAATATTTCCCATCGGCAATATTTTCATCCCTCTTAGCTGGAGTGCAGAAGATGGCAAGGCAGTCCAGCTGGTAAGAGCGCCTGGTGGACAGCCTACCCGGTTCGGCCTGCGTCCCAACGGCAGCCTTCCTGTCAACCTCCACTTTTTCTTTCTTCTCTTGGTCTTTGGCCCGAGTCTGATGGTGTGGGAAAGTCACGAATCCGAGCAGGACTTTGTTTGACTATATCACAACTACAAGATACATTAAGTGCTGGGATGGGTGCGTTACAGAGTTGGGCCAGTATATTGGACGGAGTACTCCGTACTAGTAAGTCGCTGCCACAACCTTATTCGAAACATTGAAGACCGCCTAGCTGCCGACAATTCAGCGTGTGGGCCCTGTCCTTTTTCTGTCCCTTTTCTTTCTTATCGGTAGTTTTATTGGAATACGGCAGTCCGTCAGATAATCCTCACATGTATTGCTTGAAATGACTACGCACATTACCTTGTATACAAATTCGAGAATTGAAATTCGAGTATCTTGAATTGTCTACCTAGGTACGTACCTAGGTACCTAGATAGGTAACAGACAATGTGGGGCCGTCCATGTAATGAGTGTAAGTCGAAACTGGGGTCCAATCTTGGGGGGGGGGGTATGGCACCCACTTGGTACCCGAACCCTTCAATGCTGACCTCTCGGTGACACTTTCTCTCCCCTGAGCAGCTGAATGGTGTCCGAGTCAGGGTCCACCAGCTCTGAACCCCGCAATCGGGAACGGCTCCGTACCTCGTATAGCACGTCTGGGATGTCAACTGAATTCAACCAAGTCGATTGACCTGTACCAGGAATTGGTGCTGCTATTCTTCAGTTATACATCGACATTGTCTGATGTGAAAACCTCAATCGCCAAGTGGCTGCCTTGATTGTACGCTGTCTATCTGCAGATCAGCCGAGCGTCGTCGTGGCTGAAGCGAGCGCAGATCAGGCGTTATACGGACCGCGCCTACGTCACAGCGAAGCTCCCTGCTCATTACCGCAGCCGCAGCTCCTCCACAGCAACAGACACGCAAACGGGCTCAGCCACCAGGATAATAATAAAGAGAGCAGGCAGCACAAGCTCCATCCGCCAACACTGTACGGGGTACCTCGCCCCAGATCAACAGCTGACGAACCTTCCTCCCTTCCACTCCCTCACAAACCACCAATTCCATCAACACAGCCAGTCAGCCATCAGCCATGGAGACATTCGGATCTCTCAAGCGTCGGACCACCGACCTCATGAACCAAGCCCAAGGTTCGGTGGGCAACATCCCCAGACCAACACTCCCCGCCATGCCGGCCATGCCAGCCATGCCATCAATGCCAGCCATGCCCGCGATGCCCGCCAACTTCCCCAACCTATCCGAGCTCTCCTCCAGGCTGCCAAAGATGCCACCCTTCCCGTACGGGGCCGCACACCCCGCCACGCCGACACAAAAGGCAACCTGGGAACGCATCGACGTGCCCCCGATGCCACGATCATCCCACTCGGTCAACGTTGTCGGCGGCAGCGCCTATATATTCGGTGGTGAGATCCGGCCGCGCGAGCCCGTCGACAACGACATGCATATCATCACCCTGCCCTTCAGCAGCGCCGGCGCCGACTACTACGCCGTTAAGCCCAAGGCAGCCCCCAAGCAAGAGGTTCCACAGGTCCCAACCGTCATTGCCCCCAGCGACGACGGCAAGGACGACGACTCCAAGGAGAAAGAACTGGCTGACGTCCCCCTCGCCTCCCCGCCCGAGGTTTCCGACGACGTCGTGACTGGCTCAGAGAACATCGCAGACGGGCCGACCCCCAGTAGCTCCAAGGGCAAGGGCCCCGCCACAGACATCGACCGCTCATCCCTGGGCGACGTGCCATGCCCCCGAGTGGGACACGCCACAGCCGTCATTGGCAACCGCATCTTCCTCTTTGGTGGCCGCGGCGGCCCGGACATGGCTCCACTGGCGGAGCACGGCCGGGTGTGGGTGTTCGACACCAAGACGCACCTGTGGAGCTACCTCGACCCGCTCCTGCCAGCGGCGGGGCCCATCTCCCCGGCATTCGCCGACAAGAGGCACTTCTACCCCGCGGCGCGCAGCTACCACTCGGCGGTGGGGGTCGAGCAGCCGCGGGACTTTTCCACGAGGAGGGACAACGCGAAGGCCGCGACGTGGGCCGAGTGGGCGCAGGAGGGCGAGAAGGCCGTGGGCCAGGTCGCCAACAGCAGCCGGGACGAGGACGACGACGGGTACGGCACGCTGATCGTGCACGGCGGGTGCTTCGCCGAGGGCAGGGCCAACGACACGTGGGCGTTCGACGTGCGCTCGCGCGTGTGGCAGGAGCTGCCCTCGGCGCCGGGCAAGCCGCGCGGCGGCACGAGCCTCGGCGTCGCGGGGAGCAGGCTCTGGCGGTTCGGCGGGTTCAACGGCGAGGGCGAGGAGGGCGGCCAGCTCGACTACCTCGAGCTGGGCGTCGACTCCTTCGAGAACGTCAGCAGCGAGAGCGACGTCGTCCTCAGCGCCAGGGGCCAGTGGAAGAGCATCTTCCCCGAGCTCGCCGACAGCCCCGCCGCGCCGCTCGTCGCCGCCGCCGAGGAGAACGCGGCGGCCGGCGAGGTCAAGGACGAGGAGGCCGCCAGCGCGGCCCCCAAGGCGGCACCGACTAACCCGCACTGGCCCGGCAACCGCAGCGTCGCGGGCATGCAGACCGTAACCATCGGCGGCGTCGGCGGCAGGGAGTACCTGATCCTGCTGCTCGGCGAGCGGGACCCCAGCGACTCGGGCCACGAGGCCGCCGGCAAGTTCTGGGACGACATCTGGGCGTACGAGCTGCCCCGGCCCAGCGCCGCCTCCTCGGTCATGAGCATCTTCAACAGGGGCAGGAGCGGCAGCAAGGGCCAGGAGAGGCCCGTCGAGGGCAAGTGGTTCCGCGTCGAGACGGAGGCGTACGACGACGAGGACGACGACGCCGCCGCCGTCGCGCAGGGCCCCGGCCCCAGGGGCTGGTTCGCCACCGCGCACATGGGCCAGCTCGAGGAGAGGGGGATTGTCGTGTGGGGCGGCCTGGACGGCGCGAACAAGAGGCTGGGGGACGGCTGGATCCTGAGGCTGGGAGCGGAGAAGAGGGAGCCTTAGAATGGGGCGAGGCTTGGGGGTTATGCTGTAACATTCGTTCATGTGTTTTCACAATTCGGTCGAGCCTCACCGCCGGTGGGAGATCATCGTGCAGCGCCCAGCTGGCCGGTTTGGTAGAACACGCGCGCCCCGCCACTGCCGGCGCCGTGGGAAGGATAGTAGTAGTAGGCGGGTTCTCACTGTACTTGCCTATTTGTCTTGTCTGGCTGCTTTGTTTGTACAGCAGGTTTCCTATTTTGTGATGCTGCGTTAACGAGACTGAGCATGTTGAGCATAGTCCCTCCAATAGACTGCTTCACTCCCTCAAGCAAGCCCACTAATGTAGATTATAGTACAAGACTTTCTAAAGTTCGACGAGACTTCTATGTAGTCTTTCCTAGAGAGCTTTACTTAAGAGAACGGATATTCGCAGGGCAACAAACGGATGGTACAGGGCAACAAGTATCACCAACCAATCAGAGCACACAATTCAACGAATTCCACACCCACACCACCCCAGCCAAGTGCATTTAACACCCTTGCCAGTAACGCCCTCGCTATCAACGCCCTCACCAGCGTCAACAACGCCCTCGCCAGTAACGCCCTTACTAGTGATAACGCCCTCATCAGCAATGGTACCCTCAAGCTAGTAGCCGAGAAGCCCTATACTAGGAGGAACGCCCTTGTAAACCACGAGGGTAAAAGCTAGGAGAGGGAGGATAAAGAATTAAGGAATTAAGGAAATATATAGTTAATGATTATGTTTTTATGTTTTATATAGTGATGCTATAGTGTAAATTAAGGTTAGAGTATTAAGAATATATATACTTTATACTATTTAAATTTAATTTTAAATTATTTATTTATTATTTTATAAATATTTATTTTTTTATTTAATTTAATTTAATATATATATATTAAAATATATTTAATTTTAAATATTAATTATTAATATTTTTTAATTTAATTATTAAATTAAAAGTAAATAATTAAAGTTTTAAAAAAATAAAATATAATATATTTTTTAAAGATTAATTTAATTAAGTTTATTAGTTAGCTTAACTTATATATAAGAAGTAATTAATTAAAGTAGTATATATTTATATTAGTTAAAGGTTTATTTAACTAAGCGGTAAAACACTTAGTTAGGTTAGTTAAACTTACTAACTAAGCTTAGTTTATATATATACACGGACTACCTATTACTTACTTACAGTAGCTAATCTACTATAGCCTACTATTCTTACACTAACACCTTTTTAATCTTTTAAAATCTTCTTTTTAACTAATTAAAAAGCTTTATTTATTAATAAAGTAGTTTCTAACTAAATTATTAAATTACTTAAAATTACTATTAAATATATAATTATAATTTACTTAATTTAAATAGTTTAAAAAGACTTTAAATTAGGATTTTATAAATCGCCTTAATTATTTAAATTTAAATTACTTTAATAAATAAAATTAAATTTAAATTACTAATTAACTAATTACTTATTAAGCCGTCACTTAGTTATTTATTAATTATAATTAATTATTAATTAATTTATAACTATTAGTTAATTTAATTAGTTCTTTAATAATTTCTTTATTCTTTTATAGCTTAACTAGTTAAATTACTTTAATATACATTAAATAAGTTTCTTTTAATTAAAGTAATAATTATTAAAATTATTAAAATTATAATTATTACTATAATTAAAATTATTATTTAAGTAGTAATTATTATTTAAGTTAAAGTCTTTATTAAAAGTAAAGTTTAGTCTACTTTTATTTAAATAGTAATCCTTCTCTTCTTTATAATCTTTATTTTTACTAATAATATAATTCTTTTAAGGTTTAATAAAGCAGACTAAGGCGAAGCTACCGCTACCACCACTACTATTACTACCACCTTATTATATAATAGAGCTAGCTTAAATAAAGCTACTAAAACTATTACTACTATCTTACTAAGTAGTAAGGCTAGCTAGGAAGTAACTAATAAAAAAGTTAGACCCTTATTAAAGTTAGGGTTTTAACTTAAATAGCTTAAAGGTTATTAATTTAAACTTTAATTTAAAAGGAAATAATTACTTTTATTATTTTTACTTCTTATATATTATTAAAAATAAGTAAAAGGTTACTTTTTTAAATTTATTTTAAAGTTATTTAAGTAAATTAAACTAGCTTTTACTTATTTAAAGGATTTTATTAAAGTTAATAAAGGCTTTAAATACTTTTTTTTCTTTTTAATATAAATATTATTATAATAAAAATACTTTTAAAGCTTTTAAAAACTTTATATTTAATTCTTATAAAGTTTTAATCCTTAAAGCACTCTTAAAAATTATAATAAAAACTTATTAAATTTAATAAAATAATTATAATTAAAGTTAATTCTAATATATTAAAAATTTATAAAACTTATAAATTATAAGTTTCTTTTAAATAATATATTAAAAATCTTTATAATAATTATTTATATAATTAAAAATTTAAATTATTATATATATTAAATTTAAATTAATAAATTTTAATAAATATTATTAATATACTTCTTAAAAGTTATATATAACTTTAATTTATAACCTTTATATTATAAATAAATAATAAATTAACTAATAAGTATTATAGTTATTATAAAAGGTTTCTTTAAAAAAATTGTTTAATAAAAGAAAAAGAGCTTATTATAAGTATTTATAATTTAATAGTTCTTTTAATATATTATAAAAGAAAGAAAAAGAAAAAGAAAAAGAAAAGAATTATTATAAAGAGGATTTACTTATTTAATTACTTACTTAAATAATATAAAGTAAATTAATAAGGTATTAAATAAACTATTAAATAAATTAATTAATATATAATTAAATACTAGTTTAAAAATTTAATAAATAAGCTTAAATTATTAATTTATAAAAGAAAGATATAGTGGGTTATAGCACTAAGTATAATAGTATAGGTTAAGGGAGGTTTAAAGGTCTATTAAGTTTAAATCTAATATAAGACTAATTCTTACCTTTTTTTAAAAAGAGATAAGTAGGCTTTACTTACCTTTTAATAAGCCCTAAAAAGGGGTATAGTTAGGTATTAAGGTGCTTTTAAGGTACTTCCTTATAACTTCTATCTAACTATTATAATTATACCTCTTTTTAAAAGGTTATTTTTAGCTATTATTATTAATTAATACTAATTACCTTTATTTATACCTTTTAAAAATCTTTTTTATTTATTATTATTAATTAATTTTAATAATTTATTAAATCTTTTAATAGTCTTTACTATATTTTTATAGAAGTATAAATTAGCTAACCTTCTTTTTAAATAACTACCTTTTTTTTTCTATTTTAACTTCCTTTCTTCTTTTATTTAATAACTAATTTTATTAAATCTTTAATTAACTCCTTTCCTTTAATTATTTAATATCCTTTACTATTACTTTATAATTATTATAAATATTACTAATATATTTAAATAATTAAAATTAAGTAATTCTTTTAAAAGCTTTTTTAATAATCTTTTATTAATTAAAATCTTTAATTAATAGTTCTATTTTTAACTAATAGGTTTTATTACTATATAACTTTTTCCTTTTCTAATAATAATTATAATATTTATAAATAATCCTCCTCTTCTAATAGCTTTATATATTATTTTTATTAACTTTTATTTAATAATAAAATAAATCCTTCTTATAAATATTCTATTAAATTAAGTTTAACTTTTAAAAGCTTTAATAATAATTATACTAATTTTATTACTTTTAATATTAATAATTCTTTCTTTTAAGCTATTATAGTAAAAATATTAATAATAATAAAGTTTTTAAAAACCTTTTATTAAAGTAATAAATAAAAATTTATAATTACTTTATATAACCTTTAAACTTATTAAAAGTAGTTATAAAAATTACTACCTTATTAAAAGTTTTAAATAAAAAGGTCTATTAAGATTCCTTAAATTCCTAAAAATTCCTCTATTTTTATAAAGTCTATTTAACTTTTAACTATTTTTTAAAATTAAAAATATATTATACCCCTTTTATAAAGATATAAAAGATTTTTATAAATATTAATTTACTTAACTACTTTTATTTAAATTATAAGAAAAATATAAAAATATAAAGTTAGGTAATTAAATTTTAAACACTTTATAATATATATATATATACCTTTTAAAATAAGTTAAAAATATTTAACCTTTTTTATAAAAGGATATTTTTATATTATTATTAATTTAAAGGGTTTTTATTATAATTAATATATTATAAAATATTACTTACTTTATATTATAGTAAATTTACCTATATTTTTATTAAATTATAAGGTAGCTAATTTTTTTAAAAATTTTTAATTATTAGTTTAATTTTTAATATTTATTTTATAAAGGCCCTTTAAAAGGAATTATAAATAATATAAAACCTTTACTTTTATTAATTTAAATAAATAAACTTATAACCTTTTAAATTTAACTAATTAATACTTTAATAAATATATTTACTAATAATTCTAATAGTAACCTAATATTTTAAAAAAGATAAAAACTTTAAATTTAAAAGTAGTTTAAAAGAAATAAAAAAATAATAAATCTTAATATTAAATATAAACTATTTAATATTTATTTAAAAGAATAATATTAATTTATTTTAAAATAAAAAATTATAAAGGTTAATATCTTTTAAATATAAATTATAACTACCTTATATCCTTTAATTAATAAAATTTAACTTAAAAATAATTTAAATAATATTTATAAAAAATCTTTAAGAATCTTATAAATAGTTACTATAATATAATATACTTAATTTCTATAAATAATAAATTTCTAACCTAATATACTTTAATTTAAAAGTTCCTTTAAAAGTTATAAATATAATAAATAAAACCTTTAAATTATAACTTTAAAAATATCTTTTATTATTTTAAAAATAACTTATAAAATAAAAACAACCCTTTTTAAAAATTAATTAAATATACTATAAGTTAATAAATAAAATTATAAATATAAAATTTTAAAGTTTTTAAAGTAGGAAAATAATACCCCTTTATATTACTTTTTAAAATAAATTCTAACCTATTATAAATTTAAATAGTTTAAAAATAGTTTATTCTTAATATATTTAATATTAATTTTTATAATAGCCCTTTTAATTCTAATATTATAATTAGTTAACCCTTTTAACTATTAACTAATAGTATTTATTTCCTTAATATTTATCCTTTAAGTACTTTATTAAACCTTTATAGCTTATTTATTTAACCTTTATTCTCTTTATTAACCTTTATTAAGCCTATATTTTACCTTTATTAGCCTATTATAAAGCCTTTATAAGTTATTTACTAACTATTT